AGGATATATATTGCAAAACACGAAAACTACCATCGAATTGGGAGTCAAACACCCGTCAACGCAGTCTGACATTGATAAAATTGTGACATCATTGTTCCATCGCTTGCATTCACACTAAACTGGAATCGCCGTGGTGTCGGTCTACCCCTCCACGGAAAGCGCACCGTCCTCACAAGTATTATTGGCATGAGTGATAGAGAGAAAAACCTTCAGTCAGCAGTTAAAAATAATCTCATGTGGCTACTGGTCCTTCCATATTAAGAATGACGTCAAGCCTACGTACCGCACATACTTCGCTGGCAAGATATCGCGTGGTGGGGAGGGGTTGACTTGTACAGCCTAATTTAGCGAAGGTCTTGGCGCGCTCCTTCTGTAGCCTCATCTAGTTCGCCCACCGTATTTCGAAGCTCTCGATCATACCGAAGCGTTCAGGTGTTATCGCACCATTTTTGCTGCTGCATGTCGCGGTGGCCCTTTATGGGACTCTTCGTAGCACACGAGACACTTTTGGTTGAGTCGCAAACACCTAAACGTGTTTGTCAATCGAACGCTGGTGAATCTCCATCGTCGCTGCATCGATATCGTACTTGAAGAAAGCAACAGCCACCTGGTCTAGCTTGTCGAACAATGCCTGGGGATCGTTCAGTAAAACAATCACGAAGCTATGCCAAGAATAAGCTAGCGCATTAGGGCTTGATCGATTTACAGAATCGAATGTACTCCTCTTCTCTTGTAGCTTTAAGAAAATATCAATCCAGTAGCTTTTTTCGTCACGGACGATTCATTGCGGATGAAGTCCCACCAAGCATAGAGCTGTCAAACACCGTTGCAGCGATGTCATCCGGCGCGTAGCCAATCATTTTCGGGTTGAAGTCGTCGTTCCAATTGAATGGAGTTTCATGATGATAACGGTACTAGTGGTACTTTCTTGCGCGGAAATCGCAACCCATCACAAACGCGAACACACACCGCCTACCGTGGGTGGACTGTCCCGCACTTTTAGTCAGATTTTCTGAGCTTGAGTCGCAATACAGTTGCGTCCTACAGTAGAGGCTTCAGGGACGACGCGTAAGGTTAGGTTGGGGTGTCGTCTTGGATCGCGGTGCGACCGATTCCTTCAACGTAGTCGTTATCCTCTTGGACTTGCTTCTGTTCCTGGATCTGTTCTGTATACACTTGCTGCTCCAAATTGTCGGACTTGCCGACTTCAGCCATAGTCTCTATTTCCTTCAGCCCCATGTTACCCCCTTCTGCTGTTCCTTGATCGTTGCCACCCACATCAACGTCCAAGTTCAGATTCGCAGGTCTGCTATTCTCCTGCAAAGAATCGTCTTAAACCTTAGACTCCTCGCCCGTCGTGTTTGTCTGGGGCTTCCACGTCTATGCACAGACCCCCCCATCTCCAGACCACTCAAGCGAAAGTGTACTCGTAATTACTTTCGTAAAAACGTAAAATTTAGCATATCATCAAGTATATCTACCATGACGCAATGATATAGCTCAAGTGTATTGTTGTACGAAAAGATATAAGAAGGAAAATACGTAGAAGACAAAAATGCCGTCTTCACAGTGGGTACGCAGCAAATGCTACAAGTCGTGATGCTACCGTACCATCGCGAATTGGATGCTCGAATCTGCTCTCCGTGGTGCCCGTCGGCGTGCAACATAATGCTGGTGGTCCGACGAGGTGCTGCGACATCGTCATTCTTGCGGACGTCACACCTCGCGGCGAGCGCTCGAAGGGAACACATCCCAGTATCCTCCTCGATTGTCGTAAGGACTTTCACAGGACAGATTTTACACATATATCTTATGATTTTAGACCTCACAGGCTTACGCTGGCTGGCTGGCTAGTGGTGTGCGAGGTCGCCATGCTTTTGTTGCAGAGCGCAATGCGCGCTTTCAGGGGCACTGATTATGGCATTTATATTTATGATGACAGAATCGGTAAATAGATAATGCCGCTTGGAAATCTGCGCCATAAAAAAACGACATGAGGACCATCCATATATAAATAATGGTATTGTGTAAGTGCGCCAATTTACATTAGCTTAGTCACACAGACCATCTACAGTACCTACCAATAGCTTGCGTTCTGACGCAGAAGCAAATTTGTTCCAGCGTAACCGGATGCGGTCCGTTGCTCTCGTGCAAAAATGTGGTGCTGGCAACACTGAAGAACTGCTCGACGACAATGGAGGTCGACGTATAGTGCGAAGCCGATTATACTGCTGCTGGTGCTGAGCATGACGTCGGCGTTTCTTCAAACCATCTATGAAGAATCCTTGAGAGTCGTCGTCAGCCCGATGGCTCCGGTGTCGGACTCGCGGCGAACGGCCGAAGTAAGGCTTTATCAGCCCTAGTGAGTCGGTTGGTGTTGCCGCGCAGCACACGTACACACACAAGTCGGGGCTGTGGAAGATGTCCGATTTTGGCCCTGTTGTAGTACAGAATAGTCATTATGAGTATTCCAATTCGCAAAATCACATACCGTTAAGGGCTTACCGAGATAGTTCGCGTAGTTGGTTTGACGGCAATGTGTCCATCAAACCACTCGCACACTCTGCATCCTCTCCTTGAAGTGCCTTTGAGACCAACTCGACATTCTTTAGCTCTTTGGAAAGGGCACTGAGGCGGCAAATACGGATTGAGGTGGGGAGGTGATCCACAATGGTGTCGTGGACATCTAGGTGCTCCAGAAGCTTAAAATACCGATGCATCATGGTGAAAGTAGAGCTCCACCGGGTGTCCTGCTGAATTACGGGTGTATGAGTATAAACTTAAAATAATAAAAAACAATTTGACGTGAATTAGTATAAATTATAAATTAAAAGAGTAAGGAAAAATTAAAACCCTAAAATAAATAAATAGTACCGGAGTTTAGCAGATTGAGCCAGCGTTCGAAGCGTGGTCGTCAGGCTCTGCAATCTGAATATCCGCATCGTGGTCTTCCAGCTCTTTCTGCACCGCGCGATCAGTCGATGCGAGGCACGCCCGATAGCAGGAATGTGGAGAAGCACCAGTCTCAGAAACGGGTGAAGACAAGTGATTGGAAAATTGAGGGATCTGGACCTCGCCACAGATGCGGAAGAGTGACCGACGCAGACGGGCCCAGATGGATCGGGATCCGGACTCGGGTGGATCTGGATCTGCACCGATGGAGATCCAAGATCCAAGATCCAGGATCCAGATCTAAGATCCAGCGTGGATCTGGATCTACACCCAGGCGTAATCAGGAAGTTGTGGACATGACTCGACAGGCAAGCAGCTGACACGCAATGAAGGTAAAGAGAGCCCATAGAGTCGGTAGGTACAGATGTGATGATAGGAGCCACATGGTTATAGGACTTTGGGATCGGAACGAGCATAAATCAAAACCGAATTTGCCTTGTACTTCGCAAGTACTTCGCAAGCGCTTCCTCCCTCGTCTGGAAACGGGAACTACATTGGCCATACGGCGTAGAGAGGTTAGCGGTAGCAGATCTAGTGTTGGTTAACACTGGAGTAATATATTGGCCAGATCCAAAACCTTCCTAGTGAACTACCTTCAAGTGCAGATCCAAGATCCACCGGAGTTATCTGTTTGGCCGGTATGTCCTTCGCTTCTCAACTGTCAACGACACCGTCATTGGAGGCGGCAAACACGACCAAGGAAGACCTGCGAAGGCAACGTAAAAGACAACACCCCGAAAGGCAACACCCCTGAGGCGAGGCGGGTGAACGCCTGACCGCCGAGATGTATAGTTTAGCGCGCCCCGGGTGTAGACTCCCGAATGGGGTGCACCCAGAACAAACCCTCGCAGGAGATAGTACATCTAGATGTACACTCCAACCGGGGTGGCGTGTGGCCTTGTGAACAATCCCTGTGGGTTCGTTTGTCTTCGTAACCAGGGGTCTTCAACCGTGGATGAGTTATCTTGATATTTGTAGGTCGCCATGTAGCAGGGCAGAACGTAACCTTCCTGGACGTCGCCTCTGAAAGCCTTTAGACAACAAAACAATACAAACAGATACAGAGTTATATACAAACACGTAGCCCTTCCTTATTCTTTCGGACCATGAAAGGGTCGGTCACTACCCCAGTCAACTCTAGCCGGACTCCGGGATACTGGTCAATCCCGGTCGGCTTTGGCTCACGTGCACCATCCTCAAGTACTGAGGGAAACTTAATACAATCGAGTACTTCCTACCACCCAATAACTCTTAAATCAATACTTTCCACCCGGGGCTACTCCAACCGGGGTGACAAGGTAATCGGTAATATGAAATGCGGGGCCTTCCTGGTCTGGACGAGCTCAACCGCAACTAGGAAATGAAATGGGATGGACCCACCTCGGGTTGTCGCCCGGTACTCACCCCAACTTGGACTGGACTTGGTTGCGGGAGCTCGACCCAGATGTCACAGTTGCTGGGCCCTCACACGTAGACTTAGTCGGTCCCCTGGGAATGCACGTCCGGTAGGCTGCTCCAACTCACTTGCGCGATCCTTGGCAAAACGAACTCTGTTTATCTGTTATCTGTTGTCTCTCTGTCTGTCTGTCTGTCTGTCTGTCTGGCTATCTTCTCTTGATCTTTACATGCACTCCATCTTGACTTGTCCTCACTATGATCTTGTCGTCGTAATCGTTCGCGGCCCCTCGTAGCATAATTCCAGCAAGTATAACAATCACTGGGTACGCAAGTGAAGTTCAATGGGAGACTTCCAAAAATCGTCTATTCTAATGTACCAAATTGCTCCCATCTGCTGAACCATGTGTGTACTAACCTTGGACTAACGGATGCTCAGACGCAAAAGGCGTCTGATCAAGTACCGTCCTTGGTACTGACCAAAGCCTCCGATTTGCCTTGACTTCACAGACTGATCGAAGACGAAGATGTTGCTCTGTACGATAAAGCCGTCCCCACTCCGCAATTGTTTTGCCAAGACAGCCGTACTACACCAGCTATGACGAAGGCAGCAAAAAAGAAGACAAAGGGCAAGAACTTCACCAAGTCCGAAGTCACATGTGCGTGTACGCTGGCACTACTGAGAGCTCCACAGCAGCAGTGTATGTGTGTAGCAAGCATGCTAGTACGTTATTCTTCGACACGAACCGCCGTGGACGGCCCCTTCGTGAAGGCCCGGACTTGACAACGTAGTGTCGTGAGAACACCTCGAGCAACATGCCATAGGTATGGGGAAGGAGAGAGACGGTATTGATGAACGACTTCTCGCACCGCGACTTGTACATGAACGTCCACGCACAAACTGCGTTAGAGGTTAGAGCAGCAGTCGTTATGTAGTTGCGCTCCCGTATGAGCATGCGCATCCTTATTTAGCACACCAGCTTCTTCAGTAGTGCGTGTTGCCTCCTTCGCTGTTGCTGGCGTTGGACTGAAAGCGATGCGCTAACGCGAGCAAGGAGGCGGCCAGTGGGGACGGACACGATTCGGTGCGAGAGCCGACGTAAAGGCAGAGATTTCTGAAATAAACTCGGGTTTTTGGTGGCAGTCGGATGACCAAAGGAGGACTATACCGGTGCCAAGTGGTGAACTATATCGTTCCTAATCTGGGTTTGGTACAACATATAGGCGAATTTTGGAAGCCTCCCAATGTTCCACGGAATCCGAACAGATCTTGGCTGGTCGGCTTGGTCGGTCGGAAACATCTTGGACTTGTATACTGCATATTCACATCTGGGGTGGTCTCTTGGTATCTTTATCCAGGATTCAGGATTATCTCCAAACAGGATCACCTCCACTTGGGCTTCACATCTGGGATGTCTTGGACAGCTTCACGGTTTCTGGGTCTTCACTTGATCCGGTCGGGCTCCACTTGTGTTGTACAGGGCCCCAAGAGCAGGCGGCCTCCAATCGGAGGCGCTATTACGCTCCCATGGGCTTTGCCTCTCGTTCGGTACTTGGCTCCAGCCGGGGTCCGCTCTTGGGGACATCTCCATCCGGGGTCACCAAACCTTGTACACTGCCAACGGGAGTCCGGCCAGGATCCGCTTCTCCCATACGCCACGTGTCGCAATCTCCCTCTCCCATAGTGAGCCTCTGAGCCAACCAATCACAAGCGCGGCTCGGGGAATCCCGGAAAATCTCCAATTCCATCGTGTCACCCCGGCCGGATCCAGATACATCCAAGTACAAGATTGCTGGATTTGGAGTAGTACCGCGAGCAGAGTGAAGATTTCCGCGCTGCTCCACCCCCATCGCCGCGTCTCGCCCAGACTGTTCCGTCTTCTACGCTCGGACGCTTCAGCAACCACCAGAGAAGTAGATCCAGCCCTACCGACGGGTACACAAGGTGACCAGTTCAGCACACAGATCACGGATCATCGGGGAACCCCCTCCGTAAGTCCGTGTTCAGGCGCAGTTGGGAAGTTGATCGGCGATCTTGTAAATTTTGCTGATCCCGCTACACCACAAAAACACCGACCAAAGTCGCAAGGCGCTTGTTCACACGGTGGTTGTCGCCCACAACGTAGACAAACTGGTCCAGCTGCTTACTAAAGCCCCGCGAGAGCATGTTGGCAAGAAAGTCTCTGTGTGCCACAGCAGAGCGATCATCGTCTTCCTCTAAGAGGAGAGAGGCCATTCATAGCAGTGGGGCATTACCTGGTCAGTGATCTCGTAGCGAGCAAAGGCGGTAGCCTTGTCCTCGCCCAAGTGGGTCCACCCATTCAGAATCAGGCCGAACTGCGCTGGCGTTTTTGCAGCAATCGACCTCTCGACCGCCCGTGAGACCCCCTCCTGTACCACACGCAGTGTCTCGATATAGACAGGATCCAAGTTCGTGTAGATATAGATAAACAGAGTGAACGTTGGGCGCGGCGGGCGGGACACAAAGACCATGGTTGGGAAGCTGAGTTGCTGAGGTATCGGCCACTGGGGGCTCTACAACATGCACAAATGACAATAACAGGCATTTGAACACCCTTAGAGAACGCCACCAACCATTATAACGATTGTTTTTGAAAGACCAATATATTCAGATAAAAGCGATGATATTTAGTAAGATTACACTTCAAAATATGATATAAAGTAGATTTTTTTTGTACTCAGAAATTATGGCATTGGGTAGATTCGATGCATAAATTATGATGTGTGATAGGCCCTGAGTCCACAATACATTAATTTATGATATGATGGTTCATTTTTTAAGGCAATGTCATTTTCGGTGGCCCTGGAGCGCGTGTACCAGAAGACTAAACAGTGGTGTTTAGCCTCAATCATTTTCGTCCTTAACTTACGGACGGAAATTCGATGAAGTACGATACATGTATCGGGGTGTTAGCCTTAAAGCAGAAAAAGACTCCATCCTCGCTCAGCATGTGATTGCATCTCTCGCCCGTCAAGAGGATGCAGTGAAGCAGCATAGAGCAGCAATTCATGAGATCATTTGCATCCATAAAGGTGAAAACTAGTGCAATTTGTTTATGGATGAAATAGACTAGCTAGCTCGTCGCATTTAATCCTACAAATGTCACGCCCGTCGGTAGACGGCTCCATTTCCAACATACTACTTGGGTCATCGCGCTCGTTGCGATCCACTGTATCATCTTCAAGCTCGATCAGGGTGTTTGTGCAAAATCATACACGCCAGAATGCACCTCGTGCAGTTGGTCGTAGACGTTTGTTCTAGTTGCCTCCTAATGAGCCGGAACCGCTGCTTCAGCATCCCAAACGCGCACTGGATTGCCATACGTGCCGCGCTGTGGGCATAGTTGTAATGCGCTTGACAGCGAGAAAGCCGACCGCCTTCTTCTCGAGGAATATATGGCGTGAGCAATTCGCAATTCCGTGTGTAACCGGCGTCGGCAAGAAAAGGTGCACCAGAAGGAAGTACATTTTGCACCGATGTGCCCAGTTTCAAAGCTTTCCACGTCTTCTTGCCACTGTACGACCCAGGACGCATATCGAAGTCCATGAAAGGGCGGTGCGAGTCACACAAAACTTGCGAATTAATTGCAGGTACTCCGCTGGGCGAGCAATTTAGCCGTCCACCGCCCCAGACACATACGGAAATCATCGCACAGCAGCGAACTCAACCATAATATCTCTCCATTCTTCAGTACTTGACGGCGTCGAATATGGTCTCCAGCACGACCACAAATTACTCGAAGCATCTCGTTGATAGTATACACTGCATACGGCTTCGAAATGCCCAAAACGAGCCCTGCCTCCTTCATACTACCCGATGACGCTAGATACAAAAGCAGCAAACCCATTTTCTTTTCAAAAGAATGCTCCCGGCCTTGAAGTAGTTCTAGAGTTGCACGAGGGCGGAAAACTTCACCGATTCGCTTGAAATTGCGCTGAGAGCATCGCAAGTTCTCGTGGAACCATGCATCATAGCGAGTAGATGTCAGGAGCTTGTCAAAATCTAGCTTGGTCACTGTGAGTTCGTTCGTATAGTCCACCTTGCCATTGTCCGAAGGCGTGTTGTAGCTACAGCAGTCCCCGCTGCTAGCATCGCGTGCAGCAGTACAATCGCGGTTGTGTCGTCGTCCTCGTCTACTTGCTCCACGCCAATCGCACACTTGCTTCTATCTGCCTCTATAAACGATTTATATCGGAGAATAAACTCACATATATATTCCCCCAGGGGTGAGAATAAAGGAGGCGTCTGGGAATAAACGTCTGACCAATCAAAACAGTTCGAATTTATCCCCAGACCCAGACACCGACGGAGAAACCAGGGCCTAATTTGGGACCGGTTGGGGTTAGACGGACACTATCAACGCGAAGAGCGGTTTGGAGTGGTGTGCCGCATAGATGATGAGGGTTGGTACATATGCGTCTGCGCGCACCAGACAAAGTGGCTCACATCGGGTGTCAGTCTACAATGAGCCTGGCTTACTGGAGGACCCAACTACGCCCTTTTCCTCGGTCGAGCACACATTGGTCACTGCGAGCACGTACATGATCGTCGGGAACGAGTGAGTGGTACGGACAAAATTATGGGCGGGAGCACCCACACAAAAAGGAGGCGTAGCCACCAAACATAAATACGCTACCACGCACATAAAAGTTTCAACACTTTGACATTGCTGCAATGAGGGACGGGGACGAACATGGTGATGGAGAAGAACGGTTGCAGCTGGAATCATCCAAGTCTGAAGCTGAGACCGAACCTACGGAACCTTCACGTTGTCCGTGGACAAATGTTACAGAGCTACTGCGTCTGGAGCATTAGAGGCTTTTCGAGAGTCCCTACCGACTAATGACATTGATAAATGTACTCAAGTTGGTTGCACTATCGATCACTTAATTGATAGAGACTACAGCCTCGCATGGGCCGACCACAAAATGCAGTCACGAATGATCCTCTGTCGTTCTGAGAGATGCGGACAACAGGAAGCGGCTGGTTCACCGGCCTGTTCATGCCGTTGCAATTGCAAATCCTGCCTGACCACTATTCGTTCCTGTGAGGTGTTCCAGCAGGGAGAGCACATCATGGACAGAGATGCTCCCCCTACTCCAAAAATGCAGCAGCTTACCGGTAAAATGAAGGACTTATTGCAACGAGCCGGGATAGTGGAGAGAAAAACTACAGCTACCAAAGTTGTACGCATGCTTGCTGCATTTGTGCACCACCTCAAAATGGCAGGGCCAGCTCCTACAGATCAACAGGTCGCCGATTTCGTGAAAACCTATAGGCGTGACCGGCCTAAATACTCTATGAAGCCAATGATTGAGCTCTGCGATGCTCATTTGTATGACGACAAGGTGATTTTGTGTGATAGCGAGGGCGACGCACGTCCTGGAGCGGCTAGAAGCAATGGTTCCAAGGTGTATCGGCTCCGAGTCGGGATGACCTGTGTTCGTCTAGTGCGAGACTATGCATCCGTGCTTTATTTATACCTTTATATCATTTTTGTTGAATATATGTTAATTTTAATTATTAAATAGACTAGATCCGACTGCACGACCATGTTCCACCTGGACAGTACCCACAGCAGTGATAAATGGGTACTTAGTGCTCGCTTTTGCATATTCGGTTCGCAGCGGTTCTACCTGGCTGCTTACTTCTGTACCTCGTAAAAGCGCGCTGTTGATATCGGCTGGGGCATCCGCAGCATTAAGGGGATTTGCATGGATGCTTGTGCGGTGGAATCCTCCCCGCACATCGTTAGGATGGACGGTAATAAGGCACAATTTAACGTGTGCTCTGCAGAATTGCGACGCTCAATCGTACTGATGTGCTGGTTCCACGTCTTGCAGAATGCTTGGAAACATGCCGATGAAAAGAGAGTTGGGATTGACGAAATTCGCGCCATTTTTGCAGAGTTGTATTGTAACGGGCCAGTTGTGTGTCCGTTACTAGCGTACACGTAGCGGTGAGGAAGCTTAGTTTAGACTCGGATTTAGTGAGACCAAGCAGACAGTCTTGGGTAAAATCAACTCTGTTTTATGTTAGGACCAGGGCGGCTACTCCTGGTCTCATCTGAGCCACTCAAATGCATGTCAACGCCTGATTGGCTGAAATGGTCCTCCACTTCAGCCAATCCCGATGACCGTCAGTACACGCTACCAGTGTACTGACTTAACTACTTTATGTACTGTCAATCTACCTACTTATATAAGGGGGCCCATTACATCACCACCCCCTCTCAAAGTTGCGCTTACGCAACATAAGCGCAAAAATCGCATTTTCGCAAAACACCCGAAGAACACCGGAGAAGACCCAGGCACCGGATAAGCGGCGCTCGTACTCCCGAGCGACACACGACGATGCAGGCGCAGCAAGTTGGTACCGACGAAGCCTCTTCATTAGCGCACCCGCCGATGCAGCACGCGGAGGCTGACGCGCCTCTGGGACCTGGCACGTTCCGCGCGGCACAGCTGGATGGCGACCTGGCGCCGTGGGACTTGTACGACTTGTCGGGCGCGCTGCATCCGGACACGCTGGACGTCATGAAGGACCACTTCCGCCGCTTCCGCGCGGCGCGCCAGAAGGGGATCGAGGGATAGGCACTGCGGCAGTCGTGGTGCGAGCATTTGGCGCTGGAACAAGGAGACCCGCGAGGGGCGCGGCCTCGAGACTTGGCTTGCGCATCGCGAGGAGATGCTTTGAGATCATTCGCTGAGGGAACTTCGGCGCAGCATCTGCGAGGATGCGTGGAAAGATGATCGCATGTGCTACGTGAGGGTGCGTGAAGGGTGCAGTGCGAGTGGGATCGCTCGGCCGACAAACGCCCAGTGGGAGGCGCAGCTCACTGGGCGGCCGCTCGGCTTGGGGGCAGCCGCAGACATCGTCAAGTACAAGCGCGCACTCTCCGACTTGGCGCAGGCGGCTATTCGAGGGAGCGTGCGGGAACGCCGGACGCGCCGCGGACGCTCTCGCTCGCGTTCGCCAGCACGCTGGCGCAGTCGCTCTTGTTCTCGTTCGCTAGCCCGCTGGCGTGGCCGCTCGCCGCCGCGAGCGCTTTTTCGTACTCGTGGACAACGTCCGGAACGTCGCGAAGAAGACTGGCGCGGGGCTCCCACGTATCGTCTTCAGCAGGAAACCCAAGCCAGCGGACTCGGTACTTACGCGCAGCCGGCACTGCTTGGCTTGCCGGACCACGACCACGGGGCGGCCTCGTGCAGCAGGGGAATCTTCCTGTGCCACAAGCCACTCGATAATCCAGCGAATCTCGCCCGCCGAGTCAACAATCGGTGGTTGACCTTCACGGCGGTACGGCGCCTGATGGAGCGGGCACGGAAGACATCGTGGCTGCTGTGAATTGGTCTTGGGACGCTCAGGCGGAAGCTGAGCGAGCGGACGCGCGCGCATGGCGTGCGGAGCAAGTGGCGACGCAGCTTCGGCAGTCGAACCAGGAGTTGTTGACGTCTATGGAGCGGTGCAGCCTGGATCTCCCGCGGGAGCGGGCGCCTGGCTCGGACGGATCGATGGCGCGCGAGACAAGTTGGGCGGAGTGACCGATGCATGCTCCACCGGGGGCTCCTGGTGGTCAGAGCTCGGTACCTCAGCAGGGTGGTAACGGTCGAGGCGCCCGACGTAAAACGTCGGGTGAAGACGCAGCGAGGTCGGGATGTCCAGCGTGTACGCATCGCCGAAGGCCTTCAAGATCTTGAAGGGGCCAATGACCGTGGAGAGAGCTTGTTGGCGCCGAGGTTGGTCACGGCGGAGGAGCGGATGCCTTCGGTAGATAGTAACACACGGTCACCCATGCGAAATGAATTTTTATTTTGCGCCCACGCTTGTCTGCATTTTCCTTCTGCTTGTCCACTGCAGCTTGCAGTGCGTCCCGCACGAAACGTGTGCTTACCTGACGCTGCTGCACAAACTAGGAGACTGCGGAGTGGTCTGCGGGCACGCCGAGGACTTCGGTGCGTAGTTAGCGGGAATAGCCGGTTGCTGCTTTGTAGCTGGAGCGCCAGCGGGGTCAATCAGAGTGCGCTCCGTCCAGTCTGCGAGCGGCGTCACCGCACTGCGCAGTGCAGCCAGGGCCTTCTTCACTTGGGATCGTGTCACTGCATTCGCGCTTGATTCGGTCACTGACAAGCGTGGCTGCGCCGGTGATTCGACCGGCGACGACTCTACCGGCGTCTTGGTCGGCGGTGAGTCTTCAGCGGCAGTTCCTCCCCCACCAAGCGTAGAGGCAGGAGCCGCCGCGGGTTGGCTTATAGCAAGCATGGCGGGTACACGCGGGTGGCGCGCGGAGTTCACGAAGAATGGAGTCATGCCCGTCGACGAGTGCTCGGCGTTGTTCAGAGCGAACTCGGTCAGGGGCAGGAATGCGCTCCAGCACGGGAACGACGTAGCGTAGCTGCGGAGCACGACTTCGACGACGCGGTTGACGCGTTCGGTTTGTCCATCCGTCTCCGGGTGAGCCGCGGTGGACATGGCCAGCCTCGTTCCAAGCAACTTGAACAGCTCCGTCCAAAACGCGGACGTGAACCTCGGATCCCGATCCGAGACGATGGAGTCGGGCAGACCATGAAGGCGGAATACGGCGTCGACGAAGTGGGCTGCGGACTCTCCCGCAGTAACCGTGGCAGCCACGTGAACGAGATGCATCATTTTGCTGAACCTGTCGACGAAAACGAGGTCTCTCGCGCGCTCGTTCAAGTCGGGTGGAAGACCGAGGACGAAGTCCATCGAGACCCAGGCTTCCGTCGGGACCGGAAGGGGACGCAGTGGAGCCTGCGACGACAGCGATGGCTTTACTCGTTGGCAGATCTCGCAAGTGCGCACTCACTTGCGCACCCCCGTGTACAAGTGGGACCAGAAGAAGTCTCGCGCCACCGCCGCGAAGGTCTTTTCGCGTCCCAAGTGACCCCCGATCGGAGCGTCGTGAAACTCATGGATGATCCGGGCGCCAAGGTCTTCGTCATTCGGCACCACCACTCTCGGGGCATCGAACCGGTCGATGGTGTACGTCAGCAGGGAGCCATCAAGCCGATATCGCTCGACTTGGCTGCGGGTCAAGCGCGACAGAGCCTTCAATGTCGTCTCGCTTGGAGAGCGGAGGTGGGCCAAGATGCTGGTGTACTGCGCGTCATGCTCGTACGCTGCGGCGATCTCGTCCCGAAGCGGCATCTTGGGGGGCGACGCTCGTCAGGTTCAACCCCGACGTCACACACGTCGCACGCGCATCTTCATCATCTTCGTCAGCTGCCTGGCGCTTGAGGCCTTCACGTGGGTCGTATTCTGGACACCGAGACAGCGCGTCGGCGAGGATATTGTTCTTGTCAGGCTTGTAGTGCACCACGAAGTTGTACTCGGAGGAGAAAGACAGCCAGCGGGCCATGCGCTGGGACAGATGCGGGGATTTCGTCCCAGTCCGCAGCGATGCGTGGCCGGTGTAGACCGCAAACGTCTGCTCTCCAAGCAGGTAGACCCTGAACTTGACCAATGCGTAGCGCATGGCGAGGAGCTCCTTGTCGTGCACTGGGTAGTTCCTTTCCGCCGGCTTAAGCCGGCGGGACTGGTAGCTGATCACCCGCTTACGACCCTCGTCGTCGAACTACACCGGATGGCAAAGCCGCTCGCGTCGCAGATGACGTGGAACGGCTTCGAATCGTCCGCGAGCATCAAAACAGGGGCGGATGACAGACTCCTCTTCACCGAGCCAAATGCGGCTTGGTGCTCTTCGCGCCACGACCACGTGGTGTCCCACTTCAGCAGCGACGACAGTGGCTGGATTAACTTCGCGTAGTCCTTGGTGTACTTGTGCAAGTAGTTCGCCATGCCCTGCCACTGACGAAGCTCAGTGGGACTCGTGGGGGTCGGCCAAGAGCAGATTGACTCACCCTTCTCAGGGTCGGCGCGGACTCCGTCCTTGCTCGCGTAGCAGCCCAACACCGAGTTCTCCGGAGCACAGAACACGCACTTCTTCAAGTTGGCGTAGCGCTTGTTCTCCCTCATCACCTGGAAGACTTGCTGCAGGTGCTTCACGTGGACTTCGACAGCGCTGAGGTCACTTTCGGCGCGACTGTGCACGAAGATATCATCGAAGTAGCTCGGTGCGAAGTCACGGAGCGGGCGCAGCACATGGGAGACCATGCGGTTTAACGTGGCCGGCGCGTTCTTCAGACCTTGGGGCATCACCAGCCACTCCCAGAGCGTGCCGCTCGGAGTGCTTATCGCTGTGAGAGGTATGTCACACTCTCGCATGAGTATCTGGTAGAACCCATCGGTCAGATCGATGGCGCTGTAGATCACGCTTCCCGCCATAGACTCCAGCACCATGTCCTTGCGCGGGATTGGCGCCTGCGCAGGTATGGTGGCATCGTTCAACTTGTTGAACGCGTGAACATTGCGCCACCCGCCCGTGGCCTTCTTGACGCAAAAGGTCGGGCTGGAGTGTGGCGAGATGCTTTCGCGCACGTGACCTGCCCGGCGGCGGCTCTCGAAGAAGTCGTCGATGGCGTTCACCTGGTCACGTGGAAGTGGCCACGCGGTACTTCGTCCCAGGCGCGAGGTCGATCTCGTGGCGCACGCCTCGGTCCGCCGGGAGCTCAGCGGGGATGTTGTCGGGGAAGATGTCCGCGTACTCGCGGGCAGTTTCGTACACGGGGTTACCGGACTCACGCAGAGCTTCCCAGGACTGCGCCGCGAAGCGCTCCTCGCGCGCTGACTTGGGCTCGGCGTTCTTGGGCCTCCACGGCGTATCCTCAACCTCGACCGTGTTCAGCGTATCCACCGGGACCGCCTCGGTGGTCAGACACACTTGCTCGATCTCACCTGCATTCAGGTCTCGCAGGAAGTTCTTCCAGGAGAGTCCTGGGAGAAGCGGGATTATGTTGGCATCGCGAGGCGGGCTCGCGACTTCGATGACGCGCGATCGGCGTGGAGCGCCCTCCACGTACTCGAGAGCGCACACCGACTACTTCGGTGGGTTCTCAGTCGCTGACGGTTCTCGACGGGGCTTCAGGCGGCGTCGCTTGGACTTCTTCTTTCGCTTCGAGCGGGTGCTCGAAGAAGACGCATCGCTCTCGCTCGACGATGATTCACCCTCCTCTAGGTGTCAGAGGCCACGCTTGATCACACCGGCGGTACGCGGCTGCACCACGCTCTCAGCCGCAACATCGTTGTGCGGGAGCGACTCATGCTCGACCGCCTGCTCAACTTGTGACGGGAACCCACGCTCTACCGCCGTCTCATTGTGCGACGGGAGCCCACGCTCGACCCTCAACATCTTGCTTGACGGGAATCTATGCTCGACCGTCGACTCGCTGCGCGACGGGAACCCATGCGCGACCGTCGACTTGTTCTCATTGTGTGGGAGCACACCTCACTCGACCACGTGTCCGTCATCGCGACCACGTGATGTCATCCGGACATCCTTATCATTCAACAGCACGGCGCAGGCCATGCAGAGAGGACCATCGCCCGCCCTGTGCACAACATGCGTCGTGGCTGTCTTGTCCACGACAGTAACGTGAGGCCAGTCTCTTGGAGCCACCAAGAGGTGCGTGAACACTTCACGTACGTCGAAGCCGCGTCAACGCTTGATCCACCGAGCCAGCCAGTCAATCTCTGGCTGATACCATGCAAGCCACGGGATACCCAGAATGCAGTCGAATGTGTAATTCATCTCAATCACCAGGAAGGCATCGTTGCTGCGGAAGCCGTCGAACGTGTACGGCAGCGACACCTCGCATCGGGCGACGCGATGGGCCTTGCCATCCGCAAGCTTCACCACCACCTCGCCCGGACCCTTCCGGATGCGAACGCTCGCAGGGAGCACCGACAAACACGACGCGCGGAAGAAGTTGTTCGTCGCTCCTGAGTCAAGGAGTGCGCGCAGTGGACATCGGGCGCCGGCGACATGGAGGCTGACGATGATCAGCCTCGAGTCGCCACTCGTAGTGGTGACATTAAAACGTGCATAGAGCACGGGAGGGCTAGAAGGCCCGGTTGCCACCGGAGGACCCGGACTTTCATTCCAACCAGTAGGGCTCCCCGCACCTACTGGCCACGGCCGTTTTTTTGTTGAGTGGCCGGGCTAGCGTCGACATCGACATGCGCGAGAACCGGAGCTGGCGCGCAGCGTCGTATCCGTCTGTATCGAAAGCGGGTCTGAAGGCGCCATCCCTGGGCCCATCGAGGCGACTGGCGGCTCGTTCGCTACGGGTGAGGGCGCGTCGGATTCGTGAAGCGAGTCTAACGACACTTGGCATCGCGCGCAGCCTCCAGCTTTGCGGCAAGCTCGTCCGTGCGCGCCTCCGCCATACCCAACTTCTAAGTGGGTACCGTCAGCTGCTGCTGCTTCCACTCCACGGATCCGAAGTTCGCCACCCACTGCTTGCGCGCCTCGAGCAGCACCAGGTCGAGCTTGGACTGCATGAGTGCATTGTTTTCACCATCTCCGCTCGACTGGAGCTGCAGAGTCTCCCTCTAGCTGGCTGACCGCGCATGTTGCGCCAGCCGGTACTCACAGAAGCGGATGAATGGTGCTCGTCGGCTGTGCGCGAGAACAGCCCATCCTGCGAGGACGTGCACACCTGCGACAGCTCCAAGACATTCGGTGCACCATGCTAATCTTCTCTCTCAAGCGCCTCACCCGTGCTCCTCGCCGTGGAACGCTAGGATACGCGGAGAAATGGATCACTTACGGCCTCGGCCCCTTCCTGTTCTCCAATCGTGACTCGATAGCGTGTTTTGTGGGATTCTTAGCGCGCTTCGAACGCCGGGGCGGAACCGGATCACCTACAATGCTCCGAGGAAGTGGAGATGGAGCTGATATGTTCGCGCTGGCGTTGCCGGAATCCGTGGGATGGACAGAATCGCTGGCAGTCGCTGCAGTGCAGGCAGGAACGGAACCAGTGGTGGCGTTGCCCTCGTCGTATTTCAGAATGAGTGTGGACGTGGTAAAAGCCACTGGACTGGCGGGTTCATGTTGCGTCTCTGGTACCGATAGGGCAACATCGGCCGCCTCCATGGCAGGCCACCTGCGTTAGTATGCCGAGTGTCGACGTCCGAACCCAGAAACCAGTCTTGATTACCATCAGCTGGTGATGGGGTTCGGCTCGGATCCACCAAAGATTCATCCGAGGAAAAAGCGAAGGGGTCATCGTCATCTCTATGCGAAGGGCGTACAAATTGTCGACTATCTGCACTGACCCCGGTACAGTGCACGCCACCGTGAATTAGGCTACCACAACATGCAAACAGACGACATGATTTCTACTGTAGGCACACGTACACGCTTTACTGCGTGTGTCCACCACCCATCCGCCTGGGGGTATGCCTCATGTCTGCATCCTCAGCGCGCTGACCGATTTGATAGAGTTCATCACGTCCTTCTTTTCGGCTCGTGTATGGCGGAGTGGGCGTTGTTGCACCCGGTACAGATCGGCCTACAACTCCCCCACCTGAGAGATGCGGTGCACCGATATATACTCTCGTCTGTACATAAATTGATACAGATACATCAATCGATCGGAAGTGTGCTGAAATGCGTATCTTGGTACAAAAAGGCCAGTCACACACGTTTCAAATGTAAATCAATTCACTGGCAATAGCTCATCCTTCCGGTCACTGCATTTTCACCTTTTTGTGATATTGCCCTAGCAGATTGTTAGTAGCTGCATATACACGGTGTGTGTGTGTGTGTGTGTGTGTGTAAAAGGCCTACCAGCGTGAAAACCGTTTGGAATTCACCCACATTTTAGTGATATGATCTGTAAGCTTAGGCTCCGCAGATCTACAAGCAAAACCACGCCATAGAGTAAGAGCTCGTGCCTTGACAATAGGAAAATCTAGCTCTGTAGCATAGTGCATGCCATACATGTAATGGACCCCATTTACATAAGTAGGTAGATTGACAGTACATAAAGTAGTTAAGATAGTACACGGGTAGCGTGTACTGACGGTCATCGTGATTGGCTGAAGTGGAGGACCATTTCAGCCAATCAGGCGTTGACATGCATTTGAGTGGCTCAGATGAGACCAGGAGTAGCCGCCCTGGTTCTAACATAAAACAGAGTTGATTTTACCCAAGACTAACTGCTTGGTCCCACTAAATCCGAGTCTAAACTAAGCTTCCTCACCGCTACGTGTACGCTAGTAACGGAAACTCACCTGGCCCGTTATACCTGGTAGCACTTTGTAGTCCTTCCAACGACCAAGACCAAGATGAGACAAGTCCTGACGTCCGGTCCTTCAGGGGCAATCCTGGAGCACGGTGCCTTTCCCCATATCATGCGCGTTGAGTGGGAAGCTCTCCATCGCCTCGCGGCGGTGTGCGGAGAGGCTGTTGTCACTTCGCTGATGAGCTCAGCGATGCTGGAACAACAGCGCCAAGCTGCCCAATAATTCATGGAACGCGAGCTCGCCGACGCGAATCGGCGGGTCACAACTCCCTCGCGCTCCTCCAGGAACGACGTCGTCAAACTGGAGACGTCCACCTACTCTGGCGTGGGCGACGATCGGCTTCCACTGAACCGCTGGTTCAGTGAGATCGACATCGCTATCGCCTCGCGCATTATCGAAGTGTCGGCGGCCAAGGTCAACTTCCTACTCTCCCGGTTGTCTGGGAAGGCCGAGGAGTGGGCCCTCGGCAAGCTCGTCGTCGACCAGAACGCGTTCCCTACTCTGGAGTCGCTCCAGAGTGATCTCCGGCTCGCGTTCGAGCCGCCCCAAGACGAGTCGCGCGTTCGCGCAGAATTCTTCGCTCTCAAGCAAGGCAAGATGTCCATGCGGACTACGTCCAGAAGACACGACACCTTGCGTCGTGCATTGTCACCCACCCCATTGACATGGCATCTCAGGTGCATGTCTTTGTGTTTGGGAAGCGCGAAGGGATGACACGGTACTATCTCACGAGAGCCGAACCTTCCTCGCTCGAGGAGGCATTTCCCCTCGCGCTCCGCGAGGACTACGTGGTGGCGGCATCGTATGCGCGTGGTATGCCGGAAGTTTCTCGTGTGTCCGCGCCCGAGCCCATGGAGATCGACGCATTTGAGGCGTCGGGTGATTGACAGCGCTCGGCCTATGGTGGGGGAGGAGGTCGGAGCGCTCGTCCTCTGACCTGCTTCCGCTGCCGGAAGATTGGACATCGCGCAGCAGAGTGCCGCGGAAGAATCGGCGCCGGAGGTGCCGCGGGCACATCGAGAGCCGCAGGCGCAGGAGGCGCAGCAGTCGGAGCCTGCATGCGGGCCAGGAGGTCGAGATGACCCTGAAGCACAGCCTGCTAACGCTGTTGCCCCCCGAGCTCCCGGCCACGCTGCTCATCGCGATCGCGATAGTATCGCACCCAGCCCTCCAGGGCCGCAAGGCAATTCCAGACCTCTAGAGGCACCTCGATCCATTGCGTCCGCTCGGCGAGCTGGTCGAGTTCAGTGGCAGTCCGGCCCAGACGCGCATCAACGTCATGGATGTGATCCCGGAGGTGGCCAGCCTGCTGCCGCGCCTCCAAGAGCTCATCTTGAGTCGCAAAGGCCCCCACAGCGGCCTCCACCGGCTCTGCTCGATGAGCATGGGAATCTACATTACCATGTGGAGCGCCTCCTAGCGAACGGCGGTGCCGGGGTCAAAACCAGTATCTGGTGAAATGGCGAGGGTACCCTCACTCCGAGAACTAATGGGAGTTTGAGGTGCCCCTCCGCCAAGACTGACCAGACGTCGTGGACGCTTTTGACTAGCTTGATCACCAGTGCCCCGAGGGCTCAAGGCCGGCACGCCGGCCGTCCCGCGCTTCCCGGCAATAAGCTGGGAAGCGGCTGGGTCAGCCACATTGCTCCGAGGCTGACCCTGAGCCACAGCGTTCACTCCCTCGCGGGAAGGAGCGGCTGGAATGCTCGAAGAAGCGAAGCGCGCAGCGCTAAACTGGGTCTGCGGCTGGGCGAGTGTCGAGAGGCTGCGCTTGGCTCGGACCTTCGCGAAATCGAAGCGGAGCTTGCGTTCAATGCGAACATCCACTTCACTGAAGCTGGCTCGGAGAGCGTCCATGGAGCTGAGCTTTCGGCTGGGCTCGGCCCAGGACTCAAACCGAGCCTCGTACTCAATCGAGTCCTCCCCCGGGCTGAGTACCACCGGGTACGGCCGCATGGCGTGCAATGACTTCTGCTGGGCTTGCAGCCGCAGCCTCTCGCGATACTCCACGACAGTCATAGACTGTGGAGTGATGAGTCGCTCTCGCAGAGACGTACGCAGTGCAAGCTCCTCCGGAGTACGGGCCGCGGGCCCAATGGCTTGCAGCGCAAGAGACGGTTGGAACGCCTGGCGGCGCGCCTCCGCGGTGTCGCGAGGCCGGAAGCCGTAGTCGGCGGTGCTGGGGTTCAGCGGAGGCCGGAGCTCAGGGCGCTGGGAGCGCATGGGGGCCATCTACGCCGCGACCTGCTCGGACTGAGCTTCGCCCAAACGATTGGAAATGACGGGGCCCAGGAGCACGTCCTCACCACGAGGCGGCAAATATCGTGGCTCAGTGAGCGCGCGCAGCTCGTTGAGACCGGAGAAGCGTTCAGGGTAACGGGTTTGGAGTTCGCAGCGGTGGTCGCGGCTCCTCTCTCGACGGCGCAGCGCGCTCTACAGCTGGGTGCCTCGGCGAGCGCACAGGAGACGTGCGCGCTGGGCGTTCTTGATCACGACGGCTCGGAGAGCCAACTGTGGCCGGAGAGCCTTCTTCACGGCGTGTCGACGGCGTGGGCGAAGCATCGAGGCGGCTCAGGGAGCGTCGCGTGGATGGGGACGCATCTCCTCGGTTCGGAGAACCCAGTATGGACTCGTCCACCTCACCCTCTTCACCAACGAGTTCCCTAGAATCCATGATCTGGCGGGTTGGTGCTCGAGGAGAGCTGGGGCTTGCGCGCTTCAAGCTGCGCTTCAGATGTTGCGCCGCGTATTACTCGGAGTGTGTGCGCGGGCGCTGGCGTTCGCGGAGGTGCGGAGGTGCGGAGGCACGCAGTGCAGCAGCACGAGAGGAGCGAGGCTCCGAGGCGGATCTCGCGAGAGGCTGTCTGCGGTCGAAAGACCAAAAGGCTTTATGACTTGAAGTCATGTGAGGGCGTGTTGCACCGAGAAGTTCTCAGAGAAGTCCACGCAATGTGGATTGACTCGTTCGAGAAGGGGGCTTGACGGAACAAGACCCGGAGGTTGACCGTTAAGCGTGAACACCCGTGTCCACGGTTTGGTGGGGGAGGGTGTAACGGAGTTACCCGAAGGGTTACGAAGTGGATTCACACTGTATGACCTAAATCAGTAGGAGAATCAGTACATGGCTTCAGAGCCACTGATTATGCATATGACTAGGGTTCACTATGGTAGATAGTGAACCGGATACATTTACACCGTTGGCGGCTTGACCGCGCTAAAGAGCAATACACTCAGTTTAAGATTTACACAGTTTAGAGTTAAGGGTTGACTCTTGGAGTCCGTAAGGACTCGTACGTTCTGGCATTAGAACGAGCTATCTCAAGCTGAGACTCTGTGAGTCTGTTACGTCTTTCTCTGGCGCTAAAGCTACGGCAGCCCCGCTGCAACCCGAATGACAGCCTCGTGACGCCCAATGTAAGTGTAGCTTCATACTGTACTGGTACGGTATCTTTAAACAAGTTCGCAGTATCATCCTACACTTTACACTATAGTATGTTAAGATGTTATCGAGCTCGTACAATGAAGATATTCAGATCGGGCCAACTAGCTGTGCGATTGCTATCACTGCTGAACATTCTTATCAGATCATTCGACTATTTATTGAATAGAAATTACGTCTGTCACTTCTGGCAGAATTCTGCCATAACTCGAGTAGCAGCTTGGCCAACTCGCGATGGCCCTCGATCAAGTCGGCCTCTAACTTGTCCTGATGGTCCACCAGAGCGCTGATCTCACATTTCTTGCGCTTATTCGCGTCCTTCTGGCTCTTCTTTCCATCCTCAGTCGTACACGAGAGCTGGTCCAGCTCGATACGCATGGCGTCAGCACGCGTTGAGAACTCGAGGAAGCTTTGTGTCGTCCTGCGATTCACCGCGCCCCGCAAGCTCCACGTGCACCTCGCGCGTGAACTTCTGCTGCAAGTTGTCCTCGGTCGCAGGCTGCGCGGCCAAGATGCGGCGTAGACGAAGATCATCAGATTAGCGAACGCTCAAGGCGCGGGTGGCGGCGTGTCGATCAATTATGGGTCGCCCGCGGCGACTGTGGGTGGATTGGTGTTGCTGAGGGAACTTCGTCTTGACGACGGCTGACACTGCATGTTTAGGTAGGTTTTCACCATTAAGCAACACCAGGCCCCCGACCTCATAACTTTCAACATTGTCTCTGCCCCTGGCATCTGCAGGTTCCTTTTGCTTGTCTTGGCTCTCAGCCATTGCGTCACGCACATGTCGTAAGACACTCAGACGCATCGACAAGAAAGCGTCAACCTGTTCACAAACAGTAGCCGGGCTGACATCGGCTAGCCAATCAGCTAAATCGGCTTTTCCTCCCCCATCAAGCCCGAGGCCACCACGTGGCGGCGTCAGCGGGACGCGGGGATGATACAAGCTGTTCACGTAGAACGGCGTGTAGCCTGTCGAGGCGTGCACGGCGTTGTTCAACGCAAACTCAACGAGTGGCAGCATGGCGCTCCAGCGCTTCAACGTCTCGGCGCAAATGCTGCGGAGCACGTCCTCGACGACGCGATTCACGCGCTCGGTCTGACCAACGGTTTACGGATGGTCTGCCGCGGACGTCTAGCTTGATGCCAAGCACCGCAAAGGCCGCGCTCCAGAAATTGCTCGTAAAGCGGGGGTCTCGGTCCGAGACAATCGGCTCAGGGAGTTCGTGTTGTCGAAAAACTTGGTCCAAGAACAGCGTTGCTGTACCTTTACCATCGATGGTATCCGCCACAGCCGCAATGTGAGCCATCTTGCTCAAACGGTCAACGAAGACCACGACTCCTGTGTTGCACACCACGTCCGTAGGCAGGACAAACACAAAGTCCATACTCATGGATTGCCAGCAGCCCGAAGGGACAGGCAAACTCGCCAACGGCGCCGCAGCATGAGGTGAGGACTTCACGCGCTGGCACGTCTCGCACGTGCGCACCTAAGTGCTCGTCCACTTGGACATCTTCGGCCACCAGTAGTGGGTGCTCACCGAGCTGTAGGTCTTCTCACGGCCAAGATGGCCAGCCAGCGGCGTATCGTGTGCCTCATAGAGGATGCGGTACTTCAGATCCTCATCTTGAGGGATGACCACGCGGGGCGTATCCTCGGGGTCGGTGTTGTAGAACAACAGGCCTCCATCGAGGGACTAGCGGTGTAGCCGCGCGCGCAGCCGCGCTGACAATTCCATGTCCGAGTCTTGAAATTCCTTGCTCCCTAGAGCCTTCAGCAACACGACACAAGTGTCGTCCTTGGCATCAGCCGTTCGGATCAGATCTGGTAATGACGAAGTCACGGTCGTTAGATGAGCAGCTCATAATCTGGCCTGCGCGAAAGCGCGTCCGCAAGGACATTCTGCCTGCCAGGCTTGTACTTCACCTCGAAGTTATACTCCGCGAAGAAGGACAGCCAGTGGTCCATCCTTTGCGAGAGATGAAGCGACTGGGTCGCAGTGCGTAACGACGCATGATCCGTGTAAATCACGAACGGCTGAGAGCCCAACAGGTGCACCCTGAACTTAACGAGCGCATACTTCATCGCAAGTAGCTCCTTGTCGTGGACAGGATAGTTCTTCTCCGCAGCCTTCAGCTCGAGCGCCACCACGCGCTCGCGCCCCTCGGCGTCTGCTTGCAGCAGGGCACAGCCGATAACAAAGTCCGAGGCGTCACAGACGACACTAAACGGACGAGCGGGGTCTGGAAGAGCCAGAACAGGCGCATGAAAGAGACTGTCCTGAATAGCCACAAACGCATCTTAATGCTCGGTGTCCCGACACCACTCCGCATTCTTCTTCAGGAGATTGGAGAGTGGCCGAGCCATCTCAGCGTAATTTTCGCTGTACTTGTGCAAGTAATTGGCCAAGCCAAACCACTTGCGAAGATCCTTCTGGTTCTTGGGAACCGGCCAGGCAACAATGGCCTTGACCTTGACTGGGTCGGCCCTCAGACCACGCTTCCCGATGAACCCCACCCTAAGAAGGGGATCTCTTCCGCTCCGAAGATGCATTTGTCAATGTTGGCTTACAACTTGTTTTGACGCATGCATTCGAGCACAGTACGCAGGTGCTCGGCATGGTTCTCCATATCAGTCTTTCCGTACTCCGCACGACTGTGGACAAAGATGTCGTCGAAGTACGTTTGCGCGTACGCCCGATGGGGCCTGAAGAGCTGCGTCACAAGACGATTAAACGTCGCTGGCGCGTTCAAAAGCCCTTGGGGCATTACCAACCACTCCCAGAGCATGCCGCTCGGAGTACTCACCGCAGTGAGAGGAATGTCGCTCGTCCTCATGAGCAATTGGTAATATCCATCGACCAAGTCGAGCGCACTGTACATCGTACATCCTGTCATGTTGTTCTGAAGAACATCCTTCCGAGGAATCGGCGTCTTCGCCGGAATGGTAGCGGCATTCAGCTTGTTGAAAGCATGCACGATGCGCCACTTGCAATTCCGCTTTCTGACACAGAACGTCGGCGTAGAGTGTGGGGACTTACTATCACGCACCATGCCCACCTCGTGCATTGCACGAAAGAACGCGTCAATGACGTCACACTGCTCCTTCGGCAAGGGCCACTGCCTCGTCACGCAGTACTTCGTTCCCGGAACGAGATCGATTTCGTGTTGAACACCTCGATCCGGAAGCAGCCCCGAGGGCGGCTCCTTCGAGACCACGTCCTGCTAATCCTTTACCACTTGATACAAGGGATCCGACGGGCCCTTCAGGATCGCCGATCCGCTCCGCGCATTCAGCGCCTTCTTGGTGTCTTCCAGGACAGCTTCATCCAGAAGCGAGGACGAGTTCAACTCTTCTTCGGGTCGTATGACCACTACCTCAGCCAAGTCTCCAGCCTTCCAGGCTTCGCCAAACTCGGCCAAGGACATCTCGTCCAGCTCCAGGAGAGCGGACAGTGAGGGCAAGTCGTCGAGGTTGATGCCTCCGTCGACGTCGTCCGTCACTCCATTCACGAGTGGATAGAGCTGCTCGCTCTCGCGTGGAGCCTTACGCCCTTCTCGACTTGTGAGATCGCAGACGCCTTGCATCTCGCAGCCAGCGCTTTGCGGCGTTGTCTCCTCTTCATGGACATCGTCCGCCTTGAAGAGCTCCGTGATTTCGTGTGCGTCTTGACGCCAGGTGGTGCCAGTGTCTTTACCGACACTCAGCGAAGAGCTGCACGATCCGCAGCCTCCACTCAGTGGATTAAGTGCCAGCCACGATCTTCATCCGGGCAAAGCCCCTTGTTCTTCGGCGTCGTGCCGACCGCGCCGTCGCTGGCACGCAGCAGGACGCCGCCCTCAGACGCACGCTTGCTCAGCGGAATTAGTGCCGCTCCACATCCTTCAACAGCCGGGCCGCGCCCATGGCTCCTCGGCTTCATGCCGATTTTGTCTTCACTTGAATACAGCAGGGCGTCGCCCTCAGACGCACACCCGCTCAGCGGAATTCGTGCCGCTCCACCTGCCGCCCGCGAGCCACGCTCGGAAAGCTCGTTCTCGACATACTCAGTGTCCACCAACTCGGAAACTCCGATGTCCAGCACATTGACCGACTCGGTCCAGTGCTCGCGCCAGAAGCGCTTCTGCTTCCTAGCAGAGGTGGGTTCATGACTCGCAAATGCTCCGCCAGGAGAGAAGTGCGTAGCACCAAGGGTCTTCAACCTCCAATCGATCCAAGGCTCGTGGCGTTCCAGCCCCGCCATACCAAGGATGAGATCATATCTCGAATCGAGGTCTAAGATCAGACAGCGTTCCACGCTATCTAAATCCAAAACCTTCACGCCCAGGTCCACAGGGACCTTAGGCATCGTGACACGAGACGAACAGTGACGATGTCACTCCCGCGCGCTACCAGCGCCTCAGCATAAAGCTGACTTCCGTTCATCGTAGAATGCCGGGCGTAGTTACCCGACGCTCCCGAATCGATCAAAATCGTCCATGGCTTCGGGACGCCCTTCACCCAAGCTTGGACAACTAGCAAGCCCGGCTTGCATACACGTTCCGTGTTAGAGAGTACGGCTCTCTTCAGGGCTAAGTCCTGTCGACCTCCACCTCGCCGAGGCTCAATAGAACTTAGTTCTTCCCCCGTAGGTCGCCCCGCGCCTACTGGGACTTCTCGTTTCCCCGAGACAAACCAGAGCCCTGGCCCGAACTCGAAGAGCGGCTTGACGAAGCCTGGCGCTGATGGCGCAGCGGACACCCAGCACGAACGTGACGGGAGTCACCACAGATGAAGCATCTGCGCGCTGCTCAGCAGCACGAAGCTCGGCTTCTTCGTCTTCAGCATAGCTGAGGTCCATGCGTTCCGGACCATTCGACGCGCTAGCGTAAGACGCATTCCACCCAAGTCTCGACGACTTAAAGTTGTGTTCCGCATTCAATGCGACGCTCACAGCCTCTTCAAAAGAGCTCGGGTGGGTTCGGAACACCTCCGTCCTGGCAATGCCAGTGCGAAGGCCCTCCATAAACACCGTAACGGTGACTGCCTCCGGCAACGGGTCAGCAGACATCCCTGCAATGATAGTTCTCAGCTCTTGGACATAGTTCACCAAATCCTTCTTGCTCTGCCGAGTGGCCAGGAAGCGTGAGCGCATGCGATACGCCTCGTTAGGCGGAGCGAACACTCGGAACAATTGCTGTTTCAGCTGGTCCCACGTCGGGAAGGCCACCTCGACCGACGTCCCGGACGTTAGTGCCCACTCTCTCGCTCGCCCACCGAGCTTCGAGATCGCTAGTGCCACACGCTGCGACTCCGTCCGGAGTAGAGCTGAGCTCATAGTCATCTCAACCTCACGGGTCCAAAGCATCAAGCTTTCACCCTCCTTGCCTTCGAAGGTCTTCACGCCCAACATGAGCGGCTTGGGTCTTGTTCCCGCGTCGGACGACGAAGGGGGCGCTTGGGACGCTGCGGCAGTCGCCATCCTCTGCTGGGGGTGCTCTAGAAGAGCATTTTCGTAGCTTGAAAACGCCTCGAGACGCGCGTTCACCGCGTCGGGGCCTTGCTGCGCAAGTTACGTCACGCCCTCCGGGCCCAGCAAGGACATAAGCTTTTTAAGCGCATTCTGCTGGTTCGGGGGCAAGTGAGCGAACTGCTCCATTCTCCACAGAGGGTCAGTCTATAAAGAGTCAGGTGTCGAATTGACTACGAGGGCTACCAAGTGCAGCGGGGCTGCCGTAAATTTAGCGCCAGAGGAAGACGTAACAGACTCAATGAGTCTCAGCTTGAGATAGCTCGTTCTAATGCCAGAACGTACGAGTCCGTACACCTTACGGACTCCAAGAGTCAACCCTTAACTCTGTAAATCTATGAATGTATTTCTCTTTAGCGCGGCCGAGCCGCCAACGGTGTAAATGTATCCGGTTTACTATCTAGCATAGTGAACCCTAGTCATATGCATAATCAGTGGCTCTGAAGCCATGTACTGATTCTCCTACTGATTTAGGTAAGACAGTATGTACCCACTTCGTAACCCTTCGGGTAATTCTAGTGTAACCGTGTTACACGGGTGCCGCTCCCTCTTTTCGTGAGTGGACACTCTCCATCGGTATAGTGTGTGCTTAACTACGTTTTTGTTGGTGTCTTTGGGGCGACCCCCCCCCCCTATACCATTTACTTTTTACCAAGTGGATACATCAATTTTTGGAATGGGTTAGGGTGATCATTTAGAATCACGCGCATGGGGGGCCGCGAAAACGGAAAAATCCCTGGGTTTAGCAACATTTTGAGCGTTATCGTGGATAAAAGAATAGCTCAATTCCGACGCGAAGCGTCGTTTCATTTTGTTAAAGACAGCAAAGCCAGGATCCCAAATTAGCAAACAGGGAAATCCGAGCTTTCTATGGCGACCCTACAAAAGCGCTAAAACTGCAAACTTTGCTGGATTCGTGCCCGTTCTCTAGCTCCTTAAGCCCCCTATATAAGCCCCTAATTCCACGAAAAATCTGTTAGGGTTTATCGCGTCGTAAAAAAGCCTCATTGTAAGAAGTGCACGTGAAATCAATCGGGTACACAGTACCGGGACAAGCGCTCAACTTCAACGCAATGACGTCTCTCCTCGCACTTCATGGGTCGAGGCCGAACCCAGTGGTGCTGGCCAAGTTGATGCTGAGGTCGGATGACGGAGAATTCGGCGACAACCGCGCCGTTCCATTCGAGGAGCAGTACGCACTGGCGCTAACGACTTCGTTATGGCCGTGAACAGCGACGCCATCTTCTGAGATGTGGATCATGGCCGAAGTGGTCGATGTGTTCAACCCCGCATCTTCGGACAGGACAGGACGTGCCGTGGCAGTGGCCTAAACGATTCGCGCTTGCGCAAAAACAGCTCGCGCCGACGAACTCGTGTACGCTGCTGCTGAAGGACTGCCGCGCCTACGCTGAAGCTTAGACCTGTTTAGTGCAGTGCACGAAAGTCCCTACAAATGCACTAAAGAACTTTTGTGCACTTTTGGCGCACCTGCACACAACTGATGCTGGACATTAGCGCGTGCACTAAAGTACTTTAGTGCATTTGTGGGGACTTTCGTGCACTGCACTAAACAGGTCTACTGAAGCTGGACGGCGGTTTGCGGCTAAGTGAGCGTATGAGCGTATGATGGAAGCTGGCTCACGAGCAGCGCTACATGGCTATCCCGATTGCTGGTGGTCGTGTGATTTCAGCCAATTTGCAGATTCGAGCAAAACGCCGAGGTTTTCGAAGGCATGCGATAGTACAAGCGCTTCTTCGTGTACGAGGGCGTGCATGATACCAAGTACGCGGCCGATACGGTAGCTACCGGTGTGGCTGAGGCTGAACACTGGTCGGAGAGTACTTGGGCACCGCAGCGTTTGAGGCAAGCAGCTCGATCTGCCCTGAGTGCACGATGGTGTCGAAGGCCGATGCATGATGGACGTCTACTGGACGACTACTGCAACATGACGGTGCTCAAGCACGACTAGGTGAACTGCGAGCACTGGATGAGCAAGATGCTGGGCCACTGCGGCGAGGCACGGCATAAAGGATAAGCCCTTCGACAATTGGCGCTGCGCAACTAGGCGGCTGGCTTCGTGATGGAGGTGAACCCCTGCGAGGACCCCGTCTCCCCGCGTATCGAGGGCGACGACTGCCACTCGTACGAGGCCGATGACGACAAGTGTGTGTTCTACAAGCGCTCGATCCCGAACAAAATGTTCACATGCGACTTGTGGCTGCTGGTGTGTCCGCTCGCAAGTGTTGGGACACTGTCCTATCGGAGTCGCGACAAGCAGTGCCTGCTGGGGGCTTAGGGCGTTGGCACAAGCGTCAATGTGTTCAACCAGGCGCTGGCCATTCCAGAATTTGACGGGTCGCGAGCAAGTGTCTGCCAAGGGTCGCCTCCAAGGATCTCCGGGCCCTTGGCCTCCCTGGGGGAATCCTCCTTAGGGAGCCCAGGAATGAACATGGCGGCTGCAGCGACGGCTTGCGCGTGCCCATGACCGACGACGGCAGTCGGCACAGGAGGAGCTCGCGCGCGACGACGGTGATTGCGCTCCAAGAGGGCGGCGACTCTATGGGTCGTTGCCACGGTGGTGGGAGGCCCAACCTTCGACCACTCTTTCAAGCTCGCGGCAGGCGACCGCGGTTCAAGCACTCAAGCCACGACTCCACGGTGGCATTTGGGCGGTGTCCTTCGGGATGCTGCCGTCATCCGATGTTGTTAGAGCCTAGGCTCACGCATCCTTCAGCACGCGCCGGACGAACGCGATTAACGCTCAAGTCAAGTATCCATGGGACAGCGGCCGACGGCCGCACAACAGGAGGTGCAGGACCCCTGTCCTGTATCTGCCGACCTCGTGGGTGGCGAGTACGAACCACCTGACCTCGCTTGAGGTCGCGCTTTGCACTAATTTTCAGACTCTCCCATCAGACTCTGGTCCAGAGAGCCCCCTCCCTAGTGACGCTTTGCACAGGTGAGGCCCCCAGTCTTTAGTAGTCGTTAGCGATCGTATTAGCTAAGTGACAAGAATGATCCTCAATTCAAAAACAAACAAAACAACCAGGCCCTGGTCAACTTCAAGGTTATTTAGTCAATAGGTGTCAGAAAGTGACGAGCACCAATAGCGCATGTAGCATGAGGAAAGCTTCACGGGGGCGAGATGCAGCATGAAAGCGTGAACGTTGCAAGGACAGTAGCAGAAAATCGAAGTAGACTTCACACCCAATATTTCAGAGCTTCCGTGTACAGCACGACTTCGTACGTATCGTACTCCACACAGAATTTTTTTCAATACACTAGTTTGCAAATCTGTCTATCCCAGTATGTATGACACGACTCAAATTAATGGCTTCTCAAACGAATAGGTACTAGTGGTCGAATCCATATTCACGTACTTCAGTATCTACATGTAGTGCTAGATTTTTTTTGATCATATACGGAACTGATCAGAGGTGTCTTATCTTGGTTTTGTATGGACAAAACATATGTTACGGCAGTGAGCGGAGCGTAGCCATTGCAAACCCGCGCAGGGTGCCCGCGAAGCAGGGCTGCACGGTATTTGCGGAGGCGGGCCCAGCGACGAGCATTCCAGCGAACGGACCCGTTGCCGCAACTCAGAGTTAGTTTTCTTCATGCGGGGGTCTGGGGGTGCAACCCCCAGAACACCATTCAGGAGATCTGTCAAATCCTGATCAGTTCTGATATGTACCAATCGGGAGGTAACCCATGTAGTATAAGGATGTCATTCCTGGTGTGGAAGAACATCCTGGTTATCGAAAACTAAAAGGAGCGAAGATGAACGGCTAAAACCGTCTAACTCCGCAACAATGTTAGCAAAATCACAACATTCAAGTAGCAACTCCGTACACAGCCAGTAATACAGGTGAGTGCTTCGAATGGGGGGGGCGTCGCCCGAAATTGTGCAAAATCTAGGGCGTTACCCCTTAAGCAACCGCCCGCGGATGCTCAGCTAGTCTATTCTAAGTTTGGTGGAGATTTCTGGTCCTAAAGTGGTGTACACCGCCCTCGTCGTGAACGGTAGATCCCCTGTACAATGATTATATTCTGCAAGTATTCAAACTAATATCTAAAAGAGCTGTGATAGTGGTAGTCCTCGTGCGGTGGCTGCGGAGATGCAACTTGCATTCGATACTGTTACGATCCAGGTCCGGTCGATCCGGTGTTCGCGCTTCCTCGAGGACCTTGCCGCTCGATTCTTGCCGCATCCGCCACCGATAAGGAAGACAGGAGTAGCCAAGTAGTGTAAATGCACAAATACACAACTTGTTTCCTTTGCTTACGCTGTCCTCGCCCTCTTGCGCTTGACCCTGCCGAATTGAGACTGAGCTCCTACTTGCTCAATGCACTGTGGATGCAGCTACTCTGCCAACCACTCGAACTACTTGAACACCTGTCTGCTGCTCTGCAGCTTCTCCTCACTTGCCTCCACGACTTTCTCTCTGCTTCCAATGCCTCACCAGCACCTTCGCTCTCTGAGACGACCACCACCGTTGCGCCAACGGCGACAACCGGAGGCAAATCATAACACGCCCTCTCCGACGCTTGACGTAGCAGTTGGCCGCCATCCGTAAAGGCCGTGTTCCCCCAGCGTTTCATCTGCTCCTTAAAATAACCCATCGCCGCCCAAAAACAATGGTGGCGCTCCGATTTCATTTATCGCATTACAATAGGGGGGTCAGAATTAGCTTTTTCGCCGACATTTTTCGGCCGATATGTTCACCATAAAAAATATGGTCAGCCGACATAACATTTCCCTAAATGGTTGAGCCTTTTTCGACTTCTGGTGACCTTCACTCTGTTTACCTTGCTAAATGTATACGCGTCGTTTTACACAAATACCGAGCACGTGCGTCGCCATGCGCGGAGCTAGCCGGCGTCGACGGCGCTCTTCCGGACGCTCCTGCGCCGCGCACAACGCGGACTGGAGCTAGCGCAAGCTCACGCGCGTGTACTGTGGTGCTGCATGGTGCCATGGCCGGCTGACAAGCAGCGCCACAACGGGCCATGCCACCTTCCTGGCCTCCACGGTCTGCTGCGCCTTCTGGGCCATGCGTTGCAGATAGATAACTGGCTCCCACCTTCCTACGTGCGTCCTCTACGCAGCGCTGCTGTCGCAGAGGCGCCCATCGCCAGCTTGCTGCTCGAGCCACAGGGCACGCGCAGCAAGCTGCAGCCTTGCACGTCTACATGTAGATAAGCTATTCAAAGAATGACCGGTCATTTCATATCTGACCGGGGTGATATTTTGGAAATGGTTCAATTTTTTCGGGGGCTCTCAATTGGCGATATTTTTTGTATCATTTGCCTTAATGAGGCATTTCGGTCACCTCGTTTTTCTTAGCGCTACTTCAGAGAAATAAATAGGTGGTGGAAATGATCGATTTTCTAAAAACGGACAACCCTCTAAGAGCGCTGTCCGTTTAGAAAAATGATCGATTTCCCCCCGCCAATTTATTTCCGCTCAGGAAAATTTTCATGAGGGTCCCAAAAAATCGTCTCCATGTCCAAGTAGAAAAAGCGGCCCCGCCGATTTATTCCGCACAAAACCTAATTTCTTTCATATCAGTATTTTATGTAGGTCGTATCTGTTGCACTTCACGCATATTGCGCATTTTGCGGAAGAAGGCCACCGACGTCCACAACACACAGCACCGAGCCAGCGGCAAGTGAAGGTGACGCTTCAGCTCCAGACGCGCTGCAAGGACGCGTGACCATCCGTGGAGATGAGATGGATCCAAGTCTGTGGTCCCCAGAGAGCACAATCGTCGTCAAGCCCGGAGGTTCAGGCTCCGCCAGCAAAGAAAGCAAGACGCTCGAACGCTCGGCCGAAGTCAAGGACACAGAAAACGAAGACGGCAACCAAGAAGAGTAAAAAGAAAGCGCCAAGAAGACACCAGGCCCCAAGAAGAAGACCTCCACCAAGACGAAAGCTGCTGTCAAGTCATCGTCAAAGCAAGACAAGCTCAACCTACCTCCAATGCGCTGGACACTTGCCTTGACAACTCTTGCGATCGAGACTCGCTTCAAGAACCCACGCATTTTGAATAAGTTTGCGGTCACAACAGCGGGCACACAGCTGATGCGCGCAAAGTGGGAAGCCACGGTCCACACGTTCCTGGAGAAGGCACTGATTGAGAAGGCATGGGGTGATGGAGGGACCCCGAGGTGACGATAGAGCATTTCAAAAACAAGACCAATGCTGTGCGCAGCGCATATCGTGCTAGACGTACGCGTCTACTCGCAACCAGAAACCAAGCTGTTGACGCTGCTGGATCGGAAGACGAGGAAGCAGAGCGCAGATACGCGGAGATGCCCAACAATTTCTTTATCGAGGATTCGGAAGACAGCTGCCACACAACCTGACGTGTGATCCGATGGCTGTAAACCCCACGTATCGCACCGCTCTTGGAAAGGAGCTCACCGCTTTACGGCCGCTTCTTTGCGATGTCTTCTCGGGAAACCCCGGGTGCACGGGAGAGCCAATTCTCGAGCCAGGCGCGCTACGTGAACCCATTGAGTGTGCGAGTGATAGTGATGAAAGCACGGATGCACGTAGTGCTGGCTCTGACGACGAGTGCTCCGATTCATCCAGCCAGGCCCGTTCCGAAGCTAAATCCAACGCCAAGGCTCACTCACAACAAAACCGTCCAGCATCAAATCGACCTGTTGACGTGGTAGCGGATACGCTTCAAGCTCGGTTCGGTTCAATTGAACGCATTTTGGCAAGTCGCCAAGCTACGGTGCCGACAACTCAACTTGCCGGGGACATGAACCAATTAGTCACTAAACTGACATCATCAATTGACGCCGCCACTGCCAGCCAAGCTGCATTTATGGAGATGCAGCGTGACGTGCACCAGTCGCTACGTCAAAGCGCCGAAATTCTTCAGCTGATGTCCGCCTCTGCGTTGGAAGTTTCGCTAAAATGAAAGAGCAGGTATGTGGGTTTAGCGTTTGAAGCAAGACTTATCAAGTGTTTTGCAGCCATAAGACCACAGACTCTCTTTTTAGGTTTACTTGTTATCGTGGCGGTAAAAGCGTTCCATGTACGCGTTCCGCTTCGCCTCTCCTAAGTTAAACTCATTTTCAGTTCGATCCCAGTGGTGGTCGAAGGCATTCATTGCTTTTCTTGCTTTTTCGCGTGATTCCTTGTCGTTATTCCACTTGAACACCTCTTTGTCACCAATGTCGACAAGTAAATTGTGCAGCACAGCAGCAGCACTTATCATCCGAGCATTGGTTGTGTGCGCGTGTCTGTCTGTCACGCCACGCAGCACTTTGAAGCGCCCCTTGTATTTACCGAACACGCACTCAACCAGTATGCGGGTCGATGAGAGATGAAAGTTGTAGCTGCTCAACATTAAAATCAAATGTTAGTTATGTATAAAGGAAAATTCAAACAAGTAATGCGGTTACCAGCGCTGTTTTCTTGACAAGCGTTCTCCGCGTCTTTCATCGAACGGAACCATGAGGAACGGCCATATCTTGAACCCAGCGTCAGCTAACCAGTTAATTCCAGGAGGACACAGGTACCGCGCGCGGGGCCCAGCGCTTCCGATTGGTTCCACATGAATTGATCGGAGTTACTACCGGAGAAAACCCCAAAGTAGCGAAATTTACCGCGGAAATCAATAGCAGCCAAACAATTATAGGAATGATTCCCACTTTTGTCGTAGAAGCCCAATAAGCAGCATACGGGGTTAGTATGTGTCGGTTAGTACCCAAACACAGCATTACTGACCATGTGATCCCGGGGGCGACGCGTGTGAATAATAGTGCCATCAAAAACGCATGCAACATCAGGAAAATCACTTCCACGTTGGACGAACCCCTCCACTAAGTCATCCCACTCATCTACAGCACTAGGAGCTGGAAAGTAAATGACATCGGGCATCATGTCATACAGCAAGTCTTCTAGCCTCTTGATGTAAACACCAGCGACCGTCCGTGACATTCCAAGTTGCGCAGCAGCACCCCCAATCCCATCACCATCGATCCCACTACCGTTGCCGTAATACGTGAACAAGACAGCGAGGCCGATATCAAACGCGTACTGTGTGTTCTGCGCAGGGAAACCATATTTTTGGTAGTACAATGGTTCCAGCAACGCACCAGTGCGTCAGATAAATCAGGACTGCAACGCAACGTCTTCTTGTACGCTGTCCGGGACCGTTGGGCCTTCAGCGTCGCAAGGAAGTCGGTACGGACCACAACTTTTTCCTGGATGGGTCCTCGAATTGACCGACCATCAAGTTATCCCAGAGCGACAGCTAGCAAGATGTACAGCAGCTCCAGAAGCACGATTTCTTCCACTGCCACATCACCTCTCTGTCTTTCATCGATAGACATGGCAACGGCGCTCTCATCGCCATCGTGTAGTTGCGCAAATACATCGAGGTGGGTGGCACCAATGGCGTCCTCCGAGCTGGTCTTGATTGCATCCAGCACCACAGGTCCACTCGCGGAAGCATCGGAGCTGTCATCGACGCACATCGCGCGTAGTCCACAGTTGGCATCATTACAAGCAGTCTCTCCACCGTCTATTAGCCTTACTCGGCTGATAGAGCCATGGCTGGAGTCTTCTATTGTGCACACCACACCAAAACCAGTATTATATTAGCAGGCGCAGCTTCAATACAGCCCAGAAGATCACGTACCGAAGTCGACTGCGTACTGCATCCGGGTGGACGCCTGGGGAGGCCGGCGCGCTGCCCTCCAAGTTGGTGTCTTCCTCCATCTTCGCCCGTGATTTCTCCTTCCGCAAAAAAATCCGGTACCGCTCAAAAGAAAGAGGTGCCGCACCAGTTTCTTTTTGCCGTATTATAATGAGGCGTTTTTGACACCTCGTTTTTCTTAGTACTACTTCAGAGAAAAAAATAGGTGAAAAAATCGATTAATTTTCTAAACGGACAACGCTCTAAGAGCATCCCCACCAACTGGAAGTAAAATCGGGAGTCTACAGTGCCAATTTAATTCGCTGTCTCCGCGCCGCTGAGGGAGTAATAGCAACCCCAACGGTGATCCTATTTTTCATTCTAAACCGCGCGTAACCTATTCCCTATTCACGTCGTGCAGGTCGATTTTGGCAGCGTCAAACCCATAAGCGGGACTCACATATCCACTTGTTGTTAGATATCGCCAGATAGCGCTGCCAAAACCGGTTCCAAATTTGGCATCGTGTATAGGATCGGCCAAACGCTTCATACAAATTTCCAAGTGATTCGTTTGCGCATGCTTTGCTTGATTTAGCGCCCTGCACAATTTTATAGGGTTAGGGGCAAGATAGCTCTAGGACCGAGTTTAGAATCACCGTTGGCGCTGCTCTGTGGGTAAATCAGCACCTGATATTACATGCATCAATACATTGCCACGCCGAAGGACAAAGGGCCCACAAATGAAGCTGAAGGGCCGTTCTCGTTGTATGGAAGCGCAATTTTATGAATTCCTGGCACGCCATACAGCATCGCTCCGTTCTTGCCTTGGGCAAATTTCGCCCAGGCTTTATTCGAATTGGGGATAAATCGCTGATTTAGTACGCGCGGTGCGGTGAATTTCGGAGTAAATCTGCTGTTTGACCGTCAGCGGTGGAGATGCTCTAATCGGCCAGGGTGGGCACTGTTCCTTGAGGCCTGATGCCGAATTTCTGGAGCTTGATGCGTGGAGCTTGCTTGCTTCTTTCTGGGATGAATTATTTGGACAAATGAGAGGTCACCAAAGTTTCTCGTGCAACTAAGGCCTAATTTGTTCTTTCGCGCATCGCAGTCGATATTAATGTTAGTCGTTTCAACTTGTTGGGGCACTTACGAGCAAACGTGACTCACGCACACATGGGGCTACAGGACCTGGTGTTGGTCTGCGAGCAACGGCTTTGCAGTGCACCATTCCCACGGTGGCCGTGGTACAGTAGCGCGCCGATGCATTTACTATCTCGATTGAGGACGCGATTATTAGTTCGCAATCTCGTTTAGTCGGCACGCAGGGGAAGCTACTGCGCTTGCTCTCCGAACTCTAACTCTCCAACTGCAGCGTCCGATGGCGGCAGGCAGCCACACAAGCAGGCGGAGAGTGAGCAGCGTTGTTGGGGCCGTCGAACTACGTTCAAAGAAAACAAATCTTGCGCGCCGCGGCCCGGCACAGCGAATTTATCCCCCACCGTGCCGACAATACACTGTAGCGGTGGTTAAAGTACCGAGCCGCGAGCGACAGGCGGAGGTGCGTGGCGTGCCATCCAGCACATGCTGCCGGGCGAGCTTCCGCTGTCCGTTCTTTTCGCTGTCAGAGGTCGTTTGTATTGTCGTCGATTTGGTTAGTCGCCACCCGGGGTGCACATCCCCGTGGCATGGATCGGCACGTGGTGTCTAAAGTTGCACTGCAACTTGGTACAGTGTGGCTATTAGCGCACCGAGGTCAGTCACGCGGGTCGGCCGGTCGTGAGCACCGAGTGTCAATTATGCCAACCTGGTGAGGGAAGCGAAGCAAAGGTGGTCATCCCCCCAAGCTTCGGCCGTAGCATCTGGCATTCGAGAGCAAGCACGCCCGACCGTGGACGCCAACTCAACAAAGTTGGCGTCCGTTCCTCTGTCCTTGTAGCGGCCGGAGATCCCCTGGGATCGCTCATGCACGCCGCCACCACCACCGCTGTTGCTGCTGCTGCCGCCGCGCTCTCTCGGTCATTATCCAATTCACTCGCTTCGTGGCAGGCAGGCAACCAACGAACCAACTCGACAACCGACCGATCGACCACCTTTAGCTCAAGCACCACCTACTCTCCACCGCTCAGCCATGGTCAACGCATTATCCACGATCGCTGCTGCTCTCGCCGCCTCCGCCGTCGTTGCCTCCGGTGCGTCCATGCGCTCCGAGGCGGACGCCATGCCATCTGGCTCGTGGCCCGCCAGCAAGGGCAACGTCTACCTGTCGGAGCCCTACACCGTCAAGAAGGGCGAGGTGTTCGACGGCGGCATGAAGACGTACCAGCGCTCGAACGTCAAGTGCGGCGGCCAGGCAGAGAGCGGCTGGCAGACCGCCGTCTTCATGGTGGAGCCGGGCGCCACGCTCAAGAACGTCATCATCGGCAAGGACCAAATGGAGGGCGTGCACTGCGAGCAGAGCGGCTGCACCATCCAGAACGTCTGGTGGGACGACGTCTGCGAGGACGCGCTGAGCATCAAGGGCGGCTCGGCCAGCAGCGTCTCCAAGGTGGTCGGCGGCGGCGCGCGCTCGGCCGACGACAAGGTGGTGCAGCACAACGGGCTCGGCTCCGTCTCCATCGAGGGCTTCTACGTGCAGGACTTCGGCAAGCTCTACCGCTCCTGCGGCACGTGCGGCGACAAGTCGCGCAAGGTCAGCGTCAAGAACGTGTACGCCGTCAACGGCAAGGTGAGCCTCGTGACGGTCAACAAGAACTGGGGCGACCAGGCCACCATCGAGAACGTCAAGATCAAGGGCAAGAAGGTCGACGTGTGCGCGTGGTCGCAGGGCTCCACATCGGGCGAGCCCAAGGAGCTGGGCGCCGGTCCGTCCGGGTCGCTCTGCAAGTACTCCACCAGCACCATCACGTACGCGTAGGCGTAGGAGGGTGCGCGTGGTGTAGTCGAGATTCTAGACATGGTGTGAGAGATCTCTTGTGGCGTCCGTATCCTATCCTTTGACCTACAAATATTAGATGTTGTTTGATTTGGTTTGGTCTAACCATTCGGCTTTCGTGTTTCGAACCTGAGAACCATGCTGCTTTGGTGGCTTTGTCATCGTTCGACTAATAATTACGCGAAATATTAAACACTGTAAATTCGTGTCGACTGTAAAAACGCAAGCGCGTAAGTTGCCGCCGCTGATGTAATGAATGCTAGGCCTGACCAATCGAGTGAGTCAAAGCCAGCAGACCACAACGGCGCATGCAGTGTTCGCTGTTGAGGAAGATATGTGTTGCGAGCGCACAATGTATGGAAATCTTGCGGGTGTGCCGGGCATCAAACCGAGGCGCTTCAATGTCCGTTTGTGTTTGAGAACGTCGAGCCTGACTGTGCGACTCTATCTGCAATGGCTGTGCGTGCTTTTTCGCGCAAACCATCGGGCCTCGAACGCATGGAGCGACAGAGCCGAAGTTACCTGGTGTTGGTCTGCGAGCAACGGCTTTGCAGTGCACCATTCCACGGTGGCCGTGGTACAGTAGCGCGCCGATGCATTTACTATCTCGATTGAGGACGCGATTATTAGTTCGCAATCTCGTTTAGTCGGCACGCAGGGGAAGCTACTGCGCTTGCTCTCCGAACTCTTAACTCTCCAACTGCAGCGTCCGATGGCGGCAGGCAGCCACACAAGCAGGCGGAGAGTGAGCAGCGTTGTTGGGGCCGTCGAACTACGTTCAAAGAAAACAAATCTTGCGCGCCGCGGCCCGGCACAGCGAATTTATCCCCCACCGTGCCGACAATACACTGTAGCGGTGGTTAAAGTACCGAGCCGCGAGCGACAGGCGGAGGTGCGTGGCGTGCCATCCAGCACATGCTGCCGGGCGAGCTTCCGCTGTCCGTTCTTTTCGCTGTCAGAGGTCGTTTGTATTGTCGTCGATTTGGTTAGTCGCCACCCGGGGTGCACATCCCCGTGGCATGGATCGGCACGTGGTGTCTAAAGTTGCACTGCAACTTGGTACAGTGTGGCTATTAGCGCACCGAGGTCAGTCACGCGGGTCGGCCGGTCGTGAGCACCGAGTGTCAATTATGCCAACCTGGTGAGGGAAGCGAAGCAAAGGTGGTCATCCCCCCAAGCTTCGGCCGTAGCATCTGGCATTCGAGAGCAAGCACGCCCGACCGTGGACGCCAACTCAACAAAGTTGGCGTCCGTTCCTCTGTCCTTGTAGCGGCCGGAGATCCCCTGGGATCGCTCATGCACGCCGCCACCACCACCGCTGTTGCTGCTGCTGCCGCCGCGCTCTCTCGGTCATTATCCAATTCACTCGCTTCGTGGCAGGCAGGCAACCAACGAACCAACTCGACAACCGACCGATCGACCACCTTTAGCTCAAGCACCACCTACTCTCCACCGCTCAGCCATGGTCAACGCATTATCCACGATCGCTGCTGCTCTCGCCGCCTCCGCCGTCGTTGCCTCCGGTGCGTCCATGCGCTCCGAGGCGGACGCCATGCCATCTGGCTCGTGGCCCGCCAGCAAGGGCAACGTCTACCTGTCGGAGCCCTACACCGTCAAGAAGGGCGAGGTGTTCGACGGCGGCATGAAGACGTACCAGCGCTCGAACGTCAAGTGCGGCGGCCAGGCAGAGAGCGGCTGGCAGACCGCCGTCTTCATGGTGGAGCCGGGCGCCACGCTCAAGAACGTCATCATCGGCAAGGACCAAATGGAGGGCGTGCACTGCGAGCAGAGCGGCTGCACCATCCAGAACGTCTGGTGGGACGACGTCTGCGAGGACGCGCTGAGCATCAAGGGCGGCTCGGCCAGCAGCGTCTCCAAGGTGGTCGGCGGCGGCGCGCGCTCGGCCGACGACAAGGTGGTGCAGCACAACGGGCTCGGCTCCGTCTCCATCGAGGGCTTCTACGTGCAGGACTTCGGCAAGCTCTACCGCTCCTGCGGCACGTGCGGCGACAAGTCGCGCAAGGTCAGCGTCAAGAACGTGTACGCCGTCAACGGCAAGGTGAGCCTCGTGACGGTCAACAAGAACTGGGGCGACCAGGCCACCATCGAGAACGTCAAGATCAAGGGCAAGAAGGTCGACGTGTGCGCGTGGTCGCAGGGCTCCACATCGGGCGAGCCCAAGGAGCTGGGCGCCGGTCCGTCCGGGTCGCTCTGCAAGTACTCCACCAGCACCATCACGTACGCGTAGGCGTAGGAGGGTGCGCGTGGTGTAGTCGAGATTCTAGACATGGTGTGAGAGATCTCTTGTGGCGTCCGTATCCTATCCTTTGACCTACAAATATTAGATGTTGTTTGATTTGGTTTGGTCTAACCATTCGGCTTTCGTGTTTCGAACCTGAGAACCATGCTGCTTTGGTGGCTTTGTCATCGTTCGACTAATAATTACGCGAAATATTAAACACTGTAAATTCGACCGATCGACCACCTTTAGCTCAAGCACCACCTACTCTCCACCGCTCAGCCATGGTCAACGCATTATCCACGATCGCTGCTGCTCTCGCCGCCTCCGCCGTCGTTGCCTCCGGTGCGTCCATGCGCTCCGAGGCGGACGCCATGCCATCTGGCTCGTGGCCCGCCAGCAAGGGCAACGTCTACCTGTCGGAGCCCTACACCGTCAAGAAGGGCGAGGTGTTCGACGGCGGCATGAAGACGTACCAGCGCTCGAACGTCAAGTGCGGCGGCCAGGCAGAGAGCGGCTGGCAGACCGCCGTCTTCATGGTGGAGCCGGGCGCCACGCTCAAGAACGTCATCATCGGCAAGGACCAAATGGAGGGCGTGCACTGCGAGCAGAGCGGCTGCACCATCCAGAACGTCTGGTGGGACGACGTCTGCGAGGACGCGCTGAGCATCAAGGGCGGCTCGGCCAGCAGCGTCTCCAAGGTGGTCGGCGGCGGCGCGCGCTCGGCCGACGACAAGGTGGTGCAGCACAACGGGCTCGGCTCCGTCTCCATCGAGGGCTTCTACGTGCAGGACTTCGGCAAGCTCTACCGCTCCTGCGGCACGTGCGGCGACAAGTCGCGCAAGGTCAGCGTCAAGAACGTGTACGCCGTCAACGGCAAGGTGAGCCTCGTGACGGTCAACAAGAACTGGGGCGACCAGGCCACCATCGAGAACGTCAAGATCAAGGGCAAGAAGGTCGACGTGTGCGCGTGGTCGCAGGGCTCCACATCGGGCGAGCCCAAGGAGCTGGGCGCCGGTCCGTCCGGGTCGCTCTGCAAGTACTCCACCAGCACCATCACGTACGCGTAGGCGTAGGAGGGTGCGCGTGGTGTAGTCGAGATTCTAGACATGGTGTGAGAGATCTCTTGTGGCGTCCGTATCCTATCCTTTGACCTACAAATATTAGATGTTGTTAGATTTGGTTTGGTCTAACCATTCGGCTTTCGTGTTTCGAACCTGAGAACCATGCTGCTTTGGTGGCTTTGTCATCGTTCGACTAATAATTACGCGAAATATTAAACACTGTAAATTCGTGTCGACTGTAAAAACGCAAGCGCGTAAGTTGCCGCCGCTGATGTAATGAATGCTAGGCCTGACCAATCGAGTGAGTCAAAGCCAGCAGACCACAACGGCGCATGCAGTGTTCGCTGTTGAGGAAGATATGTGTTGCGAGCGCACAATGTATGGAAATCTTGCGGGTGTGCCGGGCATCAAACCGAGGCGCTTCAATGTCCGTTTGTGTTTGAGAACGTCGAGCCTGACTGTGCGACTCTATCTGCAATGGCTGTGCGTGCTTTTTCGCGCAAACCATCGGGCCTCGAACGCATGGAGCGACAGAGCCGAAGTTACCTGGTGTTGGTCTGCGAGCAACGGCTTTGCAGTGCACCATTCCACGGTGGCCGTGGTACAGTAGCGCGCCGATGCATTTACTATCTCGATTGAGGACGCGATTATTAGTTCGCAATCTCGTTTAGTCGGCACGCAGGGGAAGCTACTGCGCTTGCTCTCCGAACTCTAACTCTCCAACTGCAGCGTCCGATGGCGGCAGGCAGCCACACAAGCAGGCGGAGAGTGAGCAGCGTTGTTGGGGCCGTCGAACTACGTGAACTGGGGCGACCAGGCCACCATCGAGAACGTCAAGATCAAGGGCAAGAAGGTCGACGTGTGCGCGTGGTCGCAGGGCTCCACATCGGGCGAGCCCAAGGAGCTGGGCGCCGGTCCGTCCGGGTCGCTCTGCAAGTACTCCACCAGCACCATCACGTACGCGTAGGCGTAGGAGGGTGCGCGTGGTGTAGTCGAGATTCTAGACATGGTGTGAGAGATCTCTTGTGGCGTCCGTATCCTATCCTTTGACCTACAAATATTAGATGTTGTTAGATTTGGTTTGGTCTAACCATTCGGCTTTCGTGTTTCGAACCTGAGAACCATGCTGCTTTGGTGGCTTTGTCATCGTTCGACTAATAATTACGCGAAATATTAAACACTGTAAATTCGTGTCGACTGTAAAAACGCAAGCGCGTAAGTTGCCGCCGCTGATGTAATGAATGCTAGGCCTGACCAATCGAGTGAGTCAAAGCCAGCAGACCACAACGGCGCATGCAGTGTTCGCTGTTGAGGAAGATATGTGTTGCGAGCGCACAATGTATGGAAATCTTGCGGGTGTGCCGGGCATCAAACCGAGGCGCTTCAATGTCCGTTTGTGTTTGAGAACGTCGAGCCTGACTGTGCGACTCTATCTGCAATGGCTGTGCGTGCTTTTTCGCGCAAACCATCGGGCCTCGAACGCATGGAGCGACAGAGCCGAAGTTACCTGGTGTTGGTCTGCGAGCAACGGCTTTGCAGTGCACCATTCCACGGTGGCCGTGGTACAGTAGCGCGCCGATGCATTTACTATCTCGATTGAGGACGCGATTATTAGTTCGCAATCTCGTTTAGTCGGCACGCAGGGGAAGCTACTGCGCTTGCTCTCCGAACTCTTAACTCTCCAACTGCAGCGTCCGATGGCGGCAGGCAGCCACACAAGCAGGCGGAGAGTGAGCAGCGTTGTTGGGGCCGTCGAACTACGTTCAAAGAAAACAAATCTTGCGCGCCGCGGCCCGGCACAGCGAATTTATCCCCCACCGTGCCGACAATACACTGTAGCGGTGGTTAAAGTACCGAGCCGCGAGCGACAGGCGGAGGTGCGTGGCGTGCCATCCAGCACATGCTGCCGGGCGAGCTTCCGCTGTCCGTTCTTTTCGCTGTCAGAGGTCGTTTGTATTGTCGTCGATTTGGTTAGTCGCCACCCGGGGTGCACATCCCCGTGGCATGGATCGGCACGTGGTGTCTAAAGTTGCACTGCAACTTGGTACAGTGTGGCTATTAGCGCACCGAGGTCAGTCACGCGGGTCGGGCACCGAGTGTCAATTATGCCAACCTGGTGAGGGAAGCGAAGCAAAGGTGGTCATCCCCCCAAGCTTCGGCCGTAGCATCTGGCATTCGAGAGCAAGCACGCCCGACCGTGGACGCCAACTCAACAAAGTTGGCGTCCGTTCCTCTGTCCTTGTAGCGGCCGGAGATTTCCTGGGATCGCTCATGCACGCCGCCACCACCACCGCTGTTGCTGCTGCTGCCGCCGCTCTCTCTCGGTCATTATCCAATTCACTCGCTTCGTGGCAGGCAGGCAACCAACGAACCAACTCGACAACCGACCGATCGACCACCTTTAGCTCAAGCACCACCTACTCTCCACCGCTCAGCCATGGTCAACGCATTATCCACGATCGCTGCTGCTCTCGCCGCCTCCGCCGTCGTTGCCTCCGGTGCGTCCATGCGCTCCGAGGCGGACGCCATGCCATCTGGCTCGTGGCCCGCCAGCAAGGGCAACGTCTACCTGTCGGAGCCCTACACCGTCAAGAAGGGCGAGGTGTTCGACGGCGGCATGAAGACGTACCAGCGCTCGAACGTCAAGTGCGGCGGCCAGGCAGAGAGCGGCTGGCAGACCGCCGTCTTCATGGTGGAGCCGGGCGCCACGCTCAAGAACGTCATCATCGGCAAGGACCAAATGGAGGGCGTGCACTGCGAGCAGAGCGGCTGCACCATCCAGAACGTCTGGTGGGACGACGTCTGCGAGGACGCGCTGAGCATCAAGGGCGGCTCGGCCAGCAGCGTCTCCAAGGTGGTCGGCGGCGGCGCGCGCTCGGCCGACGACAAGGTGGTGCAGCACAACGGGCTCGGCTCCGTCTCCATCGAGGGCTTCTACGTGCAGGACTTCGGCAAGCTCTACCGCTCCTGCGGCACGTGCGGCGACAAGTCGCGCAAGGTCAGCGTCAAGAACGTGTACGCCGTCAACGGCAAGGTGAGCCTCGTGACGGTCAACAAGAACTGGGGCGACCAGGCCACCATCGAGAACGTCAAGATCAAGGGCAAGAAGGTCGACGTGTGCGCGTGGTCGCAGGGCTCCACATCGGGCGAGCCCAAGGAGCTGGGCGCCGGTCCGTCCGGGTCGCTCTGCAAGTACTCCACCAGCACCATCACGTACGCGTAGGCGTAGGAGGGTGCGCGTGGTGTAGTCGAGATTCTAGACATGGTGTGAGAGATCTCTTGTGGCGTCCGTATCCTATCCTTTGACCTACAAATATTAGATGTTGTTTGATTTGGTTTGGTCTAACCATTCGGCTTTCGTGTTTCGAACCTGAGAACCATGCTGCTTTGGTGGCTTTGTCATCGTTCGACTAATAATTACGCGAAATATTAAACACTGTAAATTCGTGTCGACTGTAAAAACGCAAGCGCGTAAGTTGCCGCCGCTGATGTAATGAATGCTAGGCCTGACCAATCGAGTGAGTCAAAGCCAGCAGACCACAACGGCGCATGCAGTGTTCGCTGTTGAGGAAGATATGTGTTGCGAGCGCACAATGTATGGAAATCTTGCGGGTGTGCCGGGCATCAAACCGAGGCGCTTCAATGTCCGTTTGTGTTTGAGAACGTCGAGCCTGACTGTGCGACTCTATCTGCAATGGCTGTGCGTGCTTTTTCGCGCAAACCATCGGGCCTCGAACGCATGGAGCGACAGAGCCGAAGTTACCTGGTGTTGGTCTGCGAGCAACGGCTTTGCAGTGCACCATTCCACGGTGGCCGTGGTACAGTAGCGCGCCGATGCATTTACTATCTCGATTGAGGACGCGATTATTAGTTCGCAATCTCGTTTAGTCGGCACGCAGGGGAAGCTACTGCGCTTGCTCTCCGAACTCTAACTCTCCAACTGCAGCGTCCGATGGCGGCAGGCAGCCACACAAGCAGGCGGAGAGTGAGCAGCGTTGTTGGGGCCGTCGAACTACGTTCAAAGAAAACAAATCTTGCGCGCCGCGGCCCGGCACAGCGAATTTATCCCCCACCGTGCCGACAATACACTGTAGCGGTGGTTAAAGTACCGAGCCGCGAGCGACAGGCGGAGGTGCGTGGCGTGCCATCCAGCACATGCTGCCGGGCGAGCTTCCGCTGTCCGTTCTTTTCGCTGTCAGAGGTCGTTTGTATTGTCGTCGATTTGGTTAGTCGCCACCCGGGGTGCACATCCCCGTGGCATGGATCGGCACGTGGTGTCTAAAGTTGCACTGCAACTTGGTACAGTGTGGCTATTAGCGCACCGAGGTCAGTCACGCGGGTCGGCCGGTCGTGAGCACCGAGTGTCAATTATGCCAACCTGGTGAGGGAAGCGAAGCAAAGGTGGTCATCCCCCCAAGCTTCGGCCGTAGCATCTGGCATTCGAGAGCAAGCACGCCCGACCGTGGACGCCAACTCAACAAAGTTGGCGTCCGTTCCTCTGTCCTTGTAGCGGCCGGAGATCCCCTGGGATCGCTCATGCACGCCGCCACCACCACCGCTGTTGCTGCTGCTGCCGCCGCGCTCTCTCGGTCATTATCCAATTCACTCGCTTCGTGGCAGGCAGGCAACCAACGAACCAACTCGACAACCGACCGATCGACCACCTTTAGCTCAAGCACCACCTACTCTCCACCGCTCAGCCATGGTCAACGCATTATCCACGATCGCTGCTGCTCTCGCCGCCTCCGCCGTCGTTGCCTCCGGTGCGTCCATGCGCTCCGAGGCGGACGCCATGCCATCTGGCTCGTGGCCCGCCAGCAAGGGCAACGTCTACCTGTCGGAGCCCTACACCGTCAAGAAGGGCGAGGTGTTCGACGGCGGCATGAAGACGTACCAGCGCTCGAACGTCAAGTGCGGCGGCCAGGCAGAGAGCGGCTGGCAGACCGCCGTCTTCATGGTGGAGCCGGGCGCCACGCTCAAGAACGTCATCATCGGCAAGGACCAAATGGAGGGCGTGCACTGCGAGCAGAGCGGCTGCACCATCCAGAACGTCTGGTGGGACGACGTCTGCGAGGACGCGCTGAGCATCAAGGGCGGCTCGGCCAGCAGCGTCTCCAAGGTGGTCGGCGGCGGCGCGCGCTCGGCCGACGACAAGGTGGTGCAGCACAACGGGCTCGGCTCCGTCTCCATCGAGGGCTTCTACGTGCAGGACTTCGGCAAGCTCTACCGCTCCTGCGGCACGTGCGGCGACAAGTCGCGCAAGGTCAGCGTCAAGAACGTGTACGCCGTCAACGGCAAGGTGAGCCTCGTGACGGTCAACAAGAACTGGGGCGACCAGGCCACCATCGAGAACGTCAAGATCAAGGGCAAGAAGGTCGACGTGTGCGCGTGGTCGCAGGGCTCCACGTCGGGCGAGCCCAAGGAGCTGGGCGCCGGTCCGTCCGTGTCGCTCTGCAAGTACTCCACCAGCACCATCACGTACGCGTAGGCGTAGGAGGGTGCGAGTGGTGTAGTCCAGATTCTAGACATGGTGTGAGAGATCTCTTGTGGCGTCCGTATCCTACCTATCCTTTGACCTACAAATATTAAGTGTTGTTTGGTTCGGTTTGGTTTGGTTTGGTTTGTTTGGTTGCACATTGGGCGCCTTCCAAAACCCATATAAAACCGTTTGATCGTATAGTGGAGTTCAGACCAAAAAGTGGTCTCATCAAACAATTCTAATGCGACTCTCAACTAGCAACGTGATTAAACAAGTGACTGAACTCCACTATATTCGAAGGTCGCGTTCCAGCAACCGTTTTGGGGCGCATTAAACGCTTCGGTAATTTAAAATAAATTACGGGTTAAACTGATCAAACGGTTTTATATGAGTTTTGGAAGGCGCCCATTCGCTGTTTTCCGTGTGCTGTCGGACTAACCATTCGGCTTTCGTGTTTCGAGCCTGAGAACCATGCTGCTTTGGTGGCTTTGTCATCGTTCGGAGACATGTACACGAAATATTGGACCGATTCCCGTCCGGCAAAATTGTTGTATAAAATCTCTTGCACATGTACAAATCTCGTCCAGCCCGCAGGTTGAACCGGCAATTTGGTCTCTAGATGTTCTAATTCGGTACTACTTGTGCACTTTGAAATTGAAGTGATTGGACGCTTATGGCAAGATAGACTCCCAACCAAGAGTGGTGGCGATGCTAACGACGAATGCAGTGTCATTTCGGCAGCATAAATGCGTTGCTTCGCCGTGTCTTGGGTTCGGTAGCTTAGCTTTCCTCGTTTTCTGCGTCTGGCGGTGCGGTAGATGCTGCCGGATGACTCGCCTTGCGCTGCCATTGCGACGGCAGCGTTGTTGGACTCGTTGACAAAGTCGTCTTCTTCATCGGCGTGTATCATTTGCAAAATGCCGGCCAGCAATGTAAATTCGTGTCGACTGTACAAATGCACTCTCGTTTCCGCCGAGGATTAACGTTAGACCTAGTACATCGAGTAAGTCGAGGCCTGCAGAGCACGACGATGACGCTCACTATTGCGGATATTATTTTTGTGACCGCGGTAATGTAGTAGAGATCTTGCTTGTATTTGAGCATTCGATGAGGAACGAGAGGCTTGAATTGATTAGAAGAACCCCACGGTATAGAAACATACGTAAGTACAGTGGTGATCTACTTCTTCTGCTTCGAAGTAACTGGGAATGCATGGGTGTTACACGGCACAAACATTGCCTATTTTGCACCTGCTTCGACGTCTTCGTCACTTTCGTCAAATTATAAAGTAAGGCAAGTTGCCACTTTAGTAGAATTTTCGATGGCAATTTTTAGCCAACCGCCCCTGCTTGTAATATTGACCGCAAGGTACTGAGTGAGGTATGGAATTGTAGCTCAAGATTTCAACAATCAGAGACGATATCAGCTAACTAAATCCATGCAATATTCAGCACATTTAACGCAAGCTACTAAGCCATCTCGTATTCGAGGTTGTGCCAGTTTAGTAGAGATTTTATCAGGGGGGTTGTATTGAAATACCAGCTGTTTGCTCCCTTGCACCTTGAATAATATATTGTGAATTCTGGCCAATATTGCCGATTCGGGTCGGTTTACCATATGGGTTGAAATCGCTGAATACAAATTTCAAGTCTTTTGGAATCGACCGAGACGGCCTGAGCGACTTCTTATTTCGTACTTTATTGCGTACATAGTAAACTCAAGTCAAATCAAAATCTCGGGCGGTTTGCTGGCGATTTGGCTCGGTCGATTCAATCAATCGACTTCGGAAAGTTCGACTAGAACGCGCAATATTATCAACCAATCATGGAAGCTATACGCGAAATACTGTCTGTTCATTGGTCGACGTGACACTCTACTAAACTGCTCACTCTCAACCAAAGTGGCAACTTGCCTTATTCATTATTTACATTTCAAGTCTTCCCGGGTGCCATCAAATCGTCGCTACAACACCGTCGATAGAGATGTTATGACGTCTACCGTGGTGCTTTCATGAAATAGGAAGCGAATGTACAGCGCTGTCGCGCTTGCGCGTCCGAGTCCACAGGAACAATAGTCATAAGCATACAGAGCGTTGGGTCACGAGAAAACCGCAGCCTCCAGAGGTCCGCCACACCCGTAGCACAGGGCCCACGTTGCCCTTTACTTTACGTACACCTTCTTGCCCGCCCCATTGATATTGTATTTGCCTCCGCGAGGACCGACGTGGAAAACTCGACTGTCTGCGTTGTCCGTTTTGTCCGTTGTGACGTCTTCCTCAGAGCACTCATCCACATAATCGCTGTCGTCTGCAGAGGAGTCGTCGCCAAAATCCCCACTCTCTTGGTTTTCGCGGCGGGCTGGCGCTTTTGCGGCAGTGCGAGGCTGACGCTGTTTCCGCTTTGCCTGACTTGACTTTCCCTTTCGAGAAGCGGCACCTGCGCGTTTGGTGGCGCTCTTTTTCACCCTTGGCTCTTGTTTGCTTGGTGTTCCACGTCCAGGTTGGGCCTTCACCTTGACTGGTCGAGCGGGCTCTTCAGCGATTGCTGTTGTAGAAGCGGATCGAGCGACGGCTGCATGCTTTTTCTTCTTCTTGCTGTGTGAGTGGAATACTTTCGCTGCCAGGCGAGAAAATGGGTTTCGGTGCTTCTTTTCTGGGGAAAGAGGAGACTGCGAGTCTGTAGTCATTGAAGCCATTCTGGGCTTCGGGTCTGCTTTCTTTTCCGGTGAGGGCGGCGTCCTCGGTGGATGTGGCGCTGGTGACGGCGAGCGGAATCTGCCGCGAGGAATTTGCCGCAATTCCTGCTTGTCCTTGTCAATATCCCAGAGCTTAGGTCGACTACCGACGTCGAGCCGATTAAACTGCTGCCGCAAGCTCACGTACAAATAGTGGCCGTTGGCTGCGATCATGGCGTCCTGGAACCCCTCGTCTTGGGCATGCTTCGCAATCTGGACCAGCCGGTCGTATTCACGCGCTGAGATCTTTCGGTCCTGCTTCTTGCTGGTCTCAGCTAGCTCCGACGGTGGCGGCGCGTCCTTGGCGTTGATCAGCATCGCGTCCACCTTTTTGTGCAGCACCTGGTTGCTCGTCGCCAGCATGAGGCGGAGGTTGCTCGGGTGGTTGAGGATCTCGCGCAGCTCCTCGCCCATGCGCTGCTCTACCGGCAGCCGCTCGTTCAGCCGCAGCATCACCTCCAGTCCGATGTAGTGAGCTGCTTCCAGCTTGTCCTTGTTGGCGGCGTCCGAGTTGTCTCGGCACGCCTGCTGCTTGGCAGGCATGCGCAGGTTGTGCGTGTGCAGCGGCACGTTGGGCAGCGCGTCCAGCTCGCCCCTCTCGTACATTTTGGCCAGCGCGGCCTCTCCGTACTCGGTCAGCGCCGCCGAGACCATGGCGATCTCCAGGATCTTGTCTTTCGTGCACGTGCTGCCCTCCTCAAGCGGCCCGACGGCGTCCTCGACCCAGCGCAGCAGCTCGGCCTTGCTCTTGCTGGTCTTGCGGCCCACCTCGCGCGCCAGCGACATGTGGTGGTTCTTGAAGTAGTTGCGGTACTTGCAGAAGCGGTCGTGGTCGCTGCTCCGCAGCCGTTGCGCGCGCCGCGTGTTCTCCGGGCTGTGGATGTCGTCCACCGTGAACTCGGCGCGCGCCTCGGCCGAGATCTCGTCGCCCTGCTGGTTGCCACGCGGTCGGGGCCCATCCGGACGGCTGTTGCCGTCGCCCGACGGCTGCGGGCGCGAGAGCTTGAGACCCATTTGCTGGGTGCCTCCGCTTGAAGAGTGAGCGACCTGATTTCCTGCTCGACGAACGCCACGCGCAAAAGTTTCCTAAATTCTGGCTTTTTATGTACTTTACCGGAATTTAGGATTGGTGTACAACACACAAATGGAGATGGACCACCTTCAACTTACAGTACGATCTCGAAGTATACTTTCGCTAGTTGTATGGCGAACATCGAGCAAAACGTTATTTTTTATGGTATGTAGGGTGAGCCATGCAAGTCAAAAGTGAAGCAACAGCGCTGACCCTAATTCTCAGCCGCGCGGCGCTTGTTCTGGCGGATGGCGCGGAACTCCTCCTGGATCTCGTCGTTGGTCTTGCCCGACGTCTCTGGGAGCAGGAAGAACACGAACACGAACGAGATGGCCAGCAGCACCACGAACGGAACGTACGCCAGGTCATCCAGCGCACTTGAGATGTAAGGGTAGCCTACGCCCACGACCAGGTTTGCGGACCAAGCGGTAAGCACGCAAATGGAGGTGACGGTGGCACGCGCGTAGTCGGGGAAGATGTCGGCAATGACCACGTACATCAGGGGGCCAAGACTCACACCGAACGAGGCCACGTATGTCGCGATGAACAGAATCGACAGCGCCGACCAGCTGAACGATAGCGAGAGTGTCACGCCGATAGCGCTGATGAACATGCCGGCCAGGCCCCACAGCAGCATGCGACGGTTGCCGAAGTGAGCAGCGAAGAAACCCGAGACCAACGTCGGCAGCATGTTGACGATGTCGATGATGACAGCACTCACACGGGCGTTGCTCAGACCGGCCTGGTTGAACAGGTCCGACGAGTAGTAGAACACCGTGTTGATACCCGTGATCTTCTGCATCACGGCGACGCCGAAGGCGATAATAAATTGGCGGCGAAGAGGAGGCGCGATCAGCTCCGAGAAGGACACACCCTTGCCGCTACGGACGACGTCATTGCCCGTCTCGCTCCACGTGCTCGACTGCATCTCCATGTCGTGCTTACGCTTTGACTCGATCCACTCCAGAGCCACGGGCACGCTCTCAGCACCGAACAGACGGGCGAGCACAGCCTCGGCCTCAGCGCGTCGCCCCTTAAGCAGCAGCCACACAGGCGACTCCACCATCAGGAACGGCGACATGCTCAGGAAGATGGCCGCCAGCACGATCGGGAACGCAGCAATGTAACGCCAGCCGTTGTGGAAGTCCATGTAGAAGAACGTTGTTGCCGCCAGCAGGATACCGACAGTGATGCCACTGTGGAGGACGGCGCCGAGAAGCGAACGGAGGTGGGGAGGCGAGATCTCGTTGATGTAGCCACCGACGTTGCCCGTCGTCGCACCAGAGGCAATACCAGCAAGCAGACGGCCGACTGCGAACACCCACAGGTTCGACACCGAAGCCATGATGACAGCTCCCGCTACGATGAAGCCGCAGTTGTAGACCAGAACTTGCTTACGACCAAAACGATCGGCAAACTTGCCAACAAGGCCGGCACCGATCATGCCACCGACAATCCATGCGTTCACGACGATGGTCCACTGGAACTTGGTGTGGCCTGGGAACATGATGCACGTGCCTTCCACTACTGGCCGAGCATTGCAGTCGTCGACATTGTTGAACTTGCGAAGGTTGAGCTGCGAGGTCGACCAACCGAACTGCAGCGGCAGCACGAACGCGAGCATGGCGCTCGTCCACAGGATGTACGTGGGCTGGACGTGCATGCGCGCCTCTGCGGCTTCTTGGTCGATGTGGGCGAGCTCGGCATCTGGCGTCGTGACCTCCACGTAGGCAGGGTCCTTGATAACTGGTGATGCGGCGGGGGACTTGGTCTCACCTGCCATGGTGCTGGATGGATGGCTACGGACGGATGGAGTGCGCTTGAGAAAGCCAAATTGCGAATGAGGGAGCCGCTGTGCGGTCGAGCACAGCTCGGATCCCAGACTGCTTGGTCCGATCGCGTAGGAAGGGCACTGGCAAAGCGTGGATGTGCATTCAACGCCCGAGATAGGGCACCGCGTCCTCCATTATCACTAACGAGCAAGCGTCGCAACAGTGATATGCGCGGGAGCCCGAGAGCGAAGCTGGTGGCGGTGCAGAAGCGGTCATGGGCTGACTGTTTATACCGTCGGTGCGGCACTTGCATGCGCTGAGACGTGGCGGCCAAGTGCGCAAAGGCGATTTGAAAGCGAGGATCGGCAGCGAGAAATGGAATTCAGGTGCCAGATACAGAAGTGAAAGTTCGCCAAACGGAAAATGTACAGCCCATGTTTTGAAAACATTGTTTTCGGATTGAAGGGGGTGAAATGGCCCGCAAATCTATCGTGATGCAGAGACCAAATCGGCATCAGTGGCGTTTGAGAAGCATGAACAACCCGCAAACGTAGCCCCGAAGCAAGGCTTAGGTCTATAGTTCCCTGCCTAGCGCTGGGCCGGCCTTCTAAAGGTTTTAAGGACAGGTAGAGCCACATTTAGCAGCTCGATTACCCAGTTCCCAGGGATTTGCAATAGATTTGGGTGCCATGACATCCGTCCTGAAAACCGAAACATGGATGTCCATGATTTCAGCATGTTTTACATGTTTGAAGATCTTACTTGGTTTTAGTATGCCTTTATCCCTAACCCTATTCCGAAACATGGGCTGTAGGACCAGCCTTCGCCAAAGCTCGCCGACGAATTCGTGACTGTCGAGCGTACAGGCCATTTGTGGACTCGCTTGTTATTTCGTGGCGGGGTGATAGCACCAGTTTTACTACAATATAGCCCCTCCAACTTGAGGGCACCCTCCAACTTGGAGGGTGCCCCCATACAAACTACAGCCCTCTTGTCTTTTTTCTTTGCACTGTGCTGTATTCGCGGCCCTTGAAAACGGGGTGGTACGGAAAACTATGGGGGGGGGTGAAGTGTTCCAAATTTGAGCAAAAACCGACCGGAACCCCCCCTCCTGACTGCAGTTTTTTTAATGCCATCACAAACAAACTCCACAGCCCCCAGTACTGGTGGGTGGTGGGGCCCCACCACCCACCAGTAGAAAGAAGCATTGGGTGGCAGTATCTCCAGCAACTCAACTAAGGCTGCTCGAGAGGTAACAGACCTGTCGAGCAACCGCATGTATTACAGTTCGATTACCTCTCGAGCAGCCTTAGTCGAGTTGCTAGGGAGGGCCCCCTCGAGGCCGGGTCGCCACCACCCCGAGTTTACAATTCGCTACTGGCGAAATAGCCGGGCGGTGCACCGAAGCAGCAGCCCATCTCGTCATGATAAGGTCTCTTCTATGACAGTGTTTTCGCAAGTGTACGTTGAGAAGTTCTGCTGATACCGCAAGACTGTAGCGCTAAGTGTGTTTTGCGGTATCACGAACTGTGTGAGTTGTATGGTTATCTATGTGTCTCAATGCGTGTTAGGGTTACTAGCCGGAGGAGGGGGGCAGGTGAAAGCGATGTCCAGGATTTCACAAAATCGCCCCTACCGAACCTGGCGCTCCCTTAACTATAGGCAAGCCTGGGCTCATCGGAGAGCTAGCCTTGCCCTTTAGCTTTCCAACGAGACCAACTTCACTTAATGATATTGCGTGCAGCCTTCAGGCCGTTCCGTTTCCTAGAGCACTCGTGGAACTTTGGAGATTTGGCGTGGTTGACCTCCGTCCCCGCCCAGCTGCCAGACTGGGCCAAAGTATGGCCATGATAAAAAAAACACGATTTGCATTGGGGTGTTTTTTTGCGGTATCAGCAGCAAGAGCCGTGTACGTTCGCCATCGATCTTGGCGTTCGGAACGCCGGGTGAAGCACTCTTGAGTTCGGCCGAAGCGATACAATATCGCATCCATAGTGCCGCAACGCCAGGCCTGCAGCCTTGATTGAGAAATAAGTTTCTACAGAAGTTGTCGCCATTTGAAGACTGTGCTCCTTCATGGCGATAGAATTGGAGATATTGTAGTTAAGCTTATGATCGATGGTGAACTTCACCGGATGAAGCCTTTCCCGGAGTACCACGCACTGTATCACGCGAAAACGCACAATTTTTATCGTGTCCTATGTCGTCTTTCAATCTTCCGGGCACGAGCCTACATGTAATGCAGATGTACCCCAGCTTCATCCACGATGAAAATCTTGCTTCCGGTATTACTACGCTGCAATGCAGCCTGCATTGCTGCTGGCTGCTGTTACAGAGGTTCTGTAGCGATCGGCCTCCCAACGTATCGATTCTGCATGCGCCACGTGCGGCTTGTGCAGAGGGAACAAAATCTTGTCGAGGCTAAAAACGCGAGCCAAGAAGGTGCTCTCGATGGGCATGAACTAAGTTCGCGCGACACTACAACCCACACGTTGAGAGTCCAATTCGTACTTCCTATCCTTCACTTGCAACCATCCTAGCAGTGAGCAGCAAAGACAAGCAGAGATTAACGCAAGATTAAACGAGAATGACAAATTCAAGACGTTTATGTATATGTATCTTGCAGCCGATCCCTTTGCGACTGCGTCCTTTGCACTACAGTAAGTATCTAGTTTCCGGCGGCCGCGCGGCGCTTCTTCTGGCGAATGGCGCGGAACTCGTTCTGGATCTCGTCGTTCGTCTTGCCCGACGTCTCCGGGAGCAGGAAGAACACGAACACGAACGAGATGGCCAGCAGCACCACGAACGGGAGGTAGGCCAAGTCCTCGAGAGCGCTCGAAATGTACGGGTATCCAACACCGACGATCAGGTTGGCCGTCCAGGCAACCATAACACCGATGGAGGTGACGGTGGCACGCGCGTAGTCGGGGAAGATGTCGGCAATGACCACGTACATCAGGGGGCCAAGACTCACACCGAAAGAGCCCACGTACGTCGCGATGAACAGAATCGACAGCGCCGACCAGCTGAACGACAGCGACAGCGTCACGCCGATAGCGCTGATGAACATGCCGGCAAGACCGCTCAGCAGCATGCGACGGTTGCCGAAGCGAGCAGCGAAGAAACCCGAGACCAACGTCGGCAGCATGTTGACAATGTCGATGATGATGGTGCTGACGCGAGCGTTGCTCAGACCGGCCTGGTTGAACAGGTCCGACGAGTAGTAGAACACCGTGTTGATACCCGTGATCTTCTGCATGCACGCAACACCAATAGCGATGATGAACTGGCGACGGAGCGGAGGCGCGATCAGCTCCGAGAAGGGCACACCCTTGCCGCTGCGGACGACCTCGTTGCCCGTCTCGCTCCACGTGCTCGACTGCATCTCCATGTCGTGCTTGCGCTTCGACTCGATCCACTCAAGAGCCACAGGCACGTTCTCGGCGCCGTACAGACGAGTGAGCACAGCCTCAGCCTCCGGGCGACGGCCCTTGAGCAGCAGCCACACAGGCGACTCCACCATCAGGAACGGCGACATGCTCAGGAAGATGGCCGCCAGCACGATCGGGAACGCAGCAATGTAACGCCAGCCGTTGTGGAAGTCCATGTAGAAGAACGTCGTCGCGACCAAGAGGATACCGACAGTGATGCCACTGTGGAGGACGGCGCCGAGAAGCGAACGGAGGTGGGGAGGCGAGATCTCGTTGATGTAGCCACCGACGTTGCCCGTCGTCGCACCAGAGGCAATACCAGCAAGCAGACGGCCGACTGCGAACACCCACAGGTTCGACACCGAAGCCATGATGACAGCACCAGCGATGATGAAGCCGCAGTTGTACACTAGGACTTGCTTGCGACCGAAGCGATCAGCGAACTTGCCGACAAGGCCGGCACCGATCATGCCACCGACAATCCATGCGTTCACGACGATGGTCCACTGGAACTTGGTGTGGCCCGGGAACATGATGCACGTGCCCTCAGCGATCGGACGGGCATTGCAGTCGTGCACATTGTTAAACTTGCGAAGGTTGAGCTGCGACGTCGACCAACCGTACTGCAGGGGCAGCACGAAGGCGAGCATGGCGCTCGTCCACAGGATGTACGTGGGCTTGATGCGCAGGCGAGCTGCAGCCTCTTCCGGCTCGAGCACCGTGTTGTGGATCTGGGGGGTCGAGACCTCCGCGTAGGCGGGGTCCACCGGGGAGGCGGGCACGGACTTGTTCTCGTCGGTCATTGTCGCTGGAAGCAGGCGGGTCGAGTGCGGTTGCGCTCGAGGAGGCCAATTGGAGAATGGTCGACATCCTGCGCCTCGCGACGATCGCGCAAGGGGGGACAGGAGAGCGGGCTCGTCGATCAGAGCATCCTGGTTGAACAACCGGAAGCCCAAGGAGCCGGCGATCTATGTCGATCGCGTTAGGCTCCAATCGTGGGTGCAGAACGAGGGCTGCTCGGAGCCGAGGGCATCAAGCACGAGTGGGTGAAGCTGAGCGGGGCTGTACATACCAGCCAGCAACGTGTGTACAAACGTTACACAGCAACAACAACATCACCGACACGTTCCCTTTTCTGTAACTTCCACGAGTCAACTTTTCTGCAAATTTCGTTTCGGCGATTCGCTTGTCGTCCACCAAATGCAACATGAAGTTGAACATCTGCCGAGACTTGCTTAAGTTCGGGCGACAATTTCCTAGCTTTGGTGGACACAACTCGCGATGGCGGGGAGACCCTTTCTTGAGAAACAGAACAGAGCCCCCAGAAATCCGATCCTGCGACCGCGAACATTTTCTGCCCCCGCTCGCCCCACTTGTCGACTAAGAGCGAACACTTTAGTCGACGGCCGATGCTGAACTGCAATGGCCTATCATACATAATGTGCGTGTGTTGAGTGACTGCATCGAGCTCCGCTTCGCTAGCGACGCTGCCTCCCATGCAGTCAATGTATGAAGGTGGCGAAGTCTCCTGTGGCGGGCGTCTAGCGGCACATTTGAGCAAGGACACAATAGAGACGGGGGCCAACATGTGCGGTCCTTGCGCTTCAGAAACCCCATCTTCCAGTTGCATATCGCATGATTCGTTCAATGTGGCTTTTCTCAACTTCAGAAACGGAGCCGAGCACTTCAGAAACGGAGCCGAAGCAGAACCGCCACCGGTTCTCCCCTACATGTACGTGCACGGTGCCCGTCGACAATACTGGGGAAGAGCTCTTTTGGTAAATGCCAAAATGCCAAAATGAAGGCCCCAGCAGTGCGAGCGCTTCACCACTTCATGGCATGCAACCTCCGCCCAGTATGTCGATTGCGTTGGCACGTGAGCGCGTCCACCAGCAAATCGAGCCATCATCTTCGCAGCAGTGTCGCGCTGGCTCGTCCGCCCGCGCGCGCGCCTTCAATTTAGAGCTTTCAGCAGAGCTTTGACGCAATTGTAAGCATTTTGCTGCTTTCGGCAGCCGACTGAGCAGGTTGAAGCGCGGCAGACATACAGCGCCGCGATCTCCTCGCCCGGCCACCACCGCCGGCACGCCTTGAAGTTTCGGCGATCTACCAAGTGCAAGCGTTGCATGCTCTCGGCCGAGTGCGCCACGCCACATTGTCATCGCTCCACGCTCGAGCGAGCAGCAGCACTCACCGTCTGTGGCCGATGATGTATTTGATGCCCTCACAACTCTCCTGCATCTTTCTGTAGCGGTCTCACCGGAACCGGGTCCTAACGAAGAAAATGAGCATGCAACAGGCCGCCCTCAAAGGAAGGCCCACGAGGGTTGAATGAGTGAGTGAGCCCTCACTTTGCTTCGCCACGACGTGGATAGGCATGTGTGGATGGGGCCAGCTGGCTCGGTAATAAAGTGGGCCCGGTCCAAGGACTGTACGAAGCAGACAAAGCGCAGCAACTACGGTCGGGCAGAGGCCTACAAGGCTTGCAGGCTGCTACACCCGCCCAACATCAACAGCAACAAGGTGAACGTAAGCTCCGTTTTATCAAGGAGGGACATTTTTGCTTCACGCACTAAAATGTAGCATTGACAACGTTAACTCGAAACTACGTCCAGGATACCTTCCGTTTAACGTAACGTGGCGGCGCTGAGGTGAGCTCCGATCCATGCGCAGGCTCGTCTCAACCACCCTTGACGGTCTTGTCGTGCTCGACGTCGTTGTGCAGGATTTTGTCGAGGTCCTCCTTGTTCACGTGCGCCGCCTCCTCCAGGTCGCTGTCATGGGCGACGTCGAACTCCTTGCCGCGCGCCTCGGGGCCGAGGAACGTGAGAAGGACCAGGTAGGCGTACACGACGGCCATGAAGATGCAGATGACCTTTCCGTACTCATAGCGGCTCGTGCCCTCGGCGGTCGGCGGCAGCGGGTAGTTCTCACCGAGACGCGCCTCGATCGTCGACGACGCCGACGAAATGAGGTTACCCAGCTGGTAGGAAGTTCCGACGATAAGCGTGCTGTACGACGGCGGCGACAGCTCCATGAGGTGAATCGGGACGACGCCCCACGCTCCCTGCACGCAGAACTGCTCGAAGAAGGCCGCGATCATGATTTTGGTGTCGCTCGTGTAGCTGTACGGGTACAGCAGCGCGGCGCCGATGACGGCCATGACGATGATGCTGAGACGGCGGCCGAAGACTTGCGAGTAGTAGCCGACCAGGGTGCCGCCCGTGATGGCGCCGAGGTTGGCCACGACCTGCGTCACGGTGACCTCGTCAGCCGTGAACTCGAACTGATTCTTGAGCATTGTCGGGTACAGGTCCTGCGAGCCGTGAGACTGAGGGGCGCAACAGAAAAACGGTTAGCATAACGTGTTGTGACTAAATTAGTGCACAGACAAGTAACATACCATGAAGTTGAAGCCGGCCATGAGCAGCACGAGGTAAGTCAGCAGCATCCAGTGACGCTTGAACGCGACCTTGCCCTCGTCGAGGAAGGCCTTGGTGACGTTGGGCGAGGCTTCGCGCACGGCCTGGCGCTCCTGGTACACCTTGGTCTCGGGCAGGTACAGACGCGCGATGATGATCAGCACGGGCGGGCAGGCTCCGAACCAGAAGAGCGGGCGCCAGCCGTGGCTCGTCGTGTTGACCAGCGCGCGGGCGAACACGACGGCAAGCAGGTAGCCGAAGGCGTAGCCCTGCTGCATCATGCCGGAGATGATGCCGCGCGCCCGCGGGGGACAGTCCTCGAGCGCCGTGGCGGCCACGTTGCCGTACAGGCCGCCCATGGCGATGCCGAAGAACGCGCGCACCCACAGGAACTGCGTGTAGGTGTTGCAGAAGCCCGTCATCAGCTCCAGCACGATGAAGAGAATGTTGTTTACGACAAACGGCCACTTCCTGGAAAGCAAAACTCGTCAGTACCTGCGCGCAATTCACTGCCGAGCCGAAAGCAATGTGAAGATTCTTACCTTCCCCAGCGGTCCGAAGCGATACCGAACGTGATCGAGCCGACCGATCGCAGCATGAGAACGAGCGTGATGCCCCACGTGATGTCCGTCTTGGTCTTGCCGAACTCCTCGGCCAGCTCCTCGATGGTCATCGAGACGGTGAAGAAGTCGAAGGCGTCCCAGGACCACGCGATGAAGGCCACCAGGAACTGCATCCACTGCAGCCGGTTGAGCAGCCCGAGCACCTTGAACGGGTTCTCGACCTGCGCCATGGTCGGCTTGAGTGTCGTCACGCGCGACTTGAGGTACTCGCCGACGCTCATCTTCTCGTCCGACGAGTGCGGCGCGTCGGGCACGCCCGGAGTCAGAGCTGGCACGTAGCCGCTGCCCGGCGACTGAGGAATGGGGGCCATGGCTGCTGTCCGATGCAGAGGAGACGTTGGCAGTGAGCTGTGGTGGCGTTCCGAGCTCGAAGGCGCCAATTCGAGAATGAGAGATCGCTGCTGGTGCTCGGCTGAGTAGGTCGAGGCCGGCTAAGAGGTCTACAGTAGTTGCAGTTGGCAGCCACAGGTACCTGTAATGTATGTCGGGCGGGTTTAACATGGCTGCCAGCGCTTCAAGCACCTAGGCGGGGCGTCAGGCGTGGGAAGTCCATCCTCGTTGAAGCATTGAGTTGGCGGGGTCTGGTTCAACGGTGAGCTCAGCTCAGCCGTAGGAACGATGGGCAGGACCTCCGATGTGTAGGTTTGTTGAGTGGTCCCGCGCCGGCACAACTGCTGCATCCACGGTGCACCATGCCCGCGCGAGAAGGCGGTTGTCCGGTGCCGGAGGTTACCAGAGCAAAGCATACAGCATGCATTTATGCATGCGACTTCAAGGCTCTCGCATGGTTTACCGCCGGGGTTGCCCTGCTTGTGCGCACAGACTAAAACTTACTAAAACGGCGACTAAAAGTTCAACACGCTCCCTCGGGGAAAGCAGAGGACCGCCAAGTGTGCGTGCCCTGACACGTTGAAGCGAGACCACAACGGTGCCTGCCCTTCAACGGAAAGCGAGTGACGCAGGGCTCGTTGCCAAGCGGAAATGGTGCGAGGTCCGCGATCCTCTGCGGGCAATTGACTCACGCGGTAAGGTTTTACTAGCAAAAAACTGAGAACATCCGTATGTGAACCCTCTCACAACCGGTGGCCGTCCTCAAAACTTCGGAACATTTCTCTCCCAAGGCACGTCGAGCCGAGCGTGATCTGCGGAAATCCCCTGTACAAACTGCGAGCGGCGTGACGAAAAGCGTAGCGGCGACCAATTTTAATCTGCAGACGTTGAAGGCCTCGCGCATGTACTATCCTATCCTCCACCGCTTCTGTTTTGTATTTTAATCTAGCAGAAGTGGACAGAGATCTGGACCGCCGTCAGGTCAACCGCCGATCTCCCTTGAAGGGGGGCCGCCATCGTTGCTGAGCTTCGAAAACTTGGCTGAAGTGCTGGATAATGCTCGGTAATGAAGCACAGAAGAAGCGAGTTGCCATCGCGAGATACCAAGAGGTATCGGAGACGGGAGTGCAACGCTCCGCATGAAAAGCTGAGGCAGATGGCGGTCCGCGGGTACAGTACACGCGGAGGTGGCTCCGCGTGTATTAACTGCTTCAGTCGGAGGGCGATGCGCTCTCAGACAGAAAGAGCCGCTGATCGGCACGAGCAGCTCGTGGTTGAAGTGGCGGTGCCAAAGTTCAACCGTGCAAGAATGAGCCCCTTGCAAATCCCTGGCCAAGTGACACTGCGCAGTCGCGCGCCGCCGCCATTCAGCCACGGTTGCTCATTCGCAATTGCAATGGTTTGGGTGCAATATGTACATGTATCGGAGCGATCTTGGTGGCAGTGTCCGCATGGCACGGGTATCACTGCACCAGTACACTTGCGCTAATTTGCTCAGCGCTTCAAACGCCCCCGCAGCATCGGGAACCAAACCGAAATACATGTATCGCCAACTTTGCTTCTCACCAGGTAATGGTGAGGGTCCAAACGTCTATAAGACCGATTTCGAAGCATAATTGAGCTCTTCGTGTAGTACATGTTGTAGTACTTATCACTGCCAAGGTGTCCGTAGGGCTCGATCTTCAACCACGACTCACTCGTGTGACACGAGTGAGTCGTGAAGTATTGAGCCAGCTGAATGAAACGAGGTGGAAAACACGACTCGTATTTTCCTCCTCGTTTCCGTTTCATTCTGCTGGCTCAATACTTCGGACTTATCAAGAGCTCGTGGGCCCGTTGATCAAGTCTGGGGGGTAGATTGCACCTGCTGAATCAGGGTCAGAGGACGCTTGGCCAGGAAAGCAACTCCATAGGTCCCAACGAACATCTACACGTACGACGCCGTACTACTAGTATTTGTTTTTACTTTTGCTCAACAAAAAAAAACTGCAGCAGTCTAAGGCCGCGTGCGAAGCACGCGCAGGTAAACTCAGGCTTAGCAAACGTGCTTGGATGGTCAATGCAAAAGCAACACGTTGAAATTGCAATTCTGTAAGTGACTAAAATTCAGAAGACAAGTTCAAATGCTCCACCCTTATAACTTGTTGGCTTCTTCTACTTTTTATGATGAACTTGTTCTGCCTTCGGGCCGATACAAGTACCCGGGCAAAATAACATAATAATGAAAGAGGATGTCGCGCAGACTTGGAAGACACATCAATTGCCCGAAAAGTGTCGGGCGTGTACTTACTGTTCTTCGAGAATCTCAATGCACAGTAAGCATGCGCCCAAATTGAGATGAAGCGGTGGTGCAGTACATGTATCAGATTGCATTGCTCCTTTGCCTAAAGCGCTGACGGCCGCCTACTCCAGAGCTGAATCCTGCTTCGTTTCGTTTGTGTTTCGTTTTGAGTTGAGGTGAGGTGCACTACAGTCTTTTAGCCTAACTAACGTCCTAATAAATGCCCAATCCTCCAGCGCTTACAGGTCGGAGATCTTACTTCCTCCCCAATGATGACACTCCAGCCCTCCCATGCTGCAACCTGTCAGCGAATTCGTGTGATGGGGCAAAAACAAGGCTGGTAGTATCCGTGAACGGCCCACCAAGCTAGTGCTCGGACTTCTCGATCGTTAATCCAACATTCATTCAACGCCAAAAAATATCGTTTGCAGGACCACAATGTCACTATAAGTATACCAGGACTACTTTTCGTGAGAATTTAGAAGAAGAATCGACATGATTTCTGTGCTACCGTAGTTTAGACACCTCACGTAAAACTACTTGACTGCTTACGTGGTATCCAATGCGGCTTGGTGCGATGCTATGGTGTCGATCGACAGGTCATAACCCAAACGGCTAAGCACTTCGGCTAGTGCCGCAAGATCGACTCTCAACTCCTCCGCGTGGCGATAGATAAACTTGCAGTGACTTCGCTAGGACGATTTGATGTTGGCAATACTGGTTAGGAGCTTTCGACGACGAGCGTGCTGTAACGACGGCGGCGACAGCTCCATGAGGACAAGGACGTTTTTGTGTGTGACGCTATGATAGCTTTGACTTCTTCACCGTAAGGAAAAGATGTTCAGCTAGTACAACTCGGATGGGTGTCAAGTAAATACCTAATTTAGACTTTCGACGAGTAAACAAAACTAATGACTGTGATGGAATGAAACCATGATCTCCGCAAGCTACAACTGTAAATTTTAAGTATACGTCGTGCAACAAAGGTTAACTACTTTCCACCTTGAACAGCGTGCTGACCTTAATGCCGAAAGCTTATTGATGTCCAGGCCCATCGGTAAACTGCTGCGAGCCATGACACTGCATATGAACCGTCGTGCCGTCCGTAAAGCGAACTGAACTGACAGCGGTTCTTCGCAATGTGTTCCAAGATACTCCTTCATCACGGGACAATGAATCACATAATACCTGGGCCCCAGTGAGAACTTTAATTAAAGGGTTAAAACGCGAAAATTGGTGCTGTCGCGCTGGATCTCACTGCGTGATTTCCGTAGGTGTTAGGTTTATGGTGGTCTAGAATCACACGCAACGTATCGTTGAGTTTTGAACTTTCACCGAAATTTAATAGATTGTATGCTTCATCTACCTCTTCTACTTCTTGCCGCCATCGAGGAGAGGAGCAAGTTCGCCAGGCATTACCTGTTGTTAATTGAACTTGGCAAAATGTCCACTTAATTAAGCGTAATAAGAACTATGGAGTGAGAAGCATGTCCCCCCTCTCCTTTAATAATAAGGGGTGAGGTCTATTAAAGCTAAAGAAGATGTAAGGTGAGCCGTATGCAGCTAACGAGTGAAACGCTATTAGTGGTGATGATAACACCTTCTTAATGTAGAGTGTGAGCAGGAGTGCAGATGAAACCATATGTTCCAAGTGCAACCAAGTACCAACTGTCAAGTACTAACTATCAGATCCTAATCTGAGTAGGCAAATCACCGCATCTGATTGGCTCAATCAACGGGGTGACACTAAACAACTCCGGACACTTAACACCTAGATTTCGGTACTTTGATCCTGATAAATATAAAGTTACTAATATACAACGATGGCGTACTCTCCTGAGCAATACCAAGCTAGCAAGGAACGTATCAAAGCAGCGCAGAAGCGCTACTACCAGCGCACACGCGAAGCCCGTTTATCTTATCAAAAAGACTACGATGACAAGAATAGAGACCAGATTCGAGCTCGCAAGCGTAAACCCAAAACCGAACTTATTGATGGTGAAGTCGAACTTAATAATGAAACCGAACTTAATTAATTAATTAATTTTTTTCCTCGGATAAAAAGTCGCCTATGATATAAAGTCAATCCTGATACAAGACCCAATATTATAAAGTCGTTTTTTCGGAGAATAATATAGCCACCGATATATAGCAATGTTCGCATACGAGCTTGAAGGTCTTAAGAGATTAAATATTAACCCAATCCGATGGGGTAGCAGCTACCGTATTAAGGTACGTGGCAAGACGGGGCGCATGGTATACATTAGCAACATTTCCCACCCCATCAACCAAAAATTGGTAGCGAAGCAGTACAAGATCAGTCTAGGCAAGCTCCAAAAGAATTTGGCTGCTGATTTCAAGGAAGACAGTAAGTACCGCTTCTACCAAGGCAAACACATGGAGTCGCACCTATATGAGGGAATCCAGCCTGCTGACTTCTACGACAAGCTTGAGAACGTGCTTGCAACCCAGAAGTCTGCCTTCAAGGTCAACATCGCTCTTGGATACAAGCTTGTCAGCAGAACCGATGACAGCGAGACTCGCTACTTCCACCCGAATATTAGCAACACATCTGTATTTAGCACTCCTGTGGCTATCAACAGCAAGGCTGATATTCGTAAGAAGGTGATCTCGGAGATTCGCTCCATGGAGTTGGCTGACAAGCTCAACTACCCCAGATCCGGGTACATGGTGAAGGGTATTACTGGCTTCAAAATCTATATCTACCAGCGCGACCATGCGCTGGGCGATAGTGAGGCTGTCATTCCTAAGGTGATCCGCGATAACAAGCACGTCATCAACTTCCCCAAGACGAATAACAAGTGTGTCTTCCACTGCATTGCTTATCACAAGCAGGAGGGGGCGAAGAAGGATCCACGCAGAATCCAGGCTCTGGTGAAACAAGCCTTCAAGCAGTACTGTTCGTACAAGGAGATCACCTACACTCTGGGTCTGTTCCGCAATTTCAAGCCTATCGATATTCTCCAATTCGATGAGCTTGAGGAGTGCTTCAAGCTGAACATCAACGTCTTCACCATGGATGTTGAGACGGGCAAGGTTGAATGCATTCGCCGCTCGGACAAGGACTATGATTCGATAAACATCCTGTCGCACGAGAATCACGCTCTCTACATCACGAACATTGATATGCTCCAGCAGAAGTACCAATGCTCCAAGTGTGAGATGGTGTTTGTCAGCTCTGATAAGCTACGCAACCACACCAAGAACCAGTGTGAACTCGTGAACATCGAATCGTTCCCAGCTCAGCCAACCATCTACCAACCCGCTCCGAATAGCATTCGTTCCAAACTGACTAAGTACTCCATCGAGGATGCTGACCATTACATCGATCACTTCATTGTATATGATTTTGAGGCTATCCTCAAGCCTACGGGTGTCAAACACGGAGAGAATACTATCTTCACAGACGAACACATCCCTGTGTCTGTTTCCGTAGCCAACAGCTTGACTGAGGAGGTGCGATGCTTTGTCAGCGATGATCCAAAGGAGTTGCTCAAGGATATGTTCCAGTACATCGAGGAAGTTGCGGCTAAGATTCAGCGTTATAACGTCTCGAAGTATGAGACTTTGCTACACAAGATCATCAACGTCCATGGTTTGACTGACGCTGAGGTTCCTGGCCTAGACTTGGGTAAGACGTACAAGATGGAAGATGTCAATGCTTGGATTCAGAACGGAGATTTTGCTAGTTTCTTCGATCTCCACAGCAAGCTCACATTCGGTAAGAAGCGCTCTGACTATGGTAAGCTGAAGCAGTGCATTGATCAGGTACCAGTACTCGGATTCAACTCTGGACGATACGACATCAACCTTATCAAGGCGGACCTGTTTGCAGTCATCGGTACTGACAACATCACATCAGTCAGCAAGAACCCTAGCTACATGTGCATCGCCACGTCAGACATGAAGATGCTTGACATTAGCAACTATGTTCCGGCAGGCACCAGCTATGCAAAGTACTTGTTGACATATCTCGGTGAGTGCAAGTGTGATGACAAGATTCGATGCGTCTGTGGCCTAGGAAAAGGTATCTTCCCGTACGAGTACATTACGTAATTTGACGTACTCAGTCAGTCGGAAGTCCCTCCTAAGTCGGCATTCGACGGCACTCTCCGTAGCACTAGCATCAGTGATGAGGACTTTGCGCGGGTACAGTTCGTATGGGGACACTATGGCATGAAGTCAATCAAGGATCTACTCATTTGGTACAACAACCTCGATGTAGTCCCCTTCATCAAGGCCATCAAAGCCCAGCGAGAACTATTCAAACGTTTCGAACTTGATATGTTCGCTGATGGTGTGTCGCTACCTGGTCTCTCTGAGAAAGTCATGTATCAGACGTGCTTCAACAACCTCCAGCAACCAAGTAAGGAGCCTGCGGAAGCGTTTGACTTTCCCACTAGTCGCTTAAGTGGATATAAGACCCAGGATGCTGATGCCGATCGCGAATTCAATATGACGCTAGAACACGTCAACGACTTGCTAGAGCGACAAAAGTACCTGTGCGGGTTATGCTACAAGCAACTCACAGCTGATACTGCCTCGGCCGACCGAATCAATAACAAGCTCGGACACATCGATGGCAATATCTTGATCAGCTGTGTGGGATGCAATGTTGCTCGCAAGAACATGTCGCTAAAGGGCTTCCGCCATAAGAAGCTACTTGAATTCAACTCAGACAGGTTGGTGTACAGTATCGATAGAGAGGAGAAGGACATCTACACCAAGATGAAGGCGAACATTGCTGGTGGTCCTTCTATCATCTTCAACAGATACGCAAAACGCAACGAAACTAAGATTCGAGGGGGTAAGATCTGCAAAAAGATCATCGGCTACGATGCTAATGCTCTGTATTTGTGGGCTCTTGGTAACGAGATGCCATGTGGACGGTTGACCACCATCGAGGCATACACAGGGATCGTCGATGATATTGTAAATGGCAAGATCTTTGGCTTCCTAGAGTGTGATATCCGTACACCAGAGCATCTCAAACCCTATTTCAGTGAAATGACCCCAATTTTCAAGAACACCCTTATCGACTGCAGCGATCGGAGTGTCATCGGTCTGCACATGTTCGAGTACAACGAGGGGTGCAAGCAAAGCCGAGCAAAGCCGGCTCGCAAACTCATCGGGAGCTACTTTGGTGAGAAGATCCTCATTTATGCACCGCTACTCAAATGGTACATTTCTCATGGCATGGAGATCACCAAGACTTACAGCTTCATCAGGGCTAGCTCTCACAAGGCGTTTGCTCCATTCATGGAAGCCGTATCGAACGCGCGACGGGAAGGTGATGCCGATAAGTCTAAGGCCATGATTGCTGAGATGATGAAACTAGTAGGTAATTCAGCGTTCGGTCGCAGTGGCATGGACATGAGCAAGCATAAGGAGGTCAAGTATGAGTCGGATGAGAAGGCAATTAAATCAAAGATTGAGCACTTCACCTTCCATGGAATGGAAGAGTTGAATGATTCATGTGAATTCACAATGAAGAAGAGAAAGCTCAACAACAAGAACCCAATTCATCTCTCGATTGCAATCTATCAGCTCGCTAAGCTCCGCATGCTTGAGTTCTACTACGATTTTATTGACTTCTACTTCGACCGCTCAAATTTTCAGTATCAGGAGATGGACACCGACTCTGGCTACATCGCTTTCAGCTGTGAAAAGCCATTTGAGGAGTGCATCAAGCCTGAGCTTCGTGAGCATTTTCAGCAGCACAAGTATGAGTGGTTCCCGCGCGACTATAATGAGACTGTAGCCAAGTTTGATCGTCGAACCCCTGGTTTATTTAAGGAAGAGTGGTCTGGTGATGCTATGGTATCATTGTCCTCTAAGAACTACATTTGCTACCTACCAGATGAATCTTACAAGGTCAAGGTTTCAGCGAAGGGAGTCCAGCAGAGTGCTGGACGCAATGGCGACGTCCTCAACCCAGATGGCTTTGAATCAGTTGTTCGCGATCGCATCACGCTACAGGGTACCAACAAGGGGTTTAGACTCAGTAAGGAGAGTAAGTCAATAATTACGTACAGCCAGACTAAAACAGCTCTAAATTACTACTCGTGTACTTGCGGATGGTATCACCACCGAGCCGCTCGACATATAAGCAACTACCCGGCAGGGGATTTTTTTTTGTTTTATAACCATATAGAGCGATGGATCAGCTGTTGTCCAAATTATACTATAACCCCAAAACGGGCTATGTGGGGGCACAAGCCTTGTACCAGAAGGCGAAAGAACTAAAGCCGAATATAACAATGAAAATCGTCAAGGAATGGTTCTCAAACCAGAGCGATATTCAGCGATTTCAGGAGCAGAAGAAGCGATACGATGGGTTCAAAATAGCTTCGCATAACCCTAACTCTTGGCAAATTGACCTCGCGTTTTGGGAGAAGCGACCAATTTTGACTGCTATCAATATCAACTCGAGGTTGGGCTTTGCCAAGGTCTTATCGAACAAGACAGCAGCAACTGTGTTAGCAGCGCTTAAAGCGTTTGTTCGACTCCATAAAGTGGATATCATTACAAGCGATAACGGTAGCGAGTTCATGAACTCGCAGGCTCAAGCATACTTCAAATCCAAAAAAATTGAACACTACAACAACGATCCAGGTGATCACGGTACTATGGGAAAAATCGAGCGATTTAACAGAACGTTGAAGCAGAGACTAACTAAAATGTCCCCCAATAGAATTACGCAAAAGCTTATTGGTGATGTGATCGAAAACTACAATAGCACGTTTCATCGTTCGATTGGTATGACCCCGAGTGATGCCAAAGGTAAAGTAATGGATGCGGATCTGAGTCATAATCAAGCAGAAGCCGATAGAATTGAGAAGGAGTTTGAGGTCGGATCAAGCGTATTATACCGTCTCAAGAAGCATGCATTTGGTAAGGAATCGGCTCGGTGGAGCAATGCAGTCTACATGATAGTTGGAATTGATGGCTACCGAGTCCAAATCCGCTCAAAGAATGGTCATACCCTCTACAAGGCTCCAAACGATCTTAAACTGGTCAAAACAGAGACTACAGATGCTACTATTAATCGAGGTGATATTCTTGAGGCGGAAAAGATCTTGGATCATAAGAAGACACGGACTGGGAAGTACAAATATCTGATAAAATGGCTCGGTAATGAACTTGACTCCTGGGAGCCACAAGATAATCTTAGATTTGTCAATAAGAACAAGAGATCAACCTTAGAGAATGAGTACTGGAAGTCGATAAAAAAATGAGTCGAACTAGCTTCAAAATAAGTTTAATAGAGCAATCCTCTGTAAGCTTTGACTCATCTATATCTATCAATTTAGTTTTTGAAAACGATTGCATAAATATATGACTTCATATAGATAAAAGAATGTGTTCCAACTGCGTAGAGAACCAACGTGAGCTTGTACAGCTCCGACGAAAGCTGTGGATCATTCAGGAGGTAAGTCGAATCAAAAATGAGTTGCTGAATCTTGATGCAAGCGCGAATTTTCGTAAGACAGTGGTCAATCATAAATACAGACACGAATTGGAGGAAATCTTTGGCGTTCCATTCCATTGTATTAAAGACCAATATTTAAATCTATTAAACGAACGAAATCGTATTTGTCATTCGTATCTACCTTTCCGCCATGACTCAGTTATGCCGAGCTATTGGTAATTCGAATACTCATTTTTTTATGCCTAACATCTATATAGGATCGATATGTTTCCAAATTTTACATCACTTGCTCAAAGAGAGCAGAAGCGACTAGAGTTGCTCGAAAGAGCTCAACGACGGGTTCGACAAGCCAATTCCAAGCGTCAGATGTACGAAGGCGCATCATGGGCTAGTGACATCATCAAGGGCATCACCACCGTTACTAAGAAAACAGCTGAATCCACACAGACTGATATTTCTGTCGGACCTGACGAAGAAACGCCTGATGAATTAAAAATTCCGCTCGCGGAAATCTTAAAAAAAAGCTGAAAATTGAAAACTCCCAGAAAAACCCTGAGTCCTCAACATCAACTAAAACTGAAGCCATGCCAAATGTTCATCCGTTAATGGTAGATGCTGGTGTTAGCGCAGTACCTACAACAAGCGATGCAGAAGCTACTGTTAAGCCTCAAACAAGTGATGCTTCGACCACAGCAAAGCCTCAAACCAGTGATGGTTGGGTCCACGTGAGACCTGATATGAATGATGTTGGAATTGATAATAGTGCAAGAATGACAGATACTGGTGTAAACACTGACATATTCAATGAGAAAAAGGCAGACACCTCTATTCGAGATATTGAGGAGCAAGTTCATGCGCGTGAATGGATTAAAAAGTTCTTTACGGACAATCCTAACTGGGTGGCGCTTGGTATTCACCCAGTGAAAAAGAAAACTGGTAGAGATGATCAAAACCTAGTAATTAGTGAAAAGGGTTCTCTTCGCTCAGTGCGTAGCGGTCGTAAATACAAGAGATATCACTTGATCGATTGGATTGCCACTGAAGGAAAGATTCGCGATATTTTCTACGATGGGGAAAGCAACTCGATCGATGAAGTTGATGCGATGCGTAGGGAAGACAAACCACCTCGATCAGATAGAAAGCGGAGAGGTGATGATGATATTGAGGACTTAGATACTCCACTTAAGGAGCCAAGACTAGATTTAAAGTACAAGGACAAATCTACTTCTACAAAGCTAGATGATGACGACGCCAAGTACAATCTTACATGGTTGATTATTCAAAATAGTGCTTTGCTAGAAGCCAATCATCTTCATAAGCAAATCAATCCTATCCTCAAGGACGGGAAAATTTATAAAGAGGGGTATCTATGGCTTGACGCCAATTTCCGAATCTATGTATTTGGAACCGACACTAATAAGCATCGCCCTGCTGTACAGAAAGAAGTCAATTGGATAGCCACACTCGAGCGATTCGTAGCAATGGTTAAGGATAAGGGATTGGTGCTATCGCTAAACACTCAAATGGATAAGGAGAAACTTGCCAAAGCATACGATGCGTTTGATGGGGACTTTGAAGAACTTCCAGGACTTAAAACCGGAAAAGATGAAGATATGGATAAATTAATGTCTATCCCAGATCTCGAAGCTAAAACCATCCTCACCCAGTACTATAAGAAACTTGCTAATAATGGAGTATCGATTGCCACAAGGTTGTATCCGATTGTTGATTCCGATAAGGGTATTAAAACCCATCCTACTTACTATCTTGGCATGCCGATAGATACTAAACCACTGAACTTCAAGAATGCACAGCACAAACCAGTGAAGGGTGATGCTATGGCTTACCTAATGAAAACTATCAGATGGATGGATACATTTCAATCCTTACTAACCAAGCTTGAAGATTATGGTAAGTACGTTGATGAGAATGATGATAAGAATTTAGAGAAAATTCTTGATGATAACCTCAAACTACTCCGTGAAGCTATCTTCAGCAACGTTTTGTGACATTAAAAGCCCACTAGGTTACGATGGCTATGAGGACGCGCAGCTACAAAAGCTACACGATGAGGCTGAAGAAGCCTATCGCGCATACGGAGAAGCCTACAGTCAGCTGGAAAAGAATCTACATGATTTAAAGAGCTCAAATTCAGAAGCCGATAAGGACGCTGTAAGAGCTTCAAAAGCAGCTGTAAAAGCTACTAAGGCAGCGTATACGGTTAAGAAACGTGATTATATAACCAGAGCACAAGAACTCAATGAAATTAGGTACAATGATCATCCAATGCCCGATTCGGCTCGAGCAAGGGTGGACCGAGCTAATGTCCGTGCTCACTTTCGTCATTTAGCTCAAGGTAGCGGGCTTAAGGGGCGAGGATTGCGTGGTGCAGGAGTTGCTCCATTGGAAGGTGTGGTTCGCCGAGGTCGTACCTATAATCTCAACGAGATCCAGGGATTAGCTACACCTAGTGCCTATACCTATAAGCAGCTTGGGAGCAAATACATCAGAATTCCCGATCTTGATGCAAAAACACTGGTCATTGTACAGCCGAATCGCCGAAAATGTGGTCCAAAATGTCAAATCAGTGAGAGTCTCCAAAGAATGATCCGAACCTTAGTCTATAAGCAGCAAATTGATCAAGCCTCATACGATAAGCTATCGATCGATGATAAGAAGCTTTTCAAGGAAATCCTAGCAATCACTCACCTCCAGTACAACTTCCACGACAAGCTTGAGGATCCACTTTCGACGCTCCGCGCCGAGTATGACAAGCTGAAAGGTGAATTAGAGCTAGGAAACGATAATCCTAGCATCATCAAACAGCTGAAGTCTCTCACGGTGGATATGTACAGCAATCGTCTGATTGATGATAAGGAGTTCAAGGAAATTATCACTCGATTACTATAAACTATGAAATTTCCTACTACTCTAATTATCGCTTGGGCCATTTTTATTTTCGGACTAATATAGCTATGTTCTTTTTCAACCCCCGCATCATCGCCAGTTCAGGCGGCAGCTATGGAGACAACAGCGATCTCAACATTGCTGAGCTCAAGTCCATCATGAAGAATCTAATCATCCATGACCGACCTCAACAGACCCAAGCAGCAGCATGGGCTACTGACCTCGATAAGTCAATCAAGAAGGTGGAAGCAGCTACCCAAACGGAAGGTGGACGGGTATGGGCGTACCAGCCGAAAAAAAAGTCGAAGAGCGTGAAAACCTTTGCTCTATAGAGATACTTCTGTTTGTTTCTCACGGTAGACTCTAATTTTTTTATCACCGATATCGATAGCCATGATAGCATTCTTGCCGTTGTGGACATTGCGCATGGGGATATAAGCATTATCACCAGTAGATACTACTCCATCGCGCATCGTTATTGAGCCGATGACTTGACCAGTTTCAGGATTTGTCAAATCCTTTGTGATCTGCCTTTTACTTGGTACGCAACCCATGATATATATACTCTACCAAAGATATTTTTTCGAGAACCAATCGGCTGTGTATAGATTTGATTCGTCAAGGGGTCCATGCCTCTTGTAGTAGCTCTCTCGGCGAGCCTTATCGTTATGATCGTAGTCTTTGTAAGCTTTCAACGATGTGCGATCTCGATACTGTTGATAAGGCTCACCAGTCCGCTTAATAGCACCAAAAGATACAACCCTCCCATCAGTAAAAACAGCATCATATTTTTTGCCTTTTCGAGTTGATAGTCGGAACTTGAATGGAGCCATTCTATATAATTGAGTCCAATTTTTGCTTGAGTTCATTGATTTGTTGCTGCTGCTGTTGAATCGCTTTGCACAGAACCGATGTCAGGCTAGATAGATCTATACCCCATGGATTGATTGGAAATCCATCAGCATTGAGATCATCGTTTGCTCCGATATCAACAGATTCCGGTATAACCTCATACATTTCCTGCGCGATGAATCCAACATGTGAGGTTTGCTCCTGAATCATTTTAAATCGTTTTGGTCGCATTCTCATGACCGCATCTATTCCATATTCTAAATCGATTATATCCTTCTTCAATCTCTGATCTGATGCGTTGGTATATGAACCACCTCTCACCGGAACATAGGCTGTCCAATTATAGTTTCCATCGCATTTGCCTAGACGGATCGCCCCGACCGTAAAGTCAGTTCCGATCGCTGGGTAGTCAGTCTGGCTCCAATTGAATCGATAACGAGCGAAACCATCTCCATTACCCTTGATATGCATGAAGTTGTTTGCCCATACCTCTCCTCCACTGTGGATGGTCGCTTCGGGGCTTGTGTTTCCAACTCCCAACCGTCCAGAGTCGTTGAGATATGCTTTGGTAGTATTACCAACCATGAACCTAAGAGGATCGCTTGTAGTGGTCCCTAAAGCTACTCCATTGCTTCCTCCAGCAACATCATTGAAAATTTGAACTTCGAATTCGATAGGCGTTGCCTGATCATTAGCGATTCTCATTGCACGCTGCCACGATCCGCTTAGTAAATTCGCGGTTGATGTAATATCAATTTTCGCGGTCGATGACGATGATCCGAATCTAATATACCCCTGTTGAGTGATACGCATGCGTTCAGTCATAGCACTAAGAGCATTTGAACCACTTCTGGTACTAATTGCAAAATCGGCCATCGAATATTGAGCGGCAGTAGCTGTTCTGGTACAATATAGATTGACAGATGGTGTATACGTAGTCATATCACTAGTACCTTCAATCACGAACGATAATCCAGCCTGAGCCCCAACCGTGTTGGATTGATTTCGGATAATGAGGTTGAAATCAGACGCACCCGTTGTCGATGTAAATGAAGTACCAGCAGCAATTTGGCATTGAGTGGTCGTCGTTGAGATCAGATTGGTCGAAGTTAGTGATGTGATACCTGTTGTCAACGCGCTATTAGAGTCTAGAACGAGTGCCTTCAATGCTTCAGCCGTTCCTGCCCCAGTAGTCAAATCCAAATAATTCAACTCGCTTGTAGTTGCTGTACATCCGGAAAGCTTGTTCAGCTCCGCTCCAGTAGCATTCAGGGTTGTTCCTTTGATTTGAAGAGTGGTAGGATTGATGTTGAGGGTAGTTGCATTCATCGTTTGAGTGCCGCTTTTCGAAATCGTATCACATGTCAGCGTTGGTGATGATATTGAAGTTGAAGCTATAAAATTGCGCGATATTGTTAGATCTCGAATTCCAGAGTAATCCTTTGTACTACTGAGTACGACAGCGGTACTGGGGGAAGCTCCTCCCTCGATAACGTTAAGAAAGTAAGCATGATTGAAGTTAACCCATGCACTAACGCCATCCCAGAACTTGAGATTCGGAATGAATAGACCTGTCCCACCCGTATTCAGGGTGAAATTGCTCAGCGTACCTACTGAGGTAATATTCGTCTGAGCCGCGGTTTGTAGCGTGCCTGTAAGACTCGAAGCTGATAATGAACTGATTCCTGAAACATTCTTCGATCCATCAAGTACCAATGCTTTGTTTAGATCCGCGGTACCAGGCGTAATTCCTAAAACGTGAGATGGAGCGCTTGTAATAGTTGATCCATTAACAGTCAGACTACTACAGCTGATTGCCCCGAGGCCGCTGATATCACCACCAGATCCAGGGACAAGTGCTACTCCTTGGGTTGCAATTCCTTGAGAGATACCGGTAATGTATGACAAACGATAGTCATACTTGTTTAGATAAAGAGTCTGAGCATAGTCATACGTTAGAAAACCACTGGCATCCAACGATAGGTAGAATGCAGGGTTATAGATTGAAGATGTGAATGTTGGTTGAGGATAAGAAAAACCAGAACTCATTTTGTCTAAAGCTATATAGATTAGACGATAATCATGAGCGGTATTCCTGATTTTGGGGCTTCAATCCCAAAAAAGTTCAAAAGCGCATCGATGGGTGATATTCCAGCGCTTGACATCAAAGCGTTGTTTAGAATGGTGGTTCTGGGGCCATCGTTCAGTGGGAAGAACAATCTATGTATGTACATCCTCAAACATTCTCCTCACGTATTCGCTCATCTAACGATCATTGCCCGTAATCCTCATCAGGAGTTGTACGAATATCTTCGCGACAAGCTGGATGGCTTTATCACATTCGCCGACCCTGATTCGCCTCCAAGTGTTGATCAGGTTCGTCATACACCAATCAACTCCAATAAACCTGAGCTCGTCATCATAGATGACTACAGCAACGATAAGCTACTTCAGAAGAATTTGTTCTCTCATTACTATACAAGAGGTCGCCACTTCAAGCTCAGTACGATATTCCTAAGCCACAGCTACTTTGCCACGGATAAGATGATACGCTTGAATTCAGAGTATGTAGCTATCCTAAAGGCGAATTCGAAGCGTGATCTCCAGATGGTTGTGAAAGATTTCAATATCAAGGGAGTAGATGATCGTTCAATCGTCTATTACTACAACAAGGCTACGGAGCGAAAGGGGCAAATGCTCTTCATAGATTCCGTCAAGGGTCAGATCAGGTATAACTTTGATAGAGTGATTCGAATTGAGGACTAATTTTATACAAAAAATGCTTCCATTCATATAAAACAATATGTCCAGCTTTATCAAACTCGATAGCACCAATCTGGTACAGGATGGAACCAACTCAACCTGGAAATACTCTTTTCCCGGATCGGCCGCTGACTTCCGCGATGTAGTATGTGCTATTCAATCGATTTCAATGTATAACTCCGAGTATAACATTGATTCGATGCAATTTCAGAACACAACCTTCAAAATCGAAGTACCTACCGCTGCAACTACATCGACAATCAATCTAAGCCTTCCTGATGGAATCTACTCCTACGACGATATCAATCGAAGCATTCAGACGGCTCTTGTCAATGCTGGGGCCTATCTCATCGATCCGTCTGGGAATAATACATTCTACCTCAAAATGAGTGCTAACAGCGTCTATTACGCTTGTCAGCTTGATTTCTCTCCTACACCTACAACGCTACCTACAGCTGGGGGTACATGGACAAGACCTACCACAGGTCTATATTCCTCGGGCGGTAGTGGATTGCCGACTACCACTCGTGTCCCTCGATTGATCATCGATAATGCTGAATTCGGAAAAGTAGTAGGATTGACGCTTGGGTCATATCCTGCTTCTCCAGCTACTGTTGCAAGTGCTCAGCTCTCTAATATCATTCCTCAGATCCATCCAACCAGTTCCTACATCGTCCGTTGCGATCTTATCAAAAACGAATACGTAGCCTCAGGCGATATTGTCAGCGCTTTTGATAGAGGCGATGCCGCTATTGGAAAGGTCATTTCATACAAACCGAGTCAGTATGCGTGGATGAACTGTCATAACGGATCTCGTGCCAGTATTACGCTAAGCATATACAATCAAAATGACAAGAAGGTCATTTTCCGTGATACTTCGGTATCTATTATGCTCTTGATCCGTCCAAAAAAATAAATCTTCGATAATGTTTTTACAATGTAAAAGAACCTCCAGACTTACCCTTCTTTCGCATAGCTCGTAGCTTTGCCATTCGCTCCTTCATCTCCGCCGAACCCTTCGCTGGGCGTTTCTTTGCTACTCCTACTCCATAACGACGACGAACCTCCTTTCGCATAGATCTGATTAGATCCTCATGTTCAGGCTTGGTAGCTTTTGATAGTAGGAACTTCTCTCCTGCATCGACCGCATCAGTGATGATTCCTCTACGTTTGGCATATCCAAGAGCATTCTTAGCAGCCTTCTTTACGTCAGCCATCGATACACGTCCTCCCTCCTTGTCGCTATCGGAGTCGTAAATACCGATTCCTGTTAGAGACTTAATTGCAGCTCGCGCGGGGATGGCAGCCGTTGGCTGACCGGCATACGTTGCTAACGCAGGAACGGCAGCATCAACGGCTTTGCTCAAGATTCCCGAATCTTTAGCAAATTTGAAAGCAGACTTGATCCCTCCCCACACCTTGGACCAAATAGAACCTCCTTGAGCCCTCTTGTATCCCTTCTTTACTTCGTGCTTGGTAATGTCAAGTCTGACACCGCGTCCAGCCTTACGAGCCTTAATAGCTTTCTCATAAGACGTCGGATGAAGGTGGATAACAGAGGCGCTACCCTTGAGTTCGTTTGATGTAAGACTAAGCTTACCGGTCTTGAAAGCTTTGCTAAGCTTTCGGGCAGGAATATCACTTCAAATAGTTAGTTCGCGGTACATGTTTGCTATATACGTTGAATTAAAGAATAGTTACATTTAAATCTTTCATATTTTTGAATACATCTGGCTTACGATATTGTTTCGAATAGAGCCACAGCATGCACCATATCCCACAATAATCACCATACGTACCTTGGTATTGCTTTGGATTGTATTTACCGACTCCATACTTTGTTGGGGCTGCCTCACCCATACTATCGAAATACTCCCCATCATGAACACATGTCCAATGTCCTACATCCATATTAGGTTGCCTCAACAAAATCAGATATGATCCTTTCTTTGGGAGCCGCTTTGTTATCTCACTTGACTCAAAAATATCATCAAGATGTATATTCATTTTTTTCGCAAGTTCAATGAGGTCATGATCAGATGTGATTGGTTTAATGAACTCCATAATAATTAATTTTGAGAAAGTATATTACATCCCATATAGAATCTCAACGATGAGTGAAACTCAATTATCCGACCAATATTTGTACCAGAGCTCGCTCAAGAGCGACCCGGAGATCAAGGTATCATCAGGCAAGCGTGTACCGTTTGTTATCGATCTCAACCAGGGATCGTATCAAAATGGTGTCATCACTATTGACGCAACAGCTCAACTGAATGGATCAGAAGGGTTTGCGAGCCTCCGTGATGCCTACATTATGCTTCCATACAAAGTATCGATGAAGAATGGTGCTACTGGTCAGACTCTACCTGCTAACCGCTTCTGCGCTACTCTAAAGTGTGGCAACTGGAATGTCATCGATAGCCTGAGTCTTGAACTAAATGGTAAGACCATCGTATCGATGGCCGACTACAAGTTCTTTTGGAACAACGTTCGCGCTCAGACTGGATACAGTCCTCAGTATGTAGAGAAGCATGGAGCGGAATCGTTCTTGTTCCCCGATGCTGCTCAGTCCGTCTCGTACAGCTCTGGAACTAATTCCCTCAACGGCGATGGCTATTCAAACACTGCTGCCTTTTCTTCAACTTTCACCACTTCTACTCCTGCTGGAGGAGCAACAATTGCTAATGACGGTCTCGTAAAGCGTCTGTTGTCGAACCCTCCTACTGCTGGCGTTGATTTCTCTTCGACGTGGCCTTCGGTGGGTGGAGCTGCTGCTTCTACCACCATTGCTAACCAAACTGCTCGTGGTGCATTTGTAGCTGGTGCTGCCACTGCTAACGCAATCATGGGTACATGGAACTACATGCTAAAGATCAAGCTATCCGATCTCCATCCTATCTTCAAGGAACTTGATTTAATGGCTAATCCCCAGATTCGTCTCCGTTTCCGCGTCAATCAGGGAACTTCTACTATCGCTGTAGATTCTACAAAGGGTATGTCTCTAACTTCTACTACCCTTGCTTCGGGCAATGTATGTCCTGTAATGGTCGCTGCCTCTTCCAGTGGTAATCCCATGGCTGGAGTGCTTGCTGCTTCTGCCGGATTCAGTATCTCTTGGGGCGCTGTAGTCAATGCTCTTGAACCTACTATCGATGGAACGTATATGCCTTTCACTACGGCTCGCCTGTATGTACCGTTTGTACATCTTTGAGAATCCTCAGGCTATCATTTCTAAGCCGGTTAAGAAGGTTCGCTACAACGATTGCTACGCTCAGTGGTTCTATCAGCGGGCTGGTATTGGAAAGCAATCGACTCAGCATAACGCTTCCTTTGATCTACAGCTATCGGCAAGTGTTAAGAATGCGAAATACGTAGTTGTACTCCCTTTTGCTGAACAGACTGGTAATTTCGCTTCTGCTACTGTTCAGGAATTCCAATCTCCGTTCGATAGTTCTCCATGGACACTCCACCCAGGTAGTTCGATTCGCAACTTCAACGTGCGCATTGGTTCTACTCAGGTGTTCGACATTAGCCATGATTATGACTTCCATCACTTCCACAATGAGTTGGCTAAGATCTCTTCGATCAATGGTGATCTAACACCTGAATTAGTTAATGGTCTCCTTGACTATCAGACGTGGTCGCTAACTAACCGTGTCCTTATCGCTGACGTTAGTCGTCTGACTGAGCGTGATGTACCTCAAGCCATTCAGATTCAGGGTACCAACGCTGGATGTCAAGGCGTAAATCTGTTGGTCCTCGTGATCAGCGAACAGGAACTAACGTTCGATAGACTAACCGGCGAAATTTTAGAATGCTCAACCGCATAGGTTGTAGACCCCATTTTAGCTAACAAAAAAAAATTAAGCTCCTTGAGTAGCTTAGGACACTTCTCAATCACGAATTTGCTCTTGCGTAGGTAATCGATATATCCGGGATCCATTCGGCTAATCTGCTTGAGAGTCTTACCCCGATACTTCCCCCATGTCATCATATATGAATTATCGTTGCTGAGAAACTTGGAGTGAAGGAAAATCTTGATATCCTCACTAATGTTAAGGCTTGGTTGGTTGTGCATCCATCGACAGTATCCAGGATCATTCTTGAATACATCCTCAATGGATTGACCTTTGTATTTTCCGAAAGTTAGTGTGTTCGACATGATGTATGTATGGTATCTATATAGATAGCCTCTTATTTTTTTGAAAAAAATAAATTATTTCTGAAAATGACGTCGTAATGTGCCAGTAATTATTAGGAGTTTCGTCTTACCCTCGCATGTGCGATCCTGCACGTCTACAGGGTCGCGCGGCTGCCCGCTCACTAACAGACGCCTCCTCAAGCTCTCAGGTGGTTGAGAGGTCGCGTCGTTGAAATCGCTGCTGTCCCGAAAGAAGGTTTCAGGAATGTTCTCGGTGGTTAATTACGGTAAGAAATTATGAAAATAAAAACTGCCGGTGTAATGTACTACTCACGACGAGCGCGCACACATGCTCCGCACCGAGGCGTTGTCGGAGGACGCGAGGGAGTAGACAATCAATACATTATGGGATCTTACCAAAGTCATGAAATGGACTGTTTTGTAGTAGCAGCAAGGCAGCGTCAGTCAGTCTTGGTATTTGTATTTGTATTTGTATTTGTATTTGTATTTGTATTTGTTGCGGTTTGCTTGGCTACCTTCCTCCCGGAGGCGCACACTGCTGCAGCTCCACCTACGTCGGTAGTGGACACCACTGACCTCACCCGCGGCCACGTGTAGGCAAGCTGTTGGTGGTGTCGCAAACAAATAACTACAAAACGACGTGAGGGCCTCTAAGAGTCAAATGAGCGGCGAAACTTCTCGGGAATACATGAAAAATGCCAAAGCTAAAGTAATTGATCAGCCCGGCTGAAGGCGCTTACCAGTTTGCTCGGCCTGCTACTGTAGTACTAGGAAATCTAAACGATCTAAGCTCGCCGTGGTGTTTTAAATATGTAGAGGGAGTTTGTTGGTGTCGCAGCGCTCCTCCGCACAGTTCTATCGAACCGCCAATCATTACTACCACTACTATGCTGCGCCCGATATTAGTCAGGATACGAAGTGCAACGAAATGCATCAAAAAGAGTAGCGAAGAGGAACGCGGGCCTTCCTAGCAGAGCCTGCGAGCACTCTGCGCCTGGCAGTGCCAACAGAATTGGCAAGTCGTACTATTCGCCAATCAAATCACTAGATTTGATTTGTCGTCAAACTGTCTTACGAATGCTCGACACAAGTGATTGATTACTTTGATGAATTTTTCCAGGCGGGGAAACCACCCGAAGATTTGAGCATGTGTTGTTAATATGACCTAGGCTGAACTGAACTGCCGATGAACTGTTTTGCGCTCTTCCTAATAAGAACTATGGAGCGAGAAGCATGTTCCCCCTCTCCTTTAATAATAAGGGTGAGGTCTATTGTGTTACTGATTCCGTCTTGGAAATGTTCCGCCTCTCCTTATTGGCTGCCCTGATACTTTATCTCGGCCTGCGTGCGCTTCTAGTTAAGTTTACCCAATTGACGCTCTCTTTGCATGCACCTGACTATTATTCCAGAGTCATCTCCGTCTGCTTCTTGAGCTGAGGCTAGGCATCGAAAGTATACACGTCAGAGATCTCAAACTTGCAAGAACCTGATTTTTCAACTAAAAAAACAGATCACAAAAGCTCCAGTAGAAGTACAAATATATCATACTACTTCATCCCTAGGAGAATTCCTGTTCCCACTCTAAATTAGTGCTACATAAACCATTCAAGGTGGCGACGTTTTGCTCAGAGCGATATTGGTTGCACCACTCGAATTTACATGAAAACATTGTGCTCCCTCCCTACATGTAAGTGGTTTTACCAGCAAATTTGATTGCGGTTTTCTTAGACGGCTAACAAAGGCGAGTTCCACACTGTTGTCGAGTAAGTAGCACCCTAGTTCAAATAAGTTGAGAAGTCAGATAAAAAGGCAATCGAACTATTGTCCATTTCACTTATTCTGCCGTGATAATTCTGGCATAACTCTAATCCCTTATCAACCTTAATTATGCCCTGAGGTAGCTAATTCCCATGTTAATTCCGGGTTGTCCCTCCGTGGTCGAATTAGGAGCGGCGATGTTGAGGCCGAGTTAAGGCGGAATAAGCTAATCCAGCCTGCGTTAGGCGAAAACAGAGCGATTGGCGGCTTCCTACCCGCCAATCCATGCCGTATCTCCGTCGATTGGCTCTCAAATGCTGATCGCGGGTGTTAGGGGAAGCGCTCACAATAAGCGTTAATCGCCCTTTTATGACTCTAATTCCGCCTGAATTAACAGCTCGCCCGCCAAAATATGTGAAAGGCACAATTACGCCGTGCTTTACACGGGGCAGCTCTGGGTTTTCTTAAACCTCCCTGGTATTCTGCCTATTGTTTCTTAAAAGTTGTTAATAAATGCCTGAGCTTTTTAATACTAAGATTTTCTACCATAAATCACGTAGAAAATGAGAACTCTGCAATCCATGCATAATTTTCTAACATTTTTCGTTGCGACTTTGGCGCGCACACCTGTGGCGCACCAGTCGCTCGCTTCGTTAACGTTCAAACATTGTATTCATCGGCGAAACTCCGTATTAAACTTAAGACTAATGATGTCAAATGAGCTTGAAAATACTACCTCCAAGTTGGCGATTGCTAGTCTCGTCTCGTAAAGTGGCTATATCTTGGGGGGGTCAGAGAGCCTCTACTTATAAAATTGTAAAGTGGCTGTCTCTGCAGCTAACTCATATCTGGTTGCGTTCCTTTCAAGTCGCAACGTGGTGCCTGTACCTAGCCCCAACACTTTTTGTCCTAGGATCTAGGACCAAAACTCACTTAAGTACGCCGTATTTAGCAGGGGTTTGTCCTAGAACCAGCAAAAAGGACCAAAAGTGACTTGGGGGTTGTATGGAAGGAAATAAGATCCAGGTAAGTACGAGGGTTCATGTATAACAAAGGCAAAAACTGTTCGAGTGGTGTAATGGCTGAAGCCCTTTACTGAACTCAAGTCATTTTAAGGAATTTGTCCCAGAATCCTGGGCAAAAATGAAATGTAATATGTTATTAATGACACCTTTCAACTGTAGCTTTTGCCGTTATGGACAATGGTGGACACTACGCATAACACAGGATTAAAAGAGGGAATCAAACGCTTTTTCTCCGTACCAATAAGATGGCTTATCTTTGAAAAACAACGCCAGCATAAGCTTCTAACTTTTGGTCCTTGTTTTTGTCCTTGATTTGGCGGGTGTTGGGGTTAGTATACATGTAGACAAGCACGAGCTATGACAAATACTTAAGTACTTAGTATGCTCCAGCAAAGGAGTTGCGCTTCGGACGACATTCACGTGAATAAATTACTTCGGTCCGTCGTAATTTACCGACGATGTTGCACTTAGCCGCCACAAGCAACATCCACCTCATTTGCATCGTTTTTACTGCGGCTATACGGTTTTGAAGCTGCTATAATAGATCAGAGTATCACCCTGCATTCTCGATACAAACGAATATAACAAGTAAGCAATATAAGGAGAAAAACTCGCTATATTGGGTTCAAGTATCCAGTTGGATTCTTATATAACATGAATATCAGGTTCTCAAGTATTATTTTAGCTAAGTTTTGAGTTTCATGCGTTAGTTTGGGTTCTAAGTACATGTATAAGAATTTGAAGTAAGTTTGGGTCGGAGTGACTCCCTTCGTTAACTCTGGATCTAAACTCCAGAGAACACATGTTCTTCATAAAGGCGCGTTTCTTACAAGCAACTGACGTTTTATTACTTTAGAACTCTTTTTTTAATCATTTTACTTGGTTGTGCTTGGACTGCGAAACTTACTGTGAGTAGCTGGAGTTATCAGAACTGATGCGCCCAAAGAACACAATACTGTACCATGTCGCTCAAGGCTGATTGAAAAAAAAAAAACATACACAAATAAAGCAGCCCCTAACGGGGCTATCACGCTCTCCACAGCACCCCACGATAAACGCTCTGACCCGGATTCATGGGAATGCTTACATCTCTACCTGAACACTCCGTCAGTTCCTTGATACCCTTAAACCAGCCCGATTTGGAAAAATTATGGACGGAATTCACACTTTAACACCAAGTAAAAATATACATCGAATCATGTTTCCGTTTTGACAGAACAATAGTACACAGTTTACTACAACATTATATATGAAGGGCTACATGTATGGTGGCTTCGTATCGTCAGAGCCTAGAACTCTCAATGAACACAATGTACTTAAGTACCTCACCATGAAAATGAGAATGAAATGAATGTGGCTTCATCCGTTTTGGCAAATCGGGTGGTCCGAGTCAAATCGGGCGAATTTGCTGGAGGGCTCCGATTTAGCAAGAAGGGGGAAAATAGATATATCTGCCCGATTTGCAAGGAGCCTGAATTGCCGATTTTTACCGGCAAAAGGGATCACTACCAAACATTTCTGGGACCTTCTCAGATTGGCATGACATGATGTTATAGCTGCCGAACGTGAATGAGCAGACCATTGTGCCACTACATGGATACATGTGCTTTTGCCTCCAATGTCTGCTCGGTGTAATGCATCCTTAGCGATAGAGATGTATGTTGACATTGTGATGTCCCTGTTTTTACGCTCCTATTTCAGGGCAGAAAAAACTAAATCGGAACTCCATTATGGAGCTCCATTTTATGTAAATCATACATCGCGTTGATCGTGTTCTAGTGCTGCAAGATGTGCTCCTGGTGTCTTTGGCGTCGTTCGCTTCACCCGTACTGCCACACTTCGGTCACGCATGAAACATTGAACTAATTCACGCATTTAAAAGGAAACGTTGACTACAGCTTTTAGCTACATGCAAGAGGCCCGTCCGTTTAACTTAACGGGGATGGGTGAGCTTCAGTTCATGCACACAGACCTTGCGGCCTCCTTGACTATTATGTTGTGCACGGCGGTATTGAACATATCTGGTCGAGGTCCCTCCATTCCACTTGTGCGCTGCCTCTTCCAATTCGTTGTCGTGGGTGATGTCGAACTTCTCACCGCGCGCCTCAAGGCAGACGCACGTGAGCAGCACCAGGTTCGCGTAACGGAACGTCATGAAGACACAGATGGCGATACCCTAAATTATAGCGGCTCATGCCCTCGGCGGTCGGCGGCTGTGCTCATCACCAAGACGGACCTTCAACGCCGACGAGGCCGAGGTGATGACGTTACCTAGCTGGTGGGAAGTTCCGACGATAAGCGTGCTGTACGACGGCGGCGACAGCTCCATGAGGTGGATCCAGACGACTCTCCTCGCTCCCTGCACGCGAAACGGCTCGAAGAAGTCCGCGGTCATGCTTTTGGTGTTGTCATGTAGCTAGCAGCGCGGCACCGATGACGGCCATGACGATGATGCTGAGACGGCGGCCTATGATTTGCGAGTGGTAGCCGACCAAGGTGCCGCCCGTAATGGCGCCGAGGTTGGCCACGACCTGTGTCACGGCGACCTCGTCAGCCAAAAACGCGAACTGGTTCTTACACATTGTTAGGTACAGGTCCTGCGAGCCATGAGACTACAGGGACAAACCAAAGCAACAGGATAGTAGCTAGCATAACGTGTCATGGCAGGACCGATGGCGTCACCACAGCTTACCATGAAGTTGAAGCCGGCCACGAGCAGCACGAGGTAAGCCAGCAGTATCCAGTGGCGCTTGAACGCGACCTTGCCGTCGGCAAGGAATACCTCGATGCCGTTTGAACGGAGCCTCGAGCAAGGCCTGGAGCTCCTGGTACACCTTGGTCTCAGAAAGGTACAGACGCGCGATGTTCATCAGTACGAGTGGGAAGGATCCTAACCAGCGGGCACCAACCGGGGCTTGTCGTGTTGACCAGCACGCGCGCGAACACGATGGCCAGCAAGTAGACGGCGATATAGCCCTACTGCATCATGCCGGGGATGATTCCGCACGCGCTGGGAGAAGCCGTGAATCGCCATGGCGGTCACTTTGCCGTACAAGCCGCCGGTGGAGATGCTGAAGAGGGCGCTAACTCAGAGTAATTGAGTCTGAGTTGCGCTACATTTGACTTGGGCAATGGTCGTAATAAACCATTTTTGTTCTTGTGCACGAAAGTGCGGCGGGACTTTAGTGCACTTTCGAGGACTTCCGTGCACTGCACTAAACAGCCCTATACCGTAATAAACGGGTCCGGTGCGACAATATTTTTAGGTCAAAACTAAGTCAACTAAAAAACAACCATGATGTTTTTCATCCAGAGTGCTGCGATGAGCTCCGTCCGGCAGGATGCCTCTCCGCCTCTCATTCTTAAAGCTGCGATCCATATGCTAGTTGCGAGTGGGAGGGGGTGTCACCCTCACATATGCCGTTGTCGCATTGAAACCGTTTGTCGCAATGAAACCGTTTATTACGGTACATCACGTCCATAATAAAATTCACAAAACCAAGTAAAATACCGAAAAAGCTTAAAGTTAAAAATGAAGGAATGCGGTTTGGGACACAGCTAGCCGATTAAACGCAATCAAATCAAATTAATCAAATTCTTGAAAAACTCTGCTGCCACGTAGACGACAGGAAGAACAAGTGTTTAGATGTATTAAACTTATTTTTCGAGTTGCTACCGCTCTGAGCAAATATTAAATGATTTCTCAGCGTGAGCGTTTTGATGTTAGTGAAATTTACTAGACACTAAGTCACTGTCACACAGTGGCATGTCAGCTGACTGTATGTAGACGAGTTACAGTAGTAGCAGGGTAATAGTCGTTCGATCTGTTGCGGTTGAAGTGGATACAAACTAACGACAAGCTGCTTTTCTCATCTTAGAATGCAGGAAGATTGGTCGAGGAGAGCAGTAAAAATTACTTAATTATTTAAGACTTCAAATATCAAAGGCAGTATCCGCTCTTCCTACTTGAAAATTGTGCAAGCAAAAATATAATGTTTTTATTATCCGTTTTTACAAATCTGATTCAATTTACATCTGGCCTGATTTGCCAGGGCTCCGATTCAGGATATCTACCTCGATTTGCGGTAACTAAAGCGGACTTCCATGCTGGAGCTCCATTTTAGGGGCTCCGAAGTTAAATGAAAAGCACCCTTTCTTTTTGAGATATGATTGGTTAAAAACAAACATTCTCCACCAATCCCCGCAATTATCGGACACAGTTATAACCAATCCCAGGTCGCAAATGTCGTTCACCTGGCCCAGTATACCGTCGCTCTTCCCCCTCTTTTCGCGCCTTCATCGCGCGCCCATAGCAATTCCAAGTGAAGGGGAGGAGGCTGTGCGTCACCATGTTCCCCGGCCGTGGCGACAACATCAAGCGCGAGAAGGCGGCCGCAGTGGTGCGTCCTCAGCTGCCTCCAACTAACACCTAGGTAGCAGCCCTCTGACCTGACCAAACTCTCGTGTCTCGCCCAGGTGGGAGGCCCGCACGCGCACAGCAACGGCTGCGCCGTGTGCGGCTCGGACCAGAACGGGGACAGCATCCTGCTCTGCGACGGCTGCGACGGCGAGTACCACACGTACTGCCTCGTGCCGCCGCTCACGGAGATCCCGGCCGGAGACTTTTACTGCAAGAAGTGCACGGACGCCAACCTGGCCAAGCAGCGCAAGGCCGCGGCCCTCGGCGGCGCTAACGCTGCTGCTTCAGCTGCTGCTGCAGCCCCAGCCTCTGCTCCCACTAGTGCTGCTGCTGGCAGTACTGTTGCCTCTAGTAGGCCGCTGGCCCCTGCTCCCAGCGCCGTCGCAGCCCCCGCTGCTACGGCCGCGGCCATTGCAGCCGCCACCGCGCCCAAGCCCACGATCCTCATGAAGGAGTCCAAGTACAGAGGCGTGTCCAAAGTGTCCATGAAGGGCGTCAAGAAGCCCTTCGTGGCCAAGCTCTGGCAGGGCTCCAAGTACCTGCAGCTCGGCACCTTCGGCAGCGAGATCGAGGCGGCCCACGCCTACGACAAGGCCGCGCTCATGCACTACGGCAAGAGCGCGCAGCTCAACTTCCCGCACCTGCACGACAGCTTCATCCGCCCCGAGGTCGCCTTCAGCGTGCGGCCGCCCAACCCGAGCGTCGCGCCTGCAGCACCCGCTGCCACTCCGTCCCTGGCACACCACGCAGACCTGTACCCGTCTCCTGGACGCGGGCGGGGCCGTGGACGTGGGCGCGGCCGAGGTCGTGGGCGTGGCAAACGCTCCCAGGAATCCCCCGACGCGCATGCGGCCGCTGCGCACTTGGAAGCTAAGCGTCGCAAGATGGAAGAGGCGGCTGGAGCCCAGGAGAAGGCCTCGGGCGTGCCAGCCAAAAAGTACCTGGGCGTGCAGGTGCACCGCGTGTACGCCCACGCCCAGATCCACGTGAACGGTAAGGTCGTCAACCTGGGCACGTTCCCCACGGCCAAGGATGCAGCGATGGCGTACGACAAGGCGGCACTGAAATTCTTTGGTGGCCCGGTCGGCTCCAGCGACGCTCGCCCCGACGAAATCGTTCTCAATTTCCCTGAGAAGCGAGACGAGTTTTTGAAGCAATTGCTCGAGGAAGAGAAGCAGAAGATGGCGCGACAGGCCAGCGGCTCGAGCTATGCGAGTCGTAGTGCGCAGAACGCCAAGTACAACCTGTCCATCATGAAGCTGAACGCCTGGATGTCGAAGCTGCAGCGATCGGTGAAGATGGTGGAGGCCTCGCAGAGAGTGCAGTGGGGTCTGCATCCCGATGCTGTGCAAAGTGAGGAGGATCAAGAGGAAAAGCAAGAAGAAGATGCAACAGATGAAGTTTCTGCACTGGTGAAGACGGAGATTTTCGGCTCTGGACCTACGATCAAAAAGGAGTTCACGACGCGGGACCAGAAATTGAGACAGAGCAAAACCGAGATCCAGAATGCGGTCGCGCTGATGATCGAAGAGCTCAAGATTTACGCGGCGGACTCTCCTGTAGACCCACTTTTCCTGGCCCCACCGCGCTGTGCACCTATTCTCGACTTGTTGTCTACGTCGCGGCATCTGAAGTTGATTAGTGCGATTAATGACCTTGCGCACCTCAAAGTTAAAGTGGATGGGAAAGACTCAGCCGCGGCAGTTGACGGCCAGTTCGAAAGCAAGCTGCAAGCTGTTGTCGACTATCGTGCCCGATTGCAAATGTCGAGCAACAACGAGAAGCAGAAACTGGCAAATTTTATGCGCGATTTGGAGAGCGTGGTGCTACCTGCTCCGAGTAGCACCGGAGCTCCAGCTGCTGTTGTCGGTACTGCCCCCGTTTCGACGGATGTTGTGCCTCAGGCGACGAAAAAGACCGACCTTCTGAAAACTGCCAAGTACGTGAAGCGAAAAGTGTTCATTTCTAAGCCGGCCAAGCCAGCAAGCGTTGCAGACGATGTCGAGCCAAAGGAGCCGCTTGACCAGGCCAGTCAGAAGGAGGGAATTAGTAAAGAAGCGGCCGCGAATAATGCATCAGAGGCAGATGTGAAGACGGAAGTTGTTAGTGCCGCGGAGCAACAACAAACTGAAAGCTCCACTGACGCGACACCTGCGAAGGAAAACGAGACTACAGCGGATGCGGAGGTGAAGGGTGCGAATGCTGGTGAAGTCGATGGCGGTGAGAAGTCACAAACGGATGCTGCTGGTACGGCAGTATCGCAAGATACTGCTAATGATGATGCGGCCGAGGAGGCAAAGGAGGTTGCTTCCACTGATACTCCTGACGAAGGCAAACCTGAAGAGAAGGAATCCAAGGAGGATAAGGAAGAAGCAACTGCAGCTGAGGCCAATGGTGAAAAGGCAGATGAGGACAAGTCTGAGACGAAGACCACAACAGAAACTGACTCGGACGAGCAGAAGTCAGCAGACATTGCTGAAGAGAAAGGGAACGCAGAGACACCAGAGGTCGACGAGACTGGCGTGGAAAACACGGAGGATGGTAAATCCGAAGACGCCGCTTCTTCTGAAAGAAAAGCATCCAGTGGCGAACATGAACCAGTCGCTGCGAAGAAGGACGATGATGTGGTGATGGAAGACGCTGCTGAGACTTCGGCATCAAATGCCCTGGTTATCCCGCAACAGGATGAATTTGAATGGCAATTCTGCCTGGCTGTTCAGGTGCCACCCGTGAAGGACAGCCCCACAGCAACAGAAGACGTGTGGCGCTTGCTCCCTCTATCAAGCAACAACCAGTTGGGTGAGTTTGTGGAGGACGTCTTCTTGACTGAAAAGGAGGTCTCGGACATGGAAGTTGCAGAGGAGGAAGTATGCTCCTCTTCAGCTGCTCCTGACGGCAAAACTGCGTGGATGGAGCACTTGCGGCAGCTGCATGTTGAGGAGAGCCAAGTGAGGCAGCAAATTCAGCGTGAAACCAACCACCAGCACGCGTTGCAAGGCATCATGAAGATCGAACAAGACCGACTCAATGGCGTTTCGGTAGTGTATCGCGAAGCTATGCAAAAACTGGACGCTAAAACTTCGCTGGCATTGAAGAACCATGCGCGTGTGAGCCAGGATGCGCAATTGGTGAAGTTGATGCAGCACTCCTTCAACCCAATTCTGGGTGACTTGCTCGACAAGTGCGAAGACGCACTGTTGAATTGTTTCCGCAAACTATCTCTGCGGTTTGAGGACTTCGCTCAAGAATTTGAGTACTATCGCAACGCGTTGCTCAGTTTAATGCGATCGCCAGGGAAGGATGTTCCTGCGGTGAAGGGTGATGCCAGCCCAGTTGATGCTGCGGATCTGGTTATGGATGATGACAGCGTGACAATCAAGCGTGAAAACATCGCGAAGGTAACGAGCGAGATTGCTGATACTGATCCAGCAGCATCACCGGAAGTTGTGGAGCTTGTCGACGACAGTGAAGCCATTGCGACCGAAGAGGGAGATGAGTTTGACCAGTTAGGCGACAGCTCGGGGTTGCGTGAAGCTTATATTACGTTTTACATGGGCGAAATGGAGGCTTTGTGGAAGGAGCGGAGTTCTTCGCTCGAAATGGTGCAAGCTATCCAGCGTTCTTTGCTCAATAATGCGCTTGAAGTGGCGTCGCCTGCTAAGGCTGTGGTGCCGCAGAGGCCATCAAAGACAAAGACGTCTGACGACGTTGAGATGAAGGTAGAGGACGAAGCTGCTGAGGAGAAGACGGATGAGTCTGAAACCGAAGCTCAGCCCGAGGATAAAGCAACCGAGGCCACCTCAGTGGAGAAGTCACAGGAAGCTGCAAACACTCCCGCGGAGACCGAAAAAGAGGCGGATGTGAAGTCGGATGCTAGCACTGAAGTCGTCGTGAAAACGGAGCCCCAGGAGGAATCCGGTAATTTCCGGCGGGAACAGGAGTTGCGTGAAGCGGTCGAATCGTGCTTAGCGCAGTGGCAGCGTATTCAGTGGCCGGAGGAGCTGAACTCGACGTTCTTGGCACCCACAACTCCTACTTCATCGAACGAACCTGCAGCGATCAAGAGTGAGCTGATCAAGACACAGTCTACAATTGGAGCAGACGGCGATGATTCAGAGTACGAGTCGCCGTACAGCGTGATGGACGAGCTGAAGCGTGTGATGATCGACTTGACACAAGATCAGGTGGTCCCAGTCCCACCGCCAGTTGAGCCAACGACACTGGTGGTGTATCACCCTGTGTTCATTAACCACCAGACGCCAAAGAATCACCCCGAGTGCCCCGAACGCATGGATGTAAGTGCCGTCCGTTATCAAAACTGTCGTGTAGGTGTCTCTAACCAAACTTTGTGTGTGTGCTTCCTTTTCAGCGTGTTGTGAGCATCCTGAATACACTGGTCAAGAAACACCAAGATACTTTGAAGCTTGACCGTCTCTCGATGTCTCCCGAAGAGTTGTGCCCGCCCGAAACTACGCTCCTGATGGTGCATTCGCCAACTTACTTGCGGCAGATGAAGCAGCGGTCCATTGAGGCCGGGTCGCAGACAGCCTCTTCTCCCACGGCATCGTCGCCATCGTCGCGCGCTTTGGTCTTCGAGTCCGACTCGGGTATCCGCGAAGACGCACCCAAGCGAAGAGGCAGAAAGAAGGCCGCGCTGGTTGGCGCCTTTGGCGCTGCCAGTCTCGAGCAGAATGGAATCACGTTGGACACGTTCGTGAGCAGCAAGTCGTGGGACGTGGCCCGTGCAGCTGCAGGCACCGTGTGCCTTGCGGTGGACCGTGTTGTGCGCAAGGAGTACCATAACGCCGTGTGCCTGGTGCGGCCACCGGGCCACCACGTTGGCCGTCACGGCCGGACGGAAACTGCCCCATCCTCGGGCTTTTGCTTACTGAACAACGTGGTGATCGGTGCGACGCACGCGCGGCTGTACCCGTGGATCCGGAAGGTTGCGGTGCTTGACTGGGACATTCACCACGGAAACGGCACCGAGGAGCTGCTGAAGGACGACCCGGACGCCTTCTTCGCCTCCATCCACCTGTACTCGTCGGGGAAATACTTCCCAGGCACGGGGAAGTCGTGCGAGACGGGCAACCTGATCAACGTGGCCCTCGAGAACACAGGCGCGGGCAGCGGCTCGCTCGCCTTCCGGTCCGCGCTGGAGTCGAAGGTGCTGCCGGCCATGAGGGCGTTCCAGCCGGACATCATCTTCATTTCGGCCGGCTTCGACGGCCACCGTGACGACATTCTGGGCGGCGTAGCCGCCGTCAACAACCCCAACGTGCCTGCCGGCTACGTGGAGGAGGACTACGCGTGGGCGACACTGGAGGTGCTCAAGCTTGCGGCCGAGGTGTGCGATGGCCGCGTGGTGTCTGTGCTGGAGGGCGGCTACGACGTGCGCCGGGAGACCAACTCGCTGGCCAAGTCTGTGGCGGCCCATGTGGCGGCCATCTCGGCCTTCGAAGCGGCCCGACGGAATATGGACAGCAGCGCCACGGGCGACGTGGAGATGAAGGAGGAGGAGGCACCTGACGCCGCGGCCACTGACGACAGCAGCGCCGCCGCCATCAAGACGGAGCACCCAGTCAAGACGGAGCCTGTGGGTCTGCTGGAGAAGCTGCTGGCCACGGACCTCACGGACGGCAACGTGATCATCATCGACGACGAGGAGAACGAGGAGGAGGGCGGCGAGGCGGCCCACGACGGCGTGCACGACGGTGACGACGTTGAAGACGAAGACACTGGCGAGGACGACGAGGAAGACGGCGATGGCAATGGCGACGGCGACGTGGCGATGGAGGACGCTGAGCCCGAGGAGAAGAGCGGGCAGGCCATGGAGGTGGCCGACAGTTGAAGTGACTTGTCCTTCATTGTCCCTCTGTAGTGTAAATCCGTTCCGATTGGGCGTTAAAAATCGATTTTGTTGTTGTATTTTCATCCAATCCAAATTTCGCATGTTTTGTCTTCTACCCAGGGATTCGTAGTAATAACAAAACATATTAATATATTAATACATATATATATATTGATATATCAACATTAATATCCCGGTTGTTGGTATAATAATACTAATAATATAATACCGAAAGATTTGTATCGATATTAATGCGATATTAATAAAATGACCAAAATAATATACCACTACTAGCTACCACCACTTACGGGGACAAGGATGGAGACTGGACCTGCGAAGGAAAACGTATTCAAGAAGTAGAGCGCTACGGATTTCAAGCTGAAGGGGTGGTAGTAGCGCGCAGATAGAGTACTTCCGAGCGCTTGATGAAGACATGCGCGATGCAGAAATCTCAGGGTCTGCTTGTGGACAGAATCTGTTATCACTGATACAGAAATCTCAGGGTCTGCTTGTGGACAGAATCTGTTATCATTGATACAGAAATCTCAGGGTCTGCTTGTGGACAGAATCTGTTATCACTGATACAGAAATCTCAGGGTCTGCTTGTGGACAGAATCTGTTATCACTGATACAGAAATCTCAGGGTCTGCTTGTGGACAGAATCTGTTATCACTGATAACAGATTCTGTCTGATAGGGCGGGTTAGTGGAGGCAAGTTAGTTTGGTGCTGGGCTACCAAGTGGTTGGAAACAGGTCGCTACTACTTTAATGCACTTCAAAGTTGTGTTGAGCTGACTTTTTATCAAGCGTCCCTCCCGTTCTTGCGCATGGTGGACGCTTCGGCGGGCAGTGGGGTGTCTGGTGTGCCGCACTTCGCGCGCAGGAAGCGGCCGACGCTGTCGCCGAGTTGCCCGCGGTGTTGTCGGGCGCTGCTGCGTGCTGTTTATCAGGGGCTCTATAACAATTTGACAGCCGGCGGCTGGGCCGTTGTGTCCGGGTTGCACGAGCCGCAAGTGAGTGTCGCGTCCGTGACCGCGTTAATCCAAGAGCTTCTTGGGCGCCATCTACAGGCTGAACCCGAAGGCCGTCGCGTAGACGGCCGTGTTGTGTGCCGGTGAGCCCCATAAAGTGGTCCTGAACGTGGAATCCGACGCCGATAAACTGCATGTTGTCTGCTCGACGACAAACAGCCACGGCTGCATGACGACGCTGGGCGTGATGCTCCTGTCCTAGCGACCGTAGCCGGTGTATTGGTGCGTTTACACACACGAAGGCCTTGAGACAGCTGTGAAGAAGGTAGTGACTCTGGCTCCGCCCCAGCGTGCCTGACTATACAGTATACACCTGGGACACCCAAGGTTGCCTTTGGTTGTGAGTATACGGGTCGCGACTCCTCGAGCCCGTTGGCGTATAGTAGTTTGCAGCTAACACAGAGGGGGGTTGGCACCTTCGAGGTTTTCCCTCCTCAATTCCAACGTTGTTCAGTGGGAAGCACGTGTGTTCCTAGCGTCGTCTTCC